AGTGCAGAGTGTTCAGCAATGAGCAGTAGGTAAAATTTAGGAGAAGAATGGTGGTGAATTGGAAAAGAATAGCAGGTTGTTGAAGAGTGAGAGAGAACCTTATACAGTACCAGGTGGATCCACCCAGGGTCAACCACCCAAATTGGTTAAAATATCTTGACAGACCTCGCCAGCGAGGGAAATGCCTCTCATCGTGTCTTCTGGGCGTAGCGTCCGTGGCAGATGATCAACCCACCTAAACATTCAGTTCAGGTGACCCTGCTGTGCTCCTAATTCAAAGACCAATTAAAGTCTTCTTAAACTTCGCACAAGTAGGATGTGCAAGACCACTAGCGTCCAAATGTTGGCTAGCATAACTTCCTTCTTTGATGTGACTGCGTACAAACGCCTTGCTTTCATTATCACCTATTTGAATGTTTTTCATTACATCTTCACATGACCTTAAAAATTTGGTTACACTATAGTCATCCTCCGCCGTAAACTCGTGGATGTGATCACTGCGCTGTAATACTTGAACAATGTTAGGTTGGTTAGATGACATGCTGATGTTAGATGTAGCCATGGTTAGTGAGTTGCTAGACAACTTAGATCTAACTGAAAGATGTGTGGATGCAGGAGGGAAAGTAATCTCTGACACACTGTGAGACTCTGTAGACTGAGAGGTATCCTGCCTGTAATCAGGTGTTGTATTGTACGTATTACCTGACCTTAGGGTTCCACGACATAAATCGTCGTGCAATTGATCACTTGAGTGTTCATTACTCTCAACAGAAATGTCTGGCAGTGAGGGCGCGTGCGTTTCTAGCGAATCTATTAATTCTATGTGTTCAGTATTGACATTAGTACCAGTAGCTAGTACAGTGTCAGACTTGAGTGCATCGTCAGAATTATCTGAAACGTTATCATAAATCTCCTTCAAATCGGTGATATCTGAACTCATTAAATTAAAAAAATCATCCATCAGTGTTAAAAAGACATGAAAAGTCAGTCTACACAGAAACCTTGCCTAGCCATTTACAGTAAATGTTTGAAAAATAACGTAATAATTGGCAAGAAAAAAATTGTTACTGGTTCTAGAGAACTTCAATGTATTTATATATATCAAATAATAATAAGTAAGACACTTAAACATTATCCTACGCGATGTATAACGTGTGACGCTGTGCTGTAGAATATGTTAATGTGTGTTTAATATAGTGTGTCCTTGTCCTACCTATTACTGTTGGCTTGATTGTAGAATTCTGGGAATTTCTTGAAAATCTGGCCTTTAATCCCGTAGACTTCAGCGGCTTGGATGACAGTCAGGGTTGCTGGTGTGTAGTTTAAAGATGACGTCCTTGAAGAATTCGCGATGGCGTCTGGCGTTGACGAGAGTAACCACGGTCAACCACTAGAGGGGCGATGGACGGCTAACTCGGTGAACTCGGAGTTCACCGGCGTCGTCGGGCGATCCCGTGAGGTCACTAGGTTAATGCACCTTGGGGCTGGTAGACCTCTTGGAGTTGATTGAGTATGACAGGTCAAGTAGTTGGCCTGTACCAGATGTAGCTGGCTCCACAAAGAGTTTACAACACTCTGTTTTTACAAACCACAGAAACACTTAGTTAAACAACTTGGGATGTCTAACAGATATTTCTTTCAACTGTGCCTTGGGCACAGAGTTGTACTGTAGCTGTATGGGTTGGTTGTTCTTTGAGAAGGGAAAAAATGTACAGAGAGCGTCTCCACAACACTTGATAGTTGGGGACAGCGGGGTGTCTGAGACGTTGTAGTGATGGCCACCCCACACGGCAGGCTGAAGGAATGTACCGGGTCACGTCCACTTGAGGTGGCGACTCGGTCTTAAGGCCTTGTCGGTGGTACGGGGCGTTGCCGCACTACAGTGAATTATTGTTAACTCACTTATTAAATATTATTGAGAAAAGATTTTTTGTATGTCTATCTAGGATGACATTTAAATATATCTCTTGACATATAACGTTGCTCGCGAGAACATATACGGTATATAGTCTGTTGCCTTGGGAATGGCACTTAGAAAATTTCACCGTTACTTGGGTTACAGTGCCGTCGGTTCCTTGCACAGTTAGTTACACTGCTTCACTGGTTCAGTTCATGGATCTATATTTTCGCTGCAACCTTTATATATAAGCTTTGGGTAGAGTTCCCTTAATTTGGCTTATATATAAATAAGTTGAGAGGTTAAGTTACAAACCCAAAATGGTCTTTTTTCCATTTATTGGTAAAACTATTTTGGTCACAGTCTATTAGTAGATGCACCATAATTAACACTGTAAGGTGTGAGTGTTAGTTAAGGACGGGGGCTCAGCTTGACTGAGTTAGGTCACCCGTCCAATTCTCATAAGACTCGTGTGAGGGGAGGCTCTGAAGGAGAGGCCGGGCTAACCTTACATTCTCAAGGTCGACCTACTGATAGAGGAGGCTTACTGATAGAGGAATTTCCCCTCACGTGAACAGCACATGGCACCTCACAGCTTATGGAAATTTACAGTTGGGTGATTGGATTATATAAACTAAATGTATTAACCCAAATTTATATAATTGTTATTGCCATGAGACAGGGGCTAATACAGACAGTTTACCAGTGAATGAACAGCTTAATTGAGCTTCCTTGATACAAATTATCTAAACTGGGTTCCCTTATAGGTGATGAGGTAACGACGAGAGATAATTACTGTATATGAGGTTCACATGATGCTTAATGCTTCCTGATTGGAGAATGTCAACCATGGCATCATGCTCATTAAAGAAGCAACCACAAACTCATGTACTTATATTAACCCCTTCACTATGGGGATGCCACTTTCAATATTTATTTGATTAATGCCAGATGATCTTATTCAGCTCAGAGGGGACATTGTACACAAGGGGTAAAGTTTATCAGTGTGCAGGAAGGTGGTGGCAGTGTGAAGAAGTTTTGCTTGGAGGTTAGCGTTATGGAACCATAGTGTTGGTGCTTCAATATGTTGCCTTGGCATTGGCTTTTGCAATAGACTTGATGCTAATGGCTGTGCGTCGTCTCTGCATGACAATAACATTCTCTCATTTCCCCAAAATGTTTTCAAGGCAAAATTCACTTTCAGTAATTGTAAGGCAAAAATTATAAGAACATAACAAAGGAATATTATGATCAATGTATCTTGACAGCAGTGTTGATATTGTATCTTAATGACTGATTCTCTTTACAGGGGGAGAGCATTTAAAAACTTAAGAGAAAGGTATTAGTACATATTTATTTAAAGACTAGACTCCTCCAGTAGTTGTAACATCCCTCTTTGCTCTTGTAGATTAATTCAAACTATCAACTTGTCATTCTTTTATTATGGTCCAATATTTTCTTTACAAAGTACCGTAATAGCTGATTGGTAGATATGAGACTGTACAGTACTCTAATATGTAATAACAGGTAAGGCCTTGCTCTAGTTAACTTCAGTACTACACATGTGCAGGATGGTCCATTTAAAAGATATTACCTTTATTATAATGTGAAGTGCAATGGTAATGCAGTATTCTCTCACCGGTGGTACAGTACAGTCCAGTGTTGACAAGTTTCCACCACTGATGACAGGGCTGTGGCATGGCATGTGTTATGTTTACTTACACATTTGGTTTCAGTCACTGCTATATGACTTGTTGTGTTGAAAATTAATGAAGTCGTGTGGTAATTCAAACTTGTCCTTCTCAAAAACTTTCACTATTATTGTCACTGTTTTGTCACATGTTTATATTCAGTTATTTTTAATTCTCAGATTATCACTGTGTATTGTGTCTTGGTAACTTTGGGTTATCACCTTTAAACACATTATTTTCATATGTGTACAATAGTATATGACTTACAGTACATTTGTCAGTCACTCTGTGTTCATGAGGAAGGTGATTGATTACCCATGCCAAAAATAGTGTACTACAGTATTACACAAGTTTAGACTGTACTCTCTGAAGCATTGTTCAGGTTGTTTCATCACAAACATTATTATTGGACAGATTTAAATTGTTCTGTCAGAAGCATTACTATAGGGCCTGTTAATGTTGTTTTGTCAGAAGCAGTTCTATCAAGCAAGGTAAGATGGTTCTGTCAAAACTTCTGTGGGGCAGTTTAATATTTTTCATCTGAAGCATTACAGTTAGGCAAGGTAAGATTCTTGTCAGAACCATTACTTTTGGCCATGTTATATTGTTGGGTTAGAAGCAGTACTACTGAGTATGGTTAGCTGTGATCGTTGTGTTCAAGGCATTATAATGGTTTTCTGTAAGAAGTATTACTCTAAGGGCAACTCTGTCAAAAGCAGCGCTGTGGGACAAGATTTTTCTGTCAGAAACATTATTATAAAGCTGTGTGTGATGTTGTATGTCAGTTTGTTTCATCAGTATCATTACTATGGTGTAACTAGTTCTGTCAGAGCATTACAGTGGGGCAACTTTGCTTTACTGATGTACCATTTGTGAAAACTAGGTAGGTTGTTTGCATCCTCTTTTGTAAACACCGAGGAAACTAATTCATTTTACTCCTCTGTATTTGCCTAGTCTGAATCTGCATAACTACCATCTTCAAGTCTCACATCTGATACACCCTTGTGTCCTGATTTTGATTTTGCAAAACAATAGAAACCCTAGAAGGTCACCAGGACCTTAGTTGGAAATCTGCCTCTGGAACTTTCTTTCTGCTTTTCTACACTCTGACTTAATTTGTTCTCTGAATCTGGCTGACATCATTCTGCCCAGCTTACCTAAGATTATTATGTCAATCATTACCATAGGGCAAGTCAATTTTATTTTTTCAAGAAGAGTTTTACAGTATGCATTGAGTAATTTTAGGCTACGTTTTGATGATAATTAAGATATTTTACCCTGAAGAAGTAGCTGAGTGTTTGTGTGGAATATATTAGTATAATGACTAATTTGACTCCTCAGGCCACAGTGAAGTTCAGTGCTATATAATGGATGCTTTTAGACCTTATCCCTGTCCTCCCTCTACTTCACAGTTTGGGTGATGGGGTTACCTACCCTCAGCGGTGTGTAGATGAAGACACAGATGATTTGTTAGGTGCTCGACAACGTTGGGCTGAGGATGAAGAAGAAAATGAGTTGGTGTGTACTGGATATGCCAATAACCATACACATGGTTAGTAGGAACACTTCTCTTGCATTTAATAGTAACTAGATTAGAATCTCATTTGCATGGCTATCTATAGGAGTACAGTATACTATCATAGCGTGGGTGGAAGAATAGAAGCAGGCCAGTGTTCAAGAGAAGCTAGATGACAGCGTACAGTTGTATCTGTGTCATTTATGTTAACCCAATCTCCTCCCACTTTGACTGACAGGGATAAAACCTGGGCTTCTAATAACTTCTTTCTAGGGTTGTGAACTAGTTGATAAGATTAACTCCATCCACTAATGTCAAGGCCACCTGGACCCTCGACTTCTCGCTCGGTGGTTACATATTCTCGGGTTACTTAGTTGAGATGGGTTGGCCATAGAGAATGTTGTGGTCAAAGAAAATTAGTTTATGGCCTTTTATAAGTCACACTGTGGAGTAACAAGTCTTGAGGACCCCTGACTTGTGTTGCTGGGATATATTCCTGGAGTTCAACTAAAATCTCCCCAAAACAGTCATTTATGTAGTCAAGTTTGTTGACTAATGGAACACCTTGTAGTACCTTCAGTACTTCATATGTTTAAATAATTTGCATGAAGATTGTACAGTAATTTAAATTATGGAATTTTGTTGTATGAAACAGAATGGTGAGTTACAGTATCTGTGTTGCTGTCAATATCCTAATGAATGTTTTATGCATTATCTAATTGTCATGTTTCACTGTACAGTATTTTAGATTAAAATGCTTTAATAGCATACATTCTACCAGAATAATAATTATTAAGTCATTTAGTAAAGCAGTGTGAAATAACAAAGTAAAATGATATAAGAATTACCATATTGATTATCATGACACATTCAGACCAGTTAGTACCCACAATTGCTTGTGCACTGTTTCCACACCAGTTGCCATGCCTATGCTTCAGGTTACTGTGCACATTTATTTTCTTGGCTTTGTGTTTGTGTTCTGGGACTTCTTACCTTCTTATATCACTGTGCTGTGTAGCATTTACCTGTAGATGGTAAAATGGCCAACATCCAGCAGTGTTACCCCTGACAAGAAGAGGAAGTTATAAAGTATGGTAAAGGAGCACATGTGTGTTGGCTCTTTGTGTAATTGGCAATAATCTCCTGTAAGTAGAGCCTAGGGTTGAGTCAGGGAAGATATATTTTGGATTTTTCTGGATGCCCTGAACATAATCCCACATATACAAGACACAAATCCTGGACTGTTAACCTGTAGACTTGTTGATGGAGTACATGAGTAACTATAGTCATACTTGTTTATGAATTGCCATCTCAGGACTAGTCTCTTATTAATGGTCACAAAGTCCTGTAAATGGTTTTGTGATTTAAATGGTAACTCGCCAATCCTTACAACAACTACCAATTTTTGTGACTTGGATGTAGCAGCAGGTGTTGCCACTTAAGCTACTTTTTGTTTGTTTTTACCTTGCCTGTGTCCTCCTTGTTATAGGCCAAAAACTTTTTCAATTCAGGCATGAAAAAATTTGTTGCATCTCACAATTTGCGATGTCTGCTTAATGAGATTATCACAAATATCACAAAGCAATTTTAATCTACCTTCACTTTTTGTTATGTCACAGATCTAAACTTGAAACATCCAAAGTCTATATATCCAAAATAGCAATTGGGATAATTGCACTTAGACTGCCAGGCTGTTCCTGAGAGCTTGTGATCTCAGAGGCTTGGCAACATTATTAGCTTTCCTTAGAGAAGTCTCTCTCTAGACTCTCCCAAATGGTTTCCAGGTCAGAGGGGATGAGCTTTGTTGGGAGCTGCCCAGGGGAGGAGATAGTACTGTATAGTGTAGGAACATAGTGTCGCACTGGGGAGCTGTATAATTAGTGTAATATTTCCTTACAATAACTTATACCTGTAGTCGCCTTCCTTTTGAGTTGCAGTTCCTCAGTAGCAATGAAGTTTCTAACCGCCTCTTCTCTTTATCTTGTTGGTTCTTCACTTATGTGTCTCCTTGGACTGATGTCAAGCTCTATAACAAGGATTAGTCATGAAAATCTTATTTTATAGCAGAATTGGGCCAAGGAGACTGGGAACCCTCCCTATAGGGTGATATTGTGGGGTTGAGCTTGACTGGTCTGCTGCTGAAAATCCAGTCTGGCTAGTGATGAACAAGGAAAGGTGTGTAGGAAGGCTGCTGTAGCACCAAAACTCAATTAGCTGCCAAGCTTTTTGTGGTAAACCTCTTCCTTTTGGAGGGCAAAGGAAGAGTTGAACTTATTGTTTAACCATCCATGCGATAAATTTGTCAATTGGCACTTCACTGTGCCACACTAATATCATCAACTGATAATGAAAGTTTTCACACACTGTTTTGAACATTACCTGGGTCAGAATCGCTCAGGAGGCTGTTAGGATATATTTCTCTGACCCAGGGAGCTGTGTGATACTTCTTGGGTCCTCCCAGCCTCAGTTCCAAGCTATGAGTCATGATTGACACACACACCTCTATGCATCTCATGTCATTGCAAAGAGCACAGGGCCTCAGAATCACCCAGTCCAAGATTAAGAGTATAGTTTTGAAGAGGAACTCTTGATGAATTTTGTGTTAGAATTCAGTGAGGAGGAAGAGATAGAGGAGTGGCATCCATCTAACTGGTGTTGGGAGTAAGGGCAAGTCAAGTATAGAATCTGAGTCTCATACACTCCTCTGGGGCAAGATATTGTGGAAGTGACTCTATATTGTTTTTCTATTGCTGTTTTGGATACATATTTACATCTTCATAAGATAAATATGAAAATTTAGGGATTGTGATATTTTATTAACACAAAAAAAAATCATTGAACAACATGAAGGTTAAATTAGTGTCAGACACCAGTAGGTTATTTTAGGGTTCAGCCTGTGGACTGGTTAGTTAAAATCATGAGTCTCTTTGGCTCAACTCCACAATAAAATGGGATTTCCAGAACATGTTCTTTGGTTTACAGGTACGGTATTGTGAAAAAAAAAATCTTCAGTATTAGTGTAAAAAAAAAAAACCCTACTGTATGATTTAAAGATATGATGATGTAGTTTTGGAAGAAGTTATTGAAGAATGTTATGTAATGTAATAGATTTATTTATCTTTTACAGCACTGGAGGAAGTTGTGGTTCAGGGTAACCATACTAATCCTGTTTAAAGACTGGAAGGGGGACCTATGCATCTGTAAGCTTAGGTTTAATCACTGTCATTTGAATGAAGTTGAAGATCTGTGTATCTGCAGACATTGTTTTTATCACTTTGTCATAAAAGAGGATACAGTAACAGTATCTGCATCTACAACATTTGGTTTAAACATTGTCTCTTGAAAGAAAATATATGCATCTGCAAACTTTATTTTAATCTTGGCAATAAAAGTTTCATCACAATTTAATTTTTAAGAATGGTTGCCAGAATTGTTGGCACAATCCAGAAAAGTTATTTTATTTCTTTTATATTGTCCCACAAATGAACTGGGTGGTCTGTAAGAGAGCAGAAAATGAACTTTGTGGGAAATTATGTTTACAAAGTGAAAAATTGCTAGTGCATTTCAACAAGTACAGATGTGAGACAGGACCAGTGATTAAGAGTGTTGCGACATGCCACGAAGGTCAAGGTATGGACTCCACACACTTAAAGGTGAAAAAGTCCAGTGTGTCAGTTCTGCTATTGCCTGTGTAAATTTTTGTTCTTGGAGTGATTGTAGCCATGGAGTGAGCACAACCCTGAATGTATTGAAGTTAAACAAATCCTGTATGCTTATGTTAGTGCAAAGTACAGTAGACCCCCAATATAACATGAGAGTAGGACCAAGAATTGTCTTGAATTGCGTGATGTCGTTTTATGTATTTTAATGGTAGATGGAAGGTACAAGACCGCAGCTCAACACTAATCCATTATTTTAGATTACTTTTAACATTATAATTTCCCTTGAGTCTGAACAACTGTTTCCTGGACTACAGTTCTTCAGACTCAAGGTGACTAATGGAGCAGTAGAGCTCGGGGTGTTGTGAATGGTGCGTGTTCTGCACAGATGCTGCTGGACAGTGCTGGCAGATGAAGTGCCTGTGTTGTCATCTGTTGAGGCTGGGGGAACTTAAGGTTTTCATCAGCTGATCAATTGTCTTCATTTGATGTTAAACCTTTTAAAGCATATTTTATGAAACATTAAAAATATTTAATTGTTCTCTTAAGAATTAAACTGAAGATCCAACTGACTAGATAGCCATCCAGTGGTTGAAAGTTATGGAGAGTAATAGTGAATGTCCACACAATTGAAGTAGAATAAATTGTAGGAAGTGGAGCAATTATTGGCTGAGCAGTGCCTTAGGGGGCTGTGGTGCCATCTATTGTCATGCACAGGAAACTTAAGATTGTCTTCAGCTGATCCATTAAAAACTACACACTGTACAGGTACTGTACTGTATTAGGTATAGACTGCATCCCAGAATATTCCCCCAAAAAATCTTTTTACCCGAACTGCCTCTAATAATGACAGTGTGAAATATGATCACAAACTTAAAACAGTGAACAAATATACAATAGGAATGTTGTCAAGTACAGAATAGAGAAAGGAAATATTAATTTAGGTGTGAAAATGGATGTGTTAAGTCATTTTGGAAAGGGAGAACAAACAGTGGATATCACTACAGCCCTACACTCAAAAGTTACAGTCACATAATATCTGATGTTTTTTTATTTTTATTTCCCATCCATTAAAAATAAATAAATTAAAGACCATCATTCAAAGTTAACCTCAATATTTATACTCCCCTGTCTGAAATGCTTAGTTTTGTTTAATAATTTTTTTTGTGACTCAAGTCTGGGCTTACTTTATGTAATATCCAAATTGACTGTAGTAACACATCAAAGGTGTAGTGTAGTGTGGTGCTACATTAGACAGAAATTGTTGTATTGAATTGCATTAAGTATATTGGGGTCTACTGTTTTGTAAATACATATTCTCAGCTAGGTTATAGATAAGATGATTTTCAAAGTCTAAATGGAAGAATTTTGTCATTTGTTTTTAGGAGCTGTTAATTAACTTGAGTTGTTAAGTACAGTACAGTATTTACCGTAGTTACAGCAGAGTATCAAATAATACCTCATTTGGTAGGATGTTAACCACAAGTCAGGTTATTGTATTCCATCAGTAATTGAAATTATTAGGTTTGCAAGATTTCTTATATAATTTATGATTAAAATTGGAAGACGTATAAAAGGCTCATGAATAATTTGGTGAGCCTTGAGTCGGGTACGAAGGATCAAGCACCGTTAGTTGTGTCGGACAGCGTTCTTGTTATTTCATTCCTGGTGTTAATAATGAAGTACGTAGGTGCACTTTGTTCAAAACAGGAGAGACTTGGAGAAATCTTCTACACCCAGATGCATTTAATACAGTGTAGAGGAGTTAGATATGTATGTGTGTGTATGTATGTATGTATGTGTGGGTGTCTTTGTGTGTGTGCGTGTGTAAGTGCCTTTGTCTGTGCACATATTTGTATGTTTGTGTATTATTCTGACACTTTAGTAAATTGTTTTTTATTTGTGCTAATGTACTTTATACATGCATGTAGATATAGGATGTGATATATTGAATAGCTTTACTCAGTTAGGCTGATGCATATGTATAGTCTGACTAAGGAGCGGTGAGTCATAGTTAATATTTCATTTTAAGATTACCATTAAAATCTTCATCATCATCTTTGTAGTTCAGTCTTATTTTAGGGGAATTTCATTGAGGACAAAGTTAAGGGGGAGTAATATAGTTTAAGACTAAGCTAAGCACCGTAAACCGTTAACTTGACTCTTGAGTACAGTAATGAACAGTTTAACCTGGTGGCAGCACGTGTAAACACCACATGTTCTCAAACTACTGTACTGTACTCACATGAACAACATACACACACACACACACACTCACTCACACACACACACACACACACACACACACACACACACACACACACACACACACACACACACACACACACCCACACCCACACACACACACACACACACACACACACACACACACACACACACACACACACACACACACACATACACACACACACCATACACACACACACACACACACACACACACACACACACACACACACACACACACACACCATATACACAGACACACACACACCAGACACACACACCACCCACACACACACACCCCCACACACACACACACCATACACACCATACACACACACCATACACACACACACACACACACACACACATAATTAGTCTTCTACAAAGACACATCTATCTATAAACAAAGTATTAATAATCCCATTTAGTATTCAAGGTAAATACTTTTGAGAAAAATGTTGAGACAATGTGTGTAACCTGTTCTCTTTTGGTTAATATGTCTGTGATGAGTCTGACCCAGAATATTCAAATTGATCTCTTTATTTCATACTTTTGTTTTTATCTATTGTAAATATGGTGAGCCGTTTATATAATCTACGTGGGAGTCGAGAGTAAAGGTTTTTAAGTAATGAATGACGATGCTCACAGCTTTAAAGGTAGTAAATGCTCTTGGCATTTCCTCAAAAGACAAATATGGACAAAATTACTGACATTTTAGTAAATGTTTTATGTGAAAGGTAAAGGTGATGTGCTGGTAAAGGCTTCCTTGGACCATCAGGAAGAAGATCAAGCTAATGACGTCCTTAACTATACTGTATAGTTTGTTGCACTTACCATTGTTATTGATTATGATAATAATACCCTATCATAATATAGCTAGGTTATTCATGCTCACACACTACCATTTGCCCTTTTTTCTTAATAATTTTGTCAGTACTTAAGACTCTTAATGAAGCATCATGTGGCAAGTGATTTGTTCACTTTGAAAAACGTTTTATCAAATGTATCATTTTATAATAAAAAAGTTAGTCAGAGTGCATTCCATTATATTATTATGAAAGGTGATGTCCTCTAACAGATTGGTGGGTTAATAAATCTCTATATTAATTACATCTGGTGTAGTGTGGCTGTGTTTATATAATGACTTTTGTTTTACAATATTTTATGCACATGATGATTACATACAGTACTTCTCATTTTAATTCAGTTTACAAAAAGTCTCAAGTGTTTCTACATTCTGTTAATTATACAGTAATTAAAGATGACCAAGCTCACACTTCCTCACATTTTCATTAATTTCTGAAGACTTAGGCAGCACAGCATCCTACCTCCACCATTACTCTCCCTTATTTTCTTCCCCTAAAAGCTGCCATATAATTTCACTCATTTCTCAGTATTCTGTTCATATCTCAGTCAATACTCTCATCCAAATACAAGTAGCCAACTCACTATCAAAAATAGTTTTTTGTAACCTTCAGCCATAGTGGCTAATTACAAGTAAACCATATTTGCCATAACAAGTGTCGTGTTTGAATGTTTATAGCATTATACACTATGAGGGGTCCATCAAGGGTCTGTCTTGAGCCCCCTTCTGTTTATCATGTTGCTAGAGGCACTATCACAGGACTTAGGGCAGATCTGCCCAGGGAGTTGTTGTATGCTGACAACATGGCGCTAATAGCAGATAGTATTGCAGAGACAATGTGGAAGGAAGGAATTGAGTCAAAAGGTATGAGCCAGAATGTGGCAAAAAATATTACTAACGATTAGTGGAGTGGGTAACAATCTTGTAGGGGAAGTAAAAAATGGTTCTGTGCTCTCCAAGAATGGTGTTGGTTGTAACTCAGTAATGTACAGTGAGGGTGGACACACAAGAGGTGCAGTGGTGTAAATGGTGGACTGTTGGATATTTCTGGCATTAAATTGTCCTGTCTGTGCAGGTAATCATGTAACCTTAACAAGGTAGGGGAATCTCAACAGTGGAAAAATATGTCCCTGGACTGTATCAGTGAATTCTGCTACCTGGGTGACGATACAGTGCTGGAGGCAGTGGCAGCTGGCATGAGAAGTGTAATGTTGATTGGCAGTGAATTATGGGGGGTTAAAAAGGATGACCTGATGTGAGAATGGTGAGGTGAGTGTGTAGTGTGATACTGAAAGATAGGAAACTTTTTCAGAACTAAGAGGTGGCTGGGTATTGAGAGTTTGGGATATTGATGAAGTTTTATTTAGTGGTACGCTGAGATGGTTTGGGCATGTGGAGAGAATGGAAGAGACCAACTGGGCCAAGAGATGCATGAATGTAAATTTGGAGGGGAGAATAGCAAGGGGTAGGCCACGACTGACATGGGGAGAGGTTTTAAGAAATGACGAGTTAACCTGAAGAGAATAGGCCACACAGCAAGGAGAGCTGCCATCTGGTAAAGGTTTTTTTTTGTACACCGAAGCACTGGAACAAACTGTTGTTTTTGTTTTAGCAAATATTTGTAAATAGATGTTTCTTAAATCAAAGTGCTGGACAGTGTACAATATACAAAATGTAGACACTGAGAACTGTGGATGATAAACCTGAGGTTGGTGAGGGGTTAATGTGCAGTACTGTATAAACAATTACTGTACTGTAATCCCAACACTAAATATTTTGTGAATATTGAATTAGTTTAACAAACATTTTTATCTTTGGACTTACAACTTTTTTCTCCATTAATAAAACACATAAGTTAACCTGTAATGAGCAAGACAAAATTAATAAGGAAATGTTCTTCCATTGGCAATAATGTGTAAAACATTAGCTAATAAAATCATATTTTTTATCAAAGTTTATGTGTTTCTAAAATCAAAGCTTCTAAATAAAAATAAGGTAAAGATTTAGAGCCAAGTTTCCTAAATTTATATGTTCTTGTTAAAGGTATGTATTTTATAACTGAACTCAATACAGCAGGTATCTTGGTACTGTACCTACCACATATGAGTATAGTATGAGCTAATAGAAGAAGCAAAAGCAAGATTAGGAAAACCTGAAGCCAAATTTCTCAACATTATCCCTCATTGACCTAATTCCCCTGATTAGCTTAACATGTCTGTAAACATTAGTACAATATGGAAGAATGAAAAGCATCTGGCATATCATTTGTGAAACAAACAAACAACACTGCCCTGTGGCATCTCACTTGTCACAGGTAAACATGATGATTTTGTGTCATTAATTACCACACTGCTTGAGGTCATACATCAAGTCTTCAATCCACGACAGGACATTCCCCTGACTTCAATTCCCTTCCAGTAAAATTTTCAGCCTTTTGTGAGGTACACTGTTGAATACCTTGGAGAGGTCAAGGTATATACAGTACAGTACTGTATATTCAATACTGTACATTTACTGCCACCACACCCCAGGATCTATGTCCACACATCTTGAGCAGTGTGTCAAGCAGGAGTGTTAGGGCATAAAACTGTGCTGGCAATGCTTCAATAGACTTCCACTGTAGGTGTTCCCTCATACATACACTAATATTTTGCACTTTAAACACTATGATGGCCAAACTCACCAGCCTGTAATTGTATATGCTGTGGATTCACATAAGACATTTTCCTGTCATTGGGATCTTTTGTTCGTTCAAGCACCTGCACAACAGGATTTTAAGGAGTTCTACTAGATTATTGCACAACTCTCTTAATACAGTACTGGGATGCACATTATCAGAGCCAGGGCTCTTGGGAACTTTGAGCTTAGCTAATTTATTCTAAAACACTTATTTGAGAACTCATTTTGCACTTGCGGTGTCGAAAGCGGGGAGATTATTTTTCACTTCTGCCCAGTCCTGGTGCAAGTCCGTGAGGCTACTGTCTTTATGTCTCCGATCTGATATGCCTTGATTGCGATCCACTTCTGAAACTCCTTTTCTATCTTTCTACACCTTGGGGATCTCACAATGCATGCAACAATGAGTACAATTCAGTACTGTATGTCTTCTTTTCAGTTTTACTTACACCAGTTTGAGTTTTACAAACTTTTTGGAGTGAGCGTTGTGAACTATTGGAACAATCTGAGAATTAGACTGGAAGGGTATAGGATTTGGGGAAATGTCTTAGCGTTGATCAGAGTACCACAGGACAGTGTACTGGGCCCTTGTTTTTTTATTGTTTCATAAATAACATGCTCAGGCCATGCCCAGTTGTTCAGGGAAATTAAGAACCAAATGGACTGTGAAGAGCTATAGGAGCTATTTTTGTTTTGGTTTTTAGTATGCATTATTCAGTTGTTCATGTGATGAAATGATGTGGTTTTGTGTCATGGTTATGAAATGTTCGGTTGGCAACTGGTTCAGGATGGTTGAGTCATGGTGGGATGGTATGCTTTCTCTATCCTGTGTGTGTGTGAGGAAATTTTTTAAAAGAACGTCTTCCTCTGTCTGTCTCTGCCTCCCTTGTGTGTGTGTGTTATGCCCCCTTTTGTCCTGCTTGACCCTCACACAGCGAGAAGGGCATTACAGTACTTATCCAGTGTAACTCAAGGATTAGTCTGTGGTGTAACCTACCAAATATCACAGGTTTCTCCTGTACTGCCACTGGACAAACCGGCTGAACGGCTAGTAAGCTGATTAATGGTGAAATGATAAATTAAATAAATTAAGTATTGGGGACATTATGGAACGAAGTGGTGCCATTATCCTATTGTTGAAGTTTACTATACAGTATTATTTTTTCTGTCTTCCATGATTACCTTGTAAAGAATTTTGAAATAAAATAGTCTTATTTTTTTTCTCGAAACAAATATTTAAATGTGATTTGAAAAATTTAATTAAATTATAAAAATCAAGACTACGCCAAGGTTGGCTAACTTGGCTGCCACGATATTAAGGCTACTACACCAGGAAAACATTATCTGCAGAAGGCCCTGGTAATAGTTATAATATTTAAACTTTTGTGAAGTATCTTTTACAATTTGCAGAATATTGATTGTTTTGGATGTTCATTGGTAATCATTTTCATTCACAGCCTATTCACCTGGAAACAATGGGTTATGATTGTTCCCTGGTGAAGTGTGACCATAGTTAATAATGATGCTGCTCTAAGGTCCTCTGGTTGTATTTCCTGGTGTACACACGTGCGCGCGTTTCTTCTCTTTGTATACTGTTACGTAAATATCATTGATGTCTTGCGTATGTTTTGAGCTTCCCGAGGCTGTTATTCTTTATAAACCCTTGTTCGAGTGTGTGGTGCAAGCATGGGACAAAAATAATATATACTGATATCATATTAATGGCGACATAGTAGCTACTGAAAATGAACTGCGTTGAGAGACCCGTAGCCCTAGACATTACGTAATTCCCTCTATCGTCTTCCTGATTTTCAAATAATGGTGATCAGTTCTATATTATGCTTTGTTATATTATACATGTTCATCAATCAAGTTATTTTGTCTATACTGTATTGTAATTACTGAAACTAAGCTAATCTGATTATTAAACTATTCACAGTAGAAACAGTAATATACCCTAACATAATAGAAACCATCGAGCCTGATAATAATTCGAGTTTGATGTTAATTATATGTATAGACAAAGGTTTATAGGCCACTCGGGGAAGAAGGGACCTCATGTCCTGACCGCGTGACACCATGGACCAACACCCAAGATAATCTCTCTACCTTAACAAATACAATGTCCACACAAAGGAGCTTCACACACACGTTATCCAATAAATGTTATAAAACGGCCAAGTATGTAATATATTATGAAGATGTTAAATAAAAGGGAGTATACTGGTAACGTGGATGAAAGTTTTAGCTGAGTGTTATAGAGTTGTTCAAGGTCGGGGCAGCAGTATGGGTGTTGGTGGCCGCCCTCGCCGGATGTGGGGTGGGATGTGGGTTGGCATTTTTATATTTATTTAGGTTATTTCTTCGTTAAGTTACGAGGTTTTCTTATAATGAGTAGTGCTATTTGTAGTATCTGAGTAATATTAATGTATTGTCATATGCAAAACTCATCACTGACTCAACAATTGGATGAAAATAATATATAATCAAATAACATGACCTGCAACACACTTGAGAAATGTGCTAAATATACAGCGTTATATTAATTACTTTACTAAATAAAAAATTATAAAAAATAAAGATATTTATTTCGGAAATTACAAGGTGAAATATACTAAGTACGAAAAATATTGAAATGATGGCGTTAATTTGCCGGTATTTAAAAGTACAGTATCTTAAAGAAGGAAGCTGCGTATGTTTGTATTTCTTCTAGCAATCAGTATCCTGGCAATATTATATACAACAATAATATGTTGTACATCTTGTGAATTTAATTGTATAATGCTATAAAGATCAATAAATTCTTAGTAAAGTAACGCCGAAAGAGGCGTCACTATGAGGCGCATGCGTACTGAGTAGAGGCTCGCAGGCTAGCGTGTGGCGGCCATGACTGGCCAGCTCCTCCTATGGGGCGTAAAACGAGTCTAAGGTTTGCGGGAGCCAGCAACGGGGCCGCTCGTGTCGTTCTCAGCCACTAGACTTCATACGTGTCGGACGCGTACAGTTATTGTTAAGTAAATTGGTAAATTATAAATGGCTGACCAGGAGATGGAAGGACAGGATTTCTCGGAAGATTATTCCGGGGGAGACTTTCAAGGCAACGGCATGGAGAACGGTGAGGGTATGGCTACCCAAGAGGGTGAAGGAGGCAAGAACGACAGCGGCGCAGCAGACGCACCCGGCAGGGACGATGACAGGTATGGTCAGGTGTGGGAACATCACCTGAATTACATTTTTAAACTGTAAACATTTTTATATGAAAAACAAAACAAAAATAGTGTAAAACTGTAAAGTACATGTGCATCAGCAATAAGTCTTTTGCTAATAAATTAAGAAGGCTACAAGAGGCATCCCTGATCTTGATCGTTCCACATCATAATCATCATGGCGTGTTTGTACATATTATCTTGTTAGTGTTCAAGTCGAGGGGTTTGGCGCCATGATGTGCGCGTTCATCAGGGGTAAATGTCGGTGATGAAGCCAGTAATTAAGTTGTAAATAGACTGTACCGTTCACGACTGCCATGTTTATCAAAATGGCGCCGCCAGCCACCATTTTCCTTTCCTTGACGCTCTAGCACGCGTCTGGTTTGTTAGTATTAAAATGTTCTAAGTTTCTGAACCCCCCTGGTGCGTTCATACACCATTTGTTCCTTTTGATTAATTTTTTTTAATTAAGTTTATAAATCCAGGGTGTTCGCAGGCTTTCGGCATCATCTATTAAGCTTATCTTAGGTTTTTCTATAGGTCACTTATTATTCATATTCTTCATGTGGTGTCATTTATCATGTTCTCTTCTTCTCTTTGCTGTTGGTTCGTGAGTCTGTTATAACATGAGTGGCGTGTACAGTCTTTGCGTGGGTGGGATGCCTCTTGTGTGCTGTTTTGTAAAGGTTGTTCAGTCACTTTGAGGGAGTGTCCAGATCCAGATAACGTAATTGACGCCCTACAATGAGCCAAGTTGCGTCAAGTCTCAGCCAGCTTGCTTGTGATGATGGTACTTGTAAGACTAAGGTAACGTAACAGGAAGGATGAGCCAGCTAGGTTCTGGGATCACCACTAACGGCGCCTTGTTTTGCTTCCTCCCAGGTGGCAGCTACTTCGGGAAGAAATGTTGCCCCCTTGTAGCCCGCCGCATCCACACCAGGGTATTTATCTTGTGTTGTCTTAGTGGTTCAAAGGTTCATCTCACTGGTTCTAGTTTCCTTACGTGCACTAGAACTTGACCTCATTTTCATCTTTTTTCAATCATTTTTCCCCTTTTATATCTATTTCCATGTTTTGCCCAGACTTTTCAGAATAATTTAAAAGCAGAAAAAGCAGTTGATTTTGGGAACTAGCTTGACGTGCCGATGTGTGGGTTAATGATTTGTGCAGTATTTCTCCCTGCCATCTTAACTTGAAGCAGAAAGTCAACCTAAAGGTACAGTACATTTTAGGAATAAGCTTAACATTATCAAACTGCTCAAGTAATATTCTAACTCGTATTTTGTTTCAGGAAATTGTTTGTTGGAGGCCTGAGTTGGGAAACTACCGAAAGTAAGTGTTGGATTAACTTTTGGTCAAGGTGTACATTAGGGTTGGCACGTTAATGCTTTGTATTCTTGTGGATGTTCACTTTTAAGGGATGAAAAAAAATATATATATATATATATATATATATATATATATATATATATATATATATATATATATATATATATATATATATAGTGGTGAAGGAAGAAAAAGGGAATTTTGCCTTTGTCCCTTCATTTAATTGATAAAACATTCATTGAAGTAGATTTACATTCCATTAGTTTACAAATTTGAGATCTATTAGAAGTGATTATCAGTGGCGACCTTAAAACACACCTTCAATTTTATATACTGTATACATATAGTTTATATTTTTTAAGTACTGTTTAAATTTTTTTTGTAAAAACCTCTTGTTGTTAGGCATTTAGCATATAATTTTTACTAATAGAAATTTGTTCATGTGTGTGGGCAGTAAGGTTTTATTTAGCTTTGTGGGTAAACAGTGCAGTACAGTATTTCTTGGAATTACAATGAAGTTTCTTGTAATGCCTTGGGTCAATTATTACAATGAAGTTTCTTGTAATGCCCTGGGTCAATTATTTGGATCAGTACAGTACGGAGACATCAGGAATTTCATTGGCTAACAAGCTGTGATGGGATGGCTGGAAACTTTAACTTAAGTTTTATGCCAGCCCATTTTTCGACTGGGAACTGATAGGAGTACTAACTGCCCTCTCGGTTTGCATGGTAATGGTTAACGACCATGGCATGTCTTTGGCTCCGGGAATTTCTCCATAATAGGTGAAATCTTTTATCATTTAAATAGGAATGTACGAGGAATACGTGGGTAATATCACATGGTGTTGTCTGGGAGGTATGTACGGGCTGGTTGTAAATGGGACTGCCCAGTATGGGCCAATAGGCCTGCTGCAGTTTCCTCCATTCATATGTTTCTGTGTCAGTAATTTTGGTTTCCTTAAAGATTTTGAAGACATCGTTTCAAACTACAAGTATTAGAAAAAAAATGAAATTGAAAATCTTTACAGGCAAAATTGGGGATACAAGGAAGATAAAATGGGGTGAAATTCTAAAATCTGTTTAGGTACAGTATCAGGTAGACCTAAAAAAAAGTTCTAATCCAGCCTAATCAAATCTACATTCTGATTTAAGAATAAGGTTACACATTTATAAGGTTAGTGTTGCGGGGAGATATGATAGAAGTATTTAAGTGGGTGAAAGGAATCGATAAAGGAGATATAGATTAAGTTCTTATAATATCCGAGCAGGATAGGACTTGTAGCAACGGATTTAAGTTGGATAAGTTTAGGTTTAGGAGGGAGATAGGAAGGAACTGGTTCACAAATAGGGTGGTGGACGAGTGGAACAAGCTTAGCAACTTTGTAGTAAGTGCTGGAAAATTTTAAAAGGAGGCTAGATAGATTCATGGATGATAGAGAGTGGTAGTAACTCTCGACAGGAGCTGCCATGTGCAGGCCAACCGGCCTATTGCAGACTTTATTTTCTTAGGTTGGTACTTCACGAATGTTATTTGACCGTAAACTACTGAAGTAACTGATAGTTACATTATTGAATTTTCTTGGTCATAAAGTGAACTTAAGGTAACATATTTGAAGCTTTCAATCCATGTGCCACTTGAACTAATGCCTGGTTGGTATTTAGAAAGAAAGTCCAGTTGTTATTTTATGCACAATATACTTTTAAAAAAAGTATGACAAAAGCAGTTGAGGTTTGTGTGATGCGAGATAGAGCTAATTACAGCAAGCCTTTAATAGTTGGGGGTAATTGGCGTATATCTGGAGGGATGTTTAGGAAAATGTTGTGCTCGTGTCCAGTTATTGGAGGCTTTACTCGTTCAAATTTATAAGCAGTGAAGTGACGTCGAAAAATGTGTTTTTGTCAATTTTAGTGGGATTTTGCGTTAAACTTTAGACAAACGCTTCCTTAACTTAAAAACATGTATAATAGAGCTGTGAACGCTGCATGTACTGCACAGGGTAAATATTGAACCAACTTCCTTCGTGTAGAAACAAATCTGTCTTTATAATGGGAGTCTGGGGAAAATACGCATTGATGAATTAAACATTTTCCAAAAATTGAAGTCTTTTTGTAATTTGGGAACACCCTGTACAGTAATTACCCAGTCACCAGTTTAAAAAAAAAGTTTGAAATTGTTCACCCATAAACACCGTTCACATTGTAAGACCTAAAATGTTGTGTACCTAGCCTATACAAGAAAGATGAGGGCTGTGCAATATTTGGGGGGGGGGGTTGCTGCACTTTAAGTGCGAAGTTTGTGGTCATATATTACTGCTGGCTATTTAAGATGTCAATAAAACAAATGTAAAAGTCTGATGGGGGTTTTTGGTGTTACAAAAAGGTGGAAGTTTTATATATATATATATATATATATATATATATATATATATATATATATATATATATATATATATATATATATATATATATATATATATATATATATATATATATATATATATATATATATATATATATATATATATATATATATACAGCTCCTCCCCGACTTTCGACGGGGTTAGGGACCCAAATTCAGGTCGTAAGTCCAAAAATGCTTAAATAACACAAAATCTAAAATGGTTGTCTCTTTTTCTTCTCAGCACTACAAAACTCGCTTTTAAGCTTGCCAGCCATTTTCACGTGAATTACAAACGAAATTTTTGTCAGTACACAGCGCAATCACTGACGTTGGGACTCGAAAATACGTAATTTGACAAAATTTTGGTATGACTGCGGCTGTCGTATGTCCGGGTGGTCGTAAGTCGGGAGGAGCTGCATGTATAATGTCTGACAGCAAATTAACTGTTGAACTGGGGGGGGGTGTATTGATGAAGTCTGCACATGCATGTTACTCAAGCGTGCCCCCCTCCCCCCCTAAATAGTATTTATATTAAGAATAAAGGGGAAGGGGGATCTGAAATTTGTACATTTATTGCATAGAATGCCACACCAGTGGGACAGACAGGAAAAATATTGACGTTTGGAAAATAACTACAGTACTGTATATACAGAGTGCTGCTGGTGGTGTTGGCACCACTGGATTAGGAAGGTGTTCTTGCTAAACTCTTAAACAGTAGACTTTTTGTTAGGTTAGGATGACTAATCTGTTGCCTAGGTACTGACCAGGTACAATTAGTAATGAACTGACAGTTTGGAGTTAGAGACAAAGCTTGTTCCTGTAAGTGGGCAATGAGAATTTTTTTTACAATTTTGTTGCACAGTTTGAAATTGGTGTCTAGTTGGTTTTGGTCCAGAAGTGGGTTGTCCCTGTTGCCAGGAGATGGGCTAAGTATTATTGGAGATTGATTTATTGGTGGTTTTGGTGTAAGGTGGCAAGAGAACACAATTAACAATTATGGTTATATTAAGAAAGATTCTACACTAGCTGAAGTGACCTTAGGTACTGAAGCCATTTTATATGCTGGTACAGTACTAGATTACACTGGAAAATCACTAATTTATTTGGGGTTGCACATTTCTGGGCTGGTGAAAGTTTCTTGGTTATAAATTTTTTAAGTTCTTCAGTTACGTTGAAAATATTTAGCACTTGGAGGGTGTCTTCTATGGTATTTATTATAAAATACAAAATACCCCTGTAAATCCTTAAAGATGACTGACTGACTATAAGCATTTCGAGTGAATTTTTGTCCAGGGAAAAATACTGTACTGCACTTTTGAATCCATGTAGGCAGTTGCATTGTGTAAGTTGAAGAAAGGGGGTGGGGAATTATGTAGGTTATATTTATATGATGAAAACTATAACCAGTTCTGCTTCTGATTATTAGGAAGACAATCTTGGTTCTGAGGAAATTTTATTGTCTTGCAGTAATCATCTTAATATATTGTGAATTAATGTAAGTGTTCTTCTTCAGAGGAGCTGAGGGAACACTTCAGTAAACATGGTGAAATCGAAAGTATAAACGTCAAGACAGACCCAAACACTGGCAGATCAAGAGGATTCGCCTTTATTGTCTTCAGTATCCCAGATGCTATCGATAAGGTAAGTGTTATTTGTTCATGTTATTGTTTGAAATTTTAAGTTCAACATGGAATTGTTTTAACTAAATGTTAAGAATCCCACAAGTCACAATGGAGGGAATTTTCTGGCCTAATGTTTACCTAAATTTTTCAAATTAATTGTGATACTGTCCTTCTCTAATTCCCACATGCTCAAGTTGTATTGGTAAAGATTTAAACAAACATTATAGATTTTGACCACTGGTGTATTGTAAGTCAGGATGTATAAAATTTAAATGTGCATGCAAAGTGTAATGAATTTATTAAGGTTAGCGATTCACACACATGGGCTGGACTGTTACATACATTAAAAAACCCAAGTACCGGATTATTGACCCACGGTGATGGTGTTACTCGGATGGAATCCATATTCTGGTGCCCATAGCGGGGAGGCACAACCGTTCAAAACAGTCTGCCAGCATAATACATTAACAAAGATTGGCTTATTTAAGCACATAATAAACTAGTCAAATTAAAATAATCCTACTAATTATGTATACCTTTAGTAAGTTTTTTATTTGGTGTAGATTTAACGGGTAAAAAAGGATAGGTTCCAATCCTTTATTTGTATTTTGCATATGCCAAAAATGAGCCAATAAAAATATTAAACCATGAAAATAATACATAACTTATCATTATTTAATGTACAAAAACTAGCTCCTGTGATGCATCCGCACATCGTTCATCTCCCATACAATACCTGTACTGTTCGCTCATGCTCTTAATTTTTCTTTATAGTTTTGTAATATATATTATTTATTTTTAAGTTACATTATAATACTCCATCACAGCTGCATGATGAGCTGGCAGTGTGTTATGTAGGTGTGTTATAGGACTTGCAGTGGAGTTGAACTGCATCATACTTAAGATATGCATACAGTATTCATTTACAAATTTCTGCATTATCGCGGGAGCAGTGTTTTCATTGTCGACCATTACTAGCACTTCAAGTTTATCCTTCGTGGTAAGGTTTTACTGACTGCTCTTGGTGCCTTACCTGAACGTACTTTCTGGGCATTATTTGCAGTTATGTCATGAGAACAGGAACAGGCATGTATTCACCGAGTACAGCACGACTGTTGTTTTGATGTAGACAGACAGTGTTGCTCCTCAACAATAACATTGCCCAACAATATACAGTATATATATTTTAAAGTTTTAAATAATTTTTCCAAGATTCGAGTCGATACTTGAACGTGTCATTACTGAGGTGGTCCGGTACTTGGGGATTTTACTGTAATGAACAATGGAAATTTCAAAGTGGATATGTGAACTTGATTGCATTTTCCCTGTCTCTAAATGAGATTAAATTTTACTTTCAGGTTATAAATGCTGGTGATCATGTGATCAATGGGAAGAAGGTGGATCCCAAGAAAGCAAAAGCCCGCCATGGGAAGATCTTTGTCGGTGGATTAAAGGCAGATGTCTCTGATGATGACATCAAGTCATTTTTCGGCCAGTTTGGTAACATAATTGATGTTGAATTGCCATTTGACAAACAAAAGAACCAGCGTAAAGGTTTCTGTTTCATCACCTTTGAACAAGAACAAGTTGTCACTGAATTGTTAAAAACCCCCAAACAAATAATTAATGGACATGAAGTAGATGTCAAGAAAGCCACTCCAAAGCCCGATGCCATGGGCATGATGCGCGGGGGCATCCGTGGTGGCATTAGAGGTGCACGTGGTGGTGCCATTCGTGGCAGGGGCAGAGGATGGGGCACCAACTGGAACCAGGGTGGCTATGGAAGCTATGGACAAGGGAGCTATGGAGGATATGCTGGTTATGGTATGTATCTTATAAGTAATTGTGATTATCATTAAGCAGGAGATCCTTAGTTTTCAATAAGGTTATTTGTAGCTGGTTGAGAACTTGGGAACTCTGTGCCTATCCTGTATTCCGCCTGTATGTTCATAGACATTTGACTTTGATGTATTTAGGTGACGTGGTCTTGGGAAGAGTAAGAAAAACTTACGTTCTTGGTCCTTAAATCTATCTTCACCATTGCAGGTGGCTATGACTACGGCTATGGTGGATATGGGGGATATGGTGGTTATGGTAGCTATGGTAATGATTACTATGGCTATGGCAGCGGGGGATATGGTGGTTATGGTAAGTATCAGGCTCATGCTTGACTTATAAATGTTGTAAGTGTAATTTAGTTTGCATGCCAAAATTTGACTGTCCAATTATTGATCATTACTAAAGACCTGCATGTAGCCCCTGACCTCAAATACAAATAGTTGAAAATATACATAGGCTCAGCTTTGTGGGGCAGCCTGTACTTTTAGTGTTCAACGAGACTGATTATTTATGGCGGTGTTGGCCCTTACCAGGCGGCCAAGGGTACGATGGGAAGAGCCAACGTGGGCGGCAGCAGGCGCGGCACCAACCATATTGAGGGGGGTCGACGTGGTGAATATGACAACACATGGAATGGCACTGAATACTAAGTGAAGTGCTGTCCCATGTTGCTACAAAGGCCTGCTCTGCTGCAACACAGTCACACCTGCGTCCGTGTCAAGTTGCCCCATCTATTTAAAATATTTATAAAAATGGAAAACAACAAAATGTGATTGTCACAACAAAAACATTTATAGTTCATGTGAAGCATTCCTGTGTACAGGGCATTTCACTGTACTCTGGACAGTTCATACAAATAATTTTTTTACGTAATTTTAAGAATATTATTTCTCATGGCTGTACAGTCCGTACATGTATGAATAAACGCGATTTTTTGTGTATGAAGGAGTTTCACTGATCCTTGTTAACTCTGTAGGATGGCAATTGTTGTTTGGTCAATACTGTACTGTATTAGTATTTTGCCGAGGTTTACAGAGGCGTCACAAAGAAAACTAGTGAAATTGCTGTAGTCTAGCTTCAGGTTTTCAAAGAATGTAGAACTATGTTAACTGAATGTGGACAGTTGCTATGTAGTATAATTTAGTAATAGTACCAATGGTTGTCCTAGATAATGGTTAAATTTGTTAATACAGTTGGCTTGTCACTGGAGATTAGCCTTTAAGTTTAGCAACATGTGAAGATCAAGTTGAAAGTTACATTGATGTGTATTTGTATACCAAGTTTCAATGATCTATATTGTAAGGTAGATTAAATACTTTCTTTAAAATTAAAAAGGTTAAAATATCTTGACCCGCACGGTTGGATGCACATGTCTGTACAGTAGAATTTTGAATAAATGGTAAAGTTGGCTCAATTGGATGTCTGGCCCAAATTTTGGAAAAAAAAAATATAAATGCTAAGATTTAACTGATGGTCTCTGATTGCAAGAAAGCTAAACATTAAACAAGAAAATTGTTGATTGCTTTGCTCGAGTGTTGTGTTGTATAATCCTACACAAAACTAGTATTGATCTGGGACACGGATAAAATAATGGGAAGAAAACAAAAACACTCCAATGAAATTTATACAAAAATAAGAAAGCATCTCTTATCCCAACCAGCAACACAGGCAAAGAATGGAATGCAAATGTTGAGGCTTATACCTAGGTCACCAACACCACCTTGGGGGGGGGGGGATCCATAAATAAGTACAGAAATGGAAAAGGAAGCAATATATATGTAACAATTTGTACCCTGCCAATGTGTATAAAGAGGTAGAAATTGTCAGGTCAGCAACCTGGGACTCCATAATTTTTATGCCGTATAGTATCGGGGTCTACTAGGACAAATTGCTTCTAATATCTTCCCAGGCTTGATAACTGCCTATAGGCCCAAATTTAGGAAATAACCCCCAACCTTATTTAGGATCGGGAAACCTACAACTAAGTCACTCTGAATTGAGTGTGACGATCATCCAGCTATGACAATGATGTGAGTTAAGGATCTGCCAACATCCTTTGCTAGACTCCCATTCGCTGCAGTCGTTAAGACCAGGAAATGTATACGTTGGAATCCCTTCTGACAAAAGAAGTAACGATTTCTCAGCTGAGTCCAGGTGTTTTTTTTTTTTTTTTTTAAATCGCACCCAAAGTGTGGTAGATAAATCTTACTCAGGCGTTGTGAATAAGGATTGTGATTTTCGGCGTCTATGAAATGATAAATCAACATTGACAAACAGTTCAAAGGTCTGGCCGGTTTGTGATGAGAACCAAGGGCTCCGAGTCCCTGGTGATGCCGCTGCTGCCCTCCGTTCAGTGACAAAGGATTACGTGGTAGATTGTAGAATTTACTCGCGTTATGCCAATGATACGACCTGGTAGAAAATATAATTGTTGAGGTTCAGGGTTGTGCAGTCTAAACACAGAGGAAGTGACATTATCCTTCAATTTGGATTATATAGAACTCCAAATAATTAACCGACTCTGATAAACGATAGAAATAAGACGGCACCCGAGTAAAGTACAGTAATCAAAGTGAAAACAAAACAGTTTACGGCACTTGCCCGCTTAAACCCGAAATAAACGCATAATTTAAAAAAAATGGCCTATAAACCATGCGAGGCAAGAGCTTGAAGTGGAAAATTATTTAGATTCTACGATTAATCTAATACTCGTCTACATTTTGTTAAGTTGGGTGAACACACTTTTCTTATCATCTCATCCTTATTATTTATCCCTTCATTTCTTCTCTAGTAATAATTTTCTGAACTCCCTTAATTATACAGGTACTTAAAATGACGCGCGCGCGGTATTGTATATATTTAATCCATGTGTTGTATACAATTACATTTACAATTGGGGCAATATACCCAGCTAACCTAAGTGACCTTTATCCTGCTCTCACAAAGTGGAGAAAAAGTAAACTTTCCACTGATAAACATCTCAGCCGTAGTGGTGACCAATGTGGTAGCGCCAAGAACTGTATCAAATGCACTAAAATATCTAGCAAATGGTGGAAATATACATTTGATAGAAGTTATATAATCAATCCTTGAGAAAACGGTAATATGCAAGATCTCCATGTCCTGATTTCCCATAAAAATAGGAAAAAACAGTTGAAGCAACGGCAGCAATAGGTATGTATGTGGTCGACGACCGTGTCGGCAGACTCGGCACCACCACACTCGTCTGTTATGTAACCAAGTAAATCTATGCTAAAATATAATTTAGAAGGCGAACGAGTTTGTTCCCACTATGCATACTCTAGAAAAGTGGCCAAATATTATGATTGGAATAAAGACAAAACATTGTTAATAATGGTGTAAACGTATATTACAATTACTTAATATTCAACAAGGACACACTGTGGGGTACGTTATGTTTGGTTCACACTCAGGATGGGATGGAGAAAGGAAACTCACAATGTGCTCTCCGTATACATGTTGTGTTGGATGTACAATGTAGGTTGGCAGCGTGGTTACAAGCGTGATGTAGAGAGAGCTGGTTGGTGAGGATGCTCAGAGGAGGACAGCTTGTGGGTCGCCATGCTCGCCGGCGGGAGAGAGGACCGCCAGGCAGGAGGAGGAGGTGGAGTAGCTAGAAGAAGAGAGAGGTCACCACGAGGTCAGGTCTTATATAGCGGAGGTCGGCGTGGCTTAATAGTTGACCTCCGTGATGTATGGCGGCGCTGGTTGACCCAGACCACGAGGCATACACAGGGGAATTCGCGGGGTCGGCTACTCAGCGACAAACAGCGTTTGTAGGGGAGGAATCCACTACACGACCATCAGTCATACAGTGACCTACTTACATAAATTATTCTACCATTCCTGTTCAGCTGTTCTCAGAAATTTTATAACTATCCCTATTATCAAATCAAGTACAAACTGCAGTACATGTTATATTACAAGAATAACATGGACGGACATTGCTGTGATTTGGCAGTTATGTAAGCTAGCAACTGGGCAGGGAAATTTTTCCCCAGGATGAACTTCCAGAATTTTGCCCCCACTATTGTCTGATGGGAACACACTTACTATGGTGAGGACAACGAATGGACATCATTAACATTGTTATGGTGTTTTATATGAAGTGCTAATTTTGTTCTAAAATTGTCAGAAAATTGCAAAAAGTTACTGTATATTCTTATGGGTTGATAATATAATGGTTAAAGTTTTTTGTTTTTAAATATAAATTTTTTCTCTTAATCTAAATTTAGTAAATCAGCTTAGGATTATATATAGACTTCCAATGATAATTAAGACAATTGTCACTCATATATTATAGGTTATTCTGGGAAAACAACGTTAAAACAAGTAGTTGTGGCACTCGACCTTGTGTGTGTGTTGAGATAGTAGTACAGGATTGTTAATTATATACCACGACTAGGACTACTAAACTATTTAATTTTTAGAGTATTTTAGACACCAAGAACAAATCAGACTAACTACACTTTAAGTTTTCGTAAGATTAAAATATTAACTTAGGTTTGTGTGGATAATGTGTGAAGATAAAAAGATAAGTGAATGGTGTTGGTGAGGTGTTCGTGGTACATTTTTAGTATTGTTCATCATAGTGTTTACATGTGACGGTGGCAGCCATGGAGACTAGCAAGATCTTCACTACCTTACTCTCTCTTGTTGTGTTATTCGCTGCTATTTGGTTTAGTCGTGATGACGGCTACTCAGTATTACCTAATAAACTTCAACAAGTCCTTCACGCCATGCTTGAGGTAAGATATTTGAAATACTTTGGTAAAACATTGAGTTTTTTTGTCTTGAGATGTGGGTTGGCTGAAGGCTAGATTAGAGACCCTTATCTGTGGTTAACTTCTGCGGCTTCCTCATACTGTCTCTGTACATAATTGAAGTTGCCATTTTCAGAATTGTTGGCTTATCTTGGTAATGTAACCTATATAAATGTCTCATTCGAGTTTTAAAGATAAATTTCATATGAGACAGGACTCTTTCATAGCCGTATTCTGTTCATTGTTAGGAGTCAAATGTCGGTATTATTTTCTTGTAGCTCTCCGTTCATTCCTACCACTAATCTATTATCATATTCGAATAAGACGTCTATTTATAAGATAATTCAGAGTATATTTGGCCCAATCAAAATCGAGTTTTATTTTGGGTCTCTCATATTTTGAAATTCAAGTTCAGTTCCGACCATGGAAGTCTGTCGTAGAACTCGGCTATCTCAGGTTGGTGTCATCTGTCAGGTTCACGCCCAAGCGCGACACCCCTTCTCTCAGCTGCCTTTTTAAACTGTCAAAGTTTGCCCTTCTGAAATCTGGGACTTTTGTGGAATTTTCCTTACGTCTGCCCTGAAAATCTAACTGGATTCTAATTTCTTTGTGATTGCTGTTAGCAGGTTCGTTCCCTACCTCGACATGACTAATGAGGTTTTCTCTGTTCGACAGAACTAAATCGAGTATATTATTACCCCGGGTGGGTTCGGTTATATGTCGACTTAGGAAACAGTCCTGGATCGTTTCAAGAAAAGCCTCTGATTCTGAGTTACCCGTAAGGTCAATCCAATTTATTTGGCCAAGGTTAAAGTCGCCTACTATACAGACTTTGTTGTGTATGGAAGCCCTGCGCATTTCATCCCAGATAAGTCGCTCATTAACTCTATAAAGATTGGGAGGTCTATATATTACTCCTGTGATTAATTTTTCCATACCGTCGATTAATTCTATCCAAATTGTTTCTGTATTCCGCTCAGTTTTTATTTCCTTATTTATTTCACACTTCAGATTATCCCTGACATAGATTGCTACTCCGCCTCCTTTCCTAATCTGCCTATCAGTATGGAATAATTTGTAACCCGCAATTTGGTATTCGACCGGTAACTCACGTGTGTCTAGGTTTCAGTGAATGCTATTGTATCAATTTTTTCGGTTCATACCAAGGCCATAATATCATCCATTTTGTTTCTCATACTTCTACTGTTCGCGTAGTAGACATTTAAGTTAGTCGTGTTCTGAGTCCTCCCTTTGCCGCGTTTAGGTTTTAACTCGCTGCCTAATTTAGTTTTGTCGTCATTCCTAACACTATTTCCCTGTAACCTTTCACTTTGTTTACCCTCTCCCACTGCAGCCTCATCCACCCCCGTGCTCACATGTTCCCCTAGCAGTTTAAAGACTTTGACATCTTTTGGACTGCCCTTTCGAGAGTCCCAGCCAGGGTAGCCACTCCATCCCTAGACAGATGCACCCCCATCCCTAGCATAAAGGTCCCTTCTGCCGTAGAAGTTGTCCCAGTTGTCAATGAATGGGACTGATATTGACTAGCAATATCTGTCAAGATGGCCGTTGACACCAACTGCCCTTGACAACCATTCATTGCCAACTCTCCCCCTAGGCAGTACACCACATATGATAGGGATCCCTCCCCTAGACCTAACACGTTCTATAGCTGTCTTGAACTTATCAAGAAGTTCCTCACTCCTACACCAGCCAATATCATTGCCTCCTGCAGATAATGGGTTTGTTCCCATTACCAGAAAGATATTGTCCATCCTGTCAACTATATCCTCCACCCCAGCTCCTGGCAAACACACCCTCAATCTATTTTTATCTTTACCGCAAAAAGCTCTGTCCATGTACCGTACCTGCGAGTCGCCAACAATCAAGATTTTCTTACCTTCCTTGTCAGCCTTGTCCATGACTATACTAATGTCCAATTCGTCTATCAAAGGACTGAAAGAGTTGGTACACTTAGCTGTTGTTGTCGTATTCTTGGTGTCTTTTCTCACCACCAGTTTGATCGTCCCTCTCCTCACAACCTTCCATTCGCCTGAGTTTTTGTCATTCACCTGCTTTCCTTGCCTCGTTTCTTCCTTCGGCTAGGTCAGCGACTTCTGGTGGCAGGGCGCGTCATGTTACATTAGACCAATCACAGCTAGCGGCGGAGGGAATGCGTGGGTGGTAAGGATGCGTGGCCCAATCACAGTCTGATACGTCATATGATGACAGCGTAAGAGCGACCTAATGCGCACAATGCCCGCGCCACCTCCCGCGTAAATGATGTAATTTACCGTGTAATTAAAACATTTCATTCTGGCAAGGCACCGCATAAATGACCAAACGCGTAAACAAAATCCGCGTAAATTCAGACTATACTGTACTGTATTTTGGTCAAGGAGCTAATTTAGAGAACACAGTAAAAACAAAGATAAATGTTTAATCTTGAAGGGATCAAAATACATAAGAATTAATGTGCATTTGTTGTTATCTCCTCCAGGTTGAACAGCAGTATCATGTGGGTGAGGTGCAAATCGCTGTTGGCTATGGAGCGTGTAAGGATATTTTTGTGCAGGGGTCACTCTTAATGGGTGCTATGACTCCACCTCAGCGTACGGCACACTTCAGCCGTATAGACTCCATCGAGCAGCTCAAAGAAATGTATGCCCTCTTTTATACTGCTGGATCTGCTGCTGAGTAAGTACTGTAATGTCTGCCAGTTGTCTTTGAGGTTAAAATACACTATTCATTATTATTTTTGTATTAGTAAATAGTGTACAGTAGAAGCCTGCATTTATGAAGGGAACCATTCCTTAGGCATTGTGGGAATTATTTAACAGGTGTTTGGAAGCCTCCTTGTTACTGTAAGTGCTCAGTCATATACTAAAACCTCAAACATGTCCCAGAGTCTAACAATTGATGCTCTCTGTAAGTGTAGTGGTCCCTACTTGTGCTCTGGTGTGTACATTTACTGACAATTGACTCTCCTGATCCTCGGTCCATTTGTCTTCCTGGTCAGTGATATAATGTACAGTACATGAGCATTACAGCGCCTTACATACCTACAGCTGGCTTACTGTAATGACTCTTAGAAGTTTTGGGAGTAAGACAACTGTACCACCCAGTTCCTGAATCATTATTGCTGCTGGAGACTTTATTTATTTTAGTTTGAAAGAATAGTCTCATTTATCTAATGATTCAGTTGCTATTTAAGCTTTTGGTAATGTTTGGTGTCAACCTAAACCCACACTGTGTCAAGGGATGGATCCAGTGTCATATGCTTTTGAATACTTTTTGTTCATCAGATAGCAGTCTGGTCCATCAGATGGGAATATCTGATTTGATATTGAATATAGTGATATAGAAGCCATTCTCAGATGTTGGTTGGGGGGCTGACGGGGATTCTCCCTATGGGGTATAACAGACCTACTCGTAAATTTGCTACTGAACGGGTAGTTATCGGTCATGTAGTAGAGACCACTTATTCTCAGACTAAGACCATTCACAATTTTAGCATTTAAGGATCACCTGAAGATTGGCCCCCAGGTAGTGTCAGGGTGGTTAAACTTCAGGTGGGATGCACTAGGGGTGGGGAGGTGGCAGTCTTTGTTCCTCAAATATCTGAACACATTGTCCTCTTGGGTCCTCTACTGTCTTCCATCCTCATCACATTTGTTTTTTGAATCACCGACCAGCTTATGGCAGTCCAAACTTGCTTTATCTATCTTTATTTCTCAAATTTGTCTCATCGGATGTTGTAAATGCTCGTCAATACTGTACAGTACTCATATTTTAAAGGCATCCAGTCTTTATTCTTCACTGACTTAGAATCAACAAGAGTTACAATATCACTCGATTAGTTTTCCCACTTTTGCCTTTAAACTTTCTTCTGTCTTCTCTGATAAGTTCCTTGTTGGTACTGTAGGTCCCTCACATTGTTCATCTCCCTCATCTCAGTGTCTTCATCTTGTCCTTTATCTGTTGTTAGCACTGTAAGTATCTCAAGTGAACAGATAAATTTCACCAGTAACTTCAGCTCTTGTTTTAGTAGTTATTGTTTCTTTCAGATGGTCATCCTCCTCATTTTCACTAGCACCATCACCTCAATCTTCTGTACGCTCATGTTAATTCCCATGTTTTATGTCATTGTCACGTGTCATCACTTTCCTAGCTGACACCGACCACACAGTAATATGCACACGCAGTCATCAGAATCAGTACCCATATGTGTCACGGCTCCTTCTCTCATCCCCTCTCCGCACTCTCCATTAGTTGCCTCATTGTGTACTTGATTTAAATACAGGCATCCCCCGGGTTACTGAAGGGTTCCATTTTGGAAAATCTTTCCGTAACGTGAAACCATTTATCCCATATACTGTACAGTACAGTACTTCCATTATAAAAGTTGAGATGCATTCCTAATGAAATTTTTTGAGACTCAAAAATGTGATGCAAGCTCATATATGTATGAAATTAGATGGTTTTAACCACATATAATGAGTCATTCATGATGTAACACGATAATAAATGAATAAAACACTCAAATTTTACTTACCAGAAATGATGTTTAGTGCTGCTGGAGGTGGTGAGGTGAGGTTGTGGGATTGGAGTTACTGGGAGTTACCTCCTTAAAACATCAAGTTTAATGTCCAATGCAATTCTTTTGTGGAATCTTTTATCACCACTGTTTTTACTTGAACTTGGTGGTCTTTTTCCACTCATTTTGAATAAGGGTCCACAGTAACACAGATGCATCACTGGGGAAAGAATTCAAACTGAGCAGCTCCATTGTTATGGTGAATGCTGGCAACTGGGGGAGGTGAGCTGCCTTCCAACCACCTTGTGGCTACCACAGATGTATTCACACATAATATTTTTGACTATTTTTGTAAAAATTTTGAATTATTAAAAAAAAAAAAATAAATAAATAAAATAAAAATTCGGTCAGGGCGAAATTTTTTCCGTAACCCCAAATTATGGTTAAATTTCAAAATTCCGTAACCCGGGGGATGCCTGTACTTGAGATTGTCAGTGAGAGAACAATACATACCCCATCTCTTTCCTTTCTAAACCAGTCATTGTGTTGTCCTCCTCAGAAGTCATATTTTTTTTTTACAGTGGGGCACCATAATGCTGGTCTATCACTCTCCACATTTCTCATTTCCATACTGAGTTCTGTGCATCAACTCAATAAACACAAAAATTTACCTGGCACACACCTTCTTCTGTTCTATTAACTTGTCCTCTTGTAAATATTTGTTCAACTGTTAATTTGTTCCTCTCATTTTTTTTTCATATTGTGGACTTTATCTTTATCCAATTCAATACCAGTATGAATCTCATATACACCTTGTCTGGCACTGATAGGAAATGGATTTACTTATAATGTATGTATTCCCTGCTACTTTTATGCTTGTGCAGTCATTATTAAGTACTGTACCACTTATAGTACTGCCATTATCCAGCTTGACATAGCTAAGTTAAGTAAGTATATAAGTACCATAACAATCAGTTTGAACCAATGCCACACAACTGAGTTATGCCTCCCAGCAAAAGTGTTTTAGTTTTGAGCAGTCCATAAAGCTTCAGTCTCCCTTCAGACCCTCACCAAGGCTAGCACCCCAGTGGGAAGACTTGGTGTTGTACTGGTCTGCTCCTCAAAGTTCTCTCTCTCTCATTAACAACATTACATTACCAAACATATTTTACGCTTGTTTCCCTTGCAGTGTGCATTTCCATGGATTGCTTGTCTGTTTATGATCATATAGTCTTAGTAATTTTTTTTATCTAGCAACTGTGAACTTTGCTGAATGAGTGGTTATCTGTACAGTTTATATATTGCAATTTCTTTTTAGTTATTATATATTTACATAGTAGTTTCTATTGCAGTGTGAGGGAAGGTGAGCAGTGGTAAGACAAAGCATCGTCAAGTGGTACTGTATATGATGCATGACACTTGACCAGCAGTACAGTACATTGTAACACATAACGTCGCTGCTGCTGAATACTAAGCCTTACTTGTCACTGCCGGAGTGTATCTATATATATACTGTATATATGTATGTTCCGTATATACTGTACAGTATATATAAAATTGTGTGATACTGCCTGTTTTTAATTTTCATGAAAGTGGATTGTTTTAACAGTATATAAAGAAATGCAGTATAATATGGCTTTGATATATAACATTGAGTGAGTTAGAGGCTTCAAAAGCTTATTTCATGTTCTTATTTATTTAATGATTAATTAGATCACCTGTAAATGGAATACTATTTTTAATACCCCACAGTTTTATTGGGAGGGTATGTAGTGTTTTTGTCTGTGTGCATGTCCCATTATTGATTTTTGTTCAGTAACTAGAGAATACTTACAAATATCTTAATACAGTTATAGTTAGAACTGTAATGTTATCAACAGCTAGGGCAGGTTTGTTATCGCAGCTGTCATCCCAGTTTAAATACGGTGAGTTAGAGCGCCGTATAAACATGGTTAGTTTGTCTGTAGAGCCTCGCTTAGGGTTATACTCATGAACTAAACAACAACAGCATGAATTGTTTGTAAGTTTTTGTGGAGCTTAATATATAGAAAAGCTTATTTGGTTTAGATATTTCCAATTTACAGACCATTTATGACCTTTTATCTGTCCTCAGTCATTTGTGTATTATCTCATCAAGTGTACTGTGATGAGACCCTGCAGACACATAGAGTAGCTGAGACTGATTCATTGTTACTTCCCATTATAACCTGCGCCCCAAAGAGGAGTTTAGGGTTAAGAGTTCACCGCATAATGCCTCAAGGTAACAATGTGGGATACTGTATGAGTCAGTTGTACTCACCTTGCTCTTGCTTGTCATAAGCCTTAAGATTTGATTTAAGGTTCATGTGTCAATTCCAGCTACTTTGTTATTTTATGCTGAGGTGTTCATGCCATCATCGTCCCCAGAGGGAGAGCTGAGTGTGTTTTGTCATTGTTTCAAGCACCAAGGAAGTTTATTCATGGTTGAGTCACAGGTCTTGGTTTTTTTTTATCTTAATAAGGTGAACTTTGATTTTAACAGTTGCTGTTTACTGTGTGGTAGTGAATAAATTTGGGTTTAACTGACAAAGTGATATGTGCGACTGGTGAAATCTAACTGTGTTAAAGGACAACCATGGTTCACGGAGGGTAACTCAGCCACACTTGTAAAGGCAGTCTTATTTTATTACATCTAGATTGAGCAGTGCTGGATAGTAAGCAAGACTACAGGCTGAATTAAAAAAAAAAAAAGGGGATTATCCTTTGACTGCATACCAAGTCCTAAATAATATCCACTGAGTAAGAAGGTATCAAAAAATGGAGAAGGTTTAAGAGTGATGCTGTCAAGCACCAGCAAAGGTTCTCTGATCTATTCATTTGCTTGTTGATGTCTGCTACAAAAATACTTTATCAGGAAACAACTTTAGGTTCCAGTCACACTTCTAATTTGAATGAATGTTCTAATCTGACTTATGTACAGTAGCATGTTTGCTGGACCCACAATGTCTAGGCTAAGCAAAAATACCTTCTTTTTCCTAAGGGAGAGTTGAAGTGGCAGCTGGAACCAAGGGATGATCTTGTAATCACAGCTTATGACTGATAACAGTGAGGTGCCTGCTGCAGGTATGCCACCTTGACTTGTTGCCTCCAGGCCTCAAGTGGTCTACTCTTATCTCTAAACCCTCTTTTAGGGTGATTGTTTTAACACAAAGGCATAACTAGTTAATGAATTAGCCCCAGACCCACCAGTATTATAGGGGTATGAATGCTTTAGATTTGGTCTGATGATATGCAAGTTGCTTAGGTAAGACTTGGTCATAAAATGGGATTTCAGAACCCAATCCTAATTTTCAGCTTTCCTGCTTACCATCAGAAGAGTTTATACCAATACACTGGCTTTGTAGTTATTATTAGTATTATCTGGTTTTAACTTTTTATATACAAGTTTCTTTATCAGTCATTTTTAGGAAGTGTGCATGAAGTGGGGAGGAGCTGATGTTATACCCTGGGCATTGTTGTTAATGGTGGCAACAGGTGGTAACCATCTATGTTTGGTGACCACTTTATGTAACTCAGTATTTGAAGTATAACATTGTGTACGTACTGTTGTTATCAGACAATATGTAATTAATGTTTTTTGGTTCCACATCAACTTAAAAAATAGACTTTGCTTTTACAATCACTTTTCATACACTGTTGATGTTATTCATGAAGCTCAGTAATAGGGCTCAGCTGTTTAACTATATTGGCATCCAAACAGAAGTACCAGTAGGTTGATTGTGAACTACTATACTGCCTTTACTATATTTCTGTCAGCAGGTGAGGATATTATCAATAAAATTGTCCAAAACACACATTAAAAATTACAGCCAGTTGTATAAATTACCATATTTTATGGTAGTACTACTGGAATCTGAGGAGTGAATCAGTATACCTGTATAGAAAATTTCAGTATACAGTATTGTCCAGTACTGTATAAAAGTTTAGTATGAAGAGGTAATACTGTATGGGGAACATTGCTATTGGTCATTAAGTCATTACACAGACCTACCAACATCATCCAAGGTTTTTATGGTAAATCATTTGGATATTGATCAGTGTTTTCTTCACCAGTGTACCACCAGCCAGCAATGACTGGGTCTAATATAGTGGTTATAGGGGCCTGCAGGGAGTAATACTGTAAATGTTGTGTCATTATGAACACTGCCCAAAGTAGTTCATGAAAACAGTAAGGGAGTCATGGAGTGTCAGCACTTGACCACTGGTGTATATGTCCTTGACACTTTTTTGACACAAACTCCTCTTGTTATAGCTGACTTTTGATTCCAGAGTCACCTGGCTTAAGGTCATCAGCCAGAAGTGGAAGACTGATACTGATATAATCTTTAATGGTAGACCCCATAACCAGGTGGCTTGGGAATTCTCTCTCTTCAATTGGGTCCTTGATTGGTCAGCTGGAACTGAATTGTAAAATGGCATGAACAAAGATGGCAGATGGGAGTCTTAGTTGATGCAACTTTGATAAGATCTCAAGCCTGTAGGGGCAACTGTTGTCCTCTTTTGAGGTTGATGGTGATATTGGGAGAAAGGAATGATTGGTCTATCCAAAATGAACAACAGATTATCCCTAACTGGCTCTGTCTGAGGAAACAGAACCCCCGGTACCTGGACCTGTACAGGGTGCCTGGTTAAGTGTTGTGCCTGATGGAGAAGTTCCAGGGTCAATCCTCCATGTTTTCAGTTTATGATAACAAAAATTATATTTAAAAAATGTGATTGAAATTAACGACAGTTCATAATTTGAGCTTATTTTCTTCCAAGATGGGAGTGAATATGGGTTTGCATTTTCTACTATTCATGGTATTGTTTTACAGACGGTATGTGGGAAATGAGACTCTCTTCAGTGAGACGTTAGCTGCAGCAGAAGCAGTACCAGGGTCTTATTCAACCTTGGGGGGTAATGCACCAGTCATGGCATCACGGTTTGCTTCAGAAGGAGCCAAAGTGCTTCTTGCAGCCAAACGTACCCCTTACATAATGCAGAAAATTAACTCTAATATCATTGGTAAGTTGCTTCTTCTCCTCAGCTATGACAAGACTTGGCCTCTGAGTTTGGTGGGTCTGTCTCTTACAGTTAGATATTATTGTAACCTTTGTAAAGCTACAACCTTGTTGGTACTGTACTGAGAATCTGTTGGAAATGTGAAATATATAACTTTTCTGAACAAGGTTAACAGCTGCTAAATATAATTTTCCTTAATATCACTCTCACTATTATCATTAGACAAAAACTATTCATCTTCCCAGGACAGTGAAGACCAAGTGAAAACATAAAAAAAAATTAAATAAATAAATAAATAAGAGAAAAATGCCTCTAAAGTAAAACTAAGTACTTACCATTATCAAGTAAGCAGACAACATGAGTCAATGAGACCAGACTAAACTTATTAAAATGATCTTGTGTTGTAGTGTTATATAAGTTCATCCTTATCTTCTCTTCCTCACTACAACCAACAACATTCAGACATGCCAGCCTTTTTGTTCTTACTTTCTTTAGGTAAATAGAATACAGTAGGTGGGGTTACTAGGCCTAAGGTCCAATGGCTGTTTGTCCAACATTTAATCTAATATTTACTTCACTTCCCCATCCCCCTACTTACCACAGGCCAACAAGGAGTAACTTCACCTGGGTAATTTAAATGGCCAGGCAGCAGCCCCAGCACCAAGAGAGATGCCATTCCTTTGAAACTGATTAGAACATAGCCATAGATGTCTGGCTGATTGCTTTACTGGGGCCACACATAAGGAACAGAATATGGTCAAAAAGTTGGAAACTGACATTGATAATCCTTAGGAAAGACTTGTAAGAGAAAACTGTCTCATAGTCTTCAGTCTTGATCCTTGTTTTATTTGTTAATATTACTCTGGTTATTACTTCAATATTGAGGTAATTTTTGTTTTCTTCATCAGTTGGAGGTGTAGAAACAGAAGGTGCTGATGACATCCACCTCATCTTGGAGTACAAGGCGGGAGAGAGCTGGGGTACCTACCAGGCTCCACGAGCTAACAGGTCTGTTTCTTCATCCTTTGTTAATTTTAGGGAGTTTTTTTTTTTTTTTAGTGTGTGGTTGTCAATGGGCTTGATAATTTTATCCACTGGAGCAACATTATAGTGCTTTCCATGTAGAGAACCAGATTTGAGGGAGTTATTTAAGGGTGTTTGTATTTAGAGTCGGTGAGGCTACAGGATCACCAGGCTGAACCCAGTGATACAGTCAAGGTAAAGGTAATGATATACTGTTTTGTACTCTTGTTGCAGGTTCATCATGCATAGTGATGATAGCAACCCAACTTTAAGCACAGTGGAATATTTTGGTGAGCAGCTGACAGCATTTAAGCCACACTTGTTTGTGGTTGGTGGACTACAGATGATGGATAACTTTCCTTTTGCACCTGGTAAGAAATCCATTTACTTTAGCCTTATTTATGAGATGTTGATTTCCACTTTTTATTATGTAAGACAATTTTTCTTTGGTATTGTTTACATTAATCCCAGAAAATCATTTAAGAAGAATTGTACATAAAGGCAGAGGAATGTGATGTATGATTAACTAACAGGTAGTACAGTACAGGTTAATAGATGAATGGGTTAGGTTAAAAAGAAACGTTCGTGAGTAAATTTTCGTATCTTGAATAAAAGAACAGAGGGAAAAATAGAGTTCAGTTCCCCATGACATTCTGTATGTTGGATTGTGTGTGCATGTAACTGAATGAGAAAACTATGAAGAAGTTTAAATTTATACCTGAAATTATGAGTTGAAAAATAACCGTGACCTAACTCCTGCCTCAACCTGGTAGAGAGAGCACTAGGGGGATGTGGCTGCCCCATCTGACTCCATGGAGCGTATGATTTGAATTTTCCCCGGGACCCAAACTTCTATAAGCGGGGGAAGCTTTCGTAGCACAAAAAAGGGGTGGTAATGTAGGAAATTTATATAAGAGAATTTTCAAGTTTTTAGGGATACCTGTACTGTATAGGAATTATGATTATCTTTGTTTTTACTAAGAATTGAAGATGAAGGGGTCTTTAATAAGTTCAGTCTCTCTCTTTCTTCATCTGGGTGGGTAGAGGTCGTGTGATGTAGCATATTGGTGAAAATGTACGGTTTTCTCTGATTCCTGGTTTCCCGACAACTTCATTTTACACGTTGAACCTGTATTTTTCATCACTAATGTATAATATATTTGTTTTGCTTTATATAGATTAAGTAAGCTTTTGTAGGCTTGTTTCTGAATCTAACTATGATTTATTACACTGTCCATGAGATATTGTATTCCAAGTATTAAAAAAAATATTCTGGAATGCAACCTTGAGATTTCCTGTATAGATTCCTACTTCATGTATTTCTACTGTATTTCAAATTTTCAACTATTCAATGGATAGGATTACTGTATCTATCACACACCTGTCATACAAACAGTACTCTTCATGTCCCTGTTCTTTTATTATGGGTATAACACACACACACACACACACACACAGACACACAGAGTACAGTAGGATCTCATGTTTCACGACTAATTGGTACCGGTTTTAGCGTCTCGAAAGTTAAAATCACGAAACGAGTGACATTGAAATACATATAAATAAGCCTAATCAGTTCTGAGGTGTCACCCAAACCTTTCTATAATGACCTACAACCCATTAAGAAAATGACATTACTGTAATATATTCATACATATTATACTGTACATATTGTTGATAATAATATTTATATTCACTCATACTGTAGAATAACTTACCATGATGGAGTCAGTGGGGGCCGAGGCAGGGAGGGCTGCCTCCTCTACACCTCCTCTAACCTCAGCATCAAGTCCCTCAAAGTCTTGAGGCAGATCTTCCACCAGTAAGTCACCCAACACTTCAATATCATCATCGGTGGTGTCATCATCATCTCCTAAAGTGATGTTTGCCAAGACATTAATAGACTGGGCCTTGTGCAGGTACCGAGTAATAAGGGCCTGCTGACGAGCATTAACACAGGACATGTACAAGGCCTTATATTCCTCCATAACCTTATCAAGGACAGAGCACATAAGGTGTCGAGGATGAGGCCTGGTATTGTGTTCTTCTAGCTGTTCACTGAGACGTGCCTTGGTTGTGAGCAATTCAGTCAGCTGGCGTGTTGTAGGTTCACCAGGTTTAAAGTCATCCTCTTGTGTTGGTTGCTGTTCTTCATGCTCCTCCAACATTTCTTCAATTGTTGGTTGTTGCTGATGTTGACCAACGATTTCTTGCAAATCTTCAACCTGAACATCAGAAAATCCCGTGCTGGGACTGACCACACTGCCTCCACTGTGTCCATTAGTGTTGCCGCCACGGACTGCCTCTCCACGCTTGCCTCGGTCTGCTCTGCCCCACTTACCTCGGAGTTAGCGAACAAAGGCTTCCATGCATGTAGCACTGTTGCAACATTAACCTTACGCCATGCCTCAACAATTCTGTCCATTGCATTCTTAATATTATATTTCTTCCCAAATTAACAAACTGATAACACTGCACGGTTGTGGGGTGGTGAGGTGCTAGGAGTTGGGTCATCTACCATCTCCTCCTCCTCCTGGTTAGCTGGTAGAGCCTGGTTACTGTCAGAGAGTTCTGCCTCTATTTGTTGTAACTCAACTGATGAAAGTCTTTATAGAGTGACTGATAGTAGAACAGTTTAAGATTACTGATGAATTCGTGGTCAAGTGGCTGCAGAAGCGATGTGGTGTTAGGAGGAAGGAAGCTAGCTTGTACATTAGGGTGATGTCCAATTAGATGCTTAAGAGTGTCCAGGAGCATTATCCATTACCAGGATCACTTTGAAGTCAATGTTCTTCCTCTGGCAGTACTGTTGGGCGTCAGGAACAAAGTGATTGTCAAACCAATCGGTGCATAAAGACGTAACCCAAGCTTTCTTATTAGACGTTCAATAAACATTGAGCTGTGACATATTGGCATGACGGTAGGCTCTGGGATGGGCAGCACGGTTAACAACCAGGGGTTTCATCGAGAATTCTCCACTTGCATTAGCTGTGAATAAAACTGTAATCCTGTCCTTTGAAGTCTTTACACCCCTTGCCTGTTTTTTATCCTTGGCAATGAAAGTGGTCTTAGGTGAGCTCTTTCAGAAAATGCCAGTTTCGTCAATTGAAGATCTGGTCTTGGCAATAACCACCCTCGCAATAACCACCCTCTTTCACAAGAGCTTGAAAGACAGTCAGATATTTTTCTGCCGCTATGACATCAGCCGATGCACTCTCCTCGTGGTATTGGGCAAACTTGACTTCATAACACTTCTTAAAGGCAGCTAACCAACCAACAGAAGCATTGAACGGAGGTGGAGAGTTAATGCATTTCTTCTGTGCAACGGCAACGTAATAAACTCGTGCTTGATGCCTTATCTGTGGCCCAGACAGGTTGCCTTGCTCACGGCTTCTAGAAAATCTTGAGAATGCATTTGCAGAATCAGTTAAGGCTTCCTTGTTCTTAAGGGAACGTATGGTTGACTCGGGGCAGTTGAACCCGTGCATGATTTCACAGGTACGAGCACCACTTTTGATCATTTCAAGCATCTCTCGCTTCATTTCAAGAGTGTATATCCTCTTCTTGACCCCCTTACGGTCGTCGCGCTTGGCTTGGTGCTTTCCTTGTTGACCTTCTCTACGGCCATCATTACCACCAGAACAGCTGACGACATTTACATTATGCACCTCACTCATCGCTAATACACAAGAATCGCTAATACACAAGAATCGCTAATACACACGAATTGCTAATACACACGAATTGCTAATACACAAGAATCGTTAATACACAAGAATCGTTAATACACAAGAATCGCTAATACACAAGAATCGTTAATACACAAGAATCGCTAATACACAAGAATCGCTAATACACAAGAATCATTAATACACAAGAATCGCTAATACACAAGAATCGCTAATACACAAAAATCGTTGATACACAAGAATCGTTAATACACAAGAATCACTAATACACAAGAATCACTAATACACAAGAATCGTTAATACACAAGAATCACTTATACACAAGAATCGCTAATACACAAGAATCGTTAATAGTTAAACAAGAATCTCGCAAAACTTAAGCACAATGGGCTATATAATCCAAGGTCACTGTACAGCTCAGTCAGTCAAACTAACTGCCATTACGGTGTAAACAAAACACACTCGGTGAGTCGACGGATAACAAAAGACCGTAACAATGCTCGCTGTTCACTCAACAATGACTCGCGACACTGGTAATGAAAATCGCTATTCTTGAGAGGCTGAAAATTTTAAAAGTGACGAGAAACATATGAATCCCGAATCTAAAACTGGCTAAACTTGAGATCTTACTGTACACCTCTCAGGGCTAAAAAAAAATCACTCTTCTGCTTGTGTTTATGACTGACATAGAGTGCAGGTAAGGGCAAGTCACTGCCCCTTGTGTACTCATCTGATTGGGTAAGTGCAAGAATTATTCTATATTAAAAAAGTGTTAAGAATGAAAGCACTTTGGTCATATTTCATTGGGATATGAGATATATAATGCATGTACTGTACTGTGCAGCAGACCTTGCCTCTGTCCACTACAAAGTTCAGAAAAATGAGTAACATTATTATACAGATACAGGTACTAACTATGTAGGACAAGGGGCCATCTCCAGAAGGGCTTGCTCCTGGCCACTCTTCCTCTATTAGTTAAAATGATCCTACCACTAACACATATACTGTACATCGCTCTTCCTTAACTATTTCCTAGTATAATATGATCATATCACTAATATAAACACAACCAATCCTATAAGTATTGAGACTCCAGGGTCCAGTGGGATAGAAAATGAGTGATATCTTCAGACGCATTCATGTATTGGTTGTGTTAGACTGGGTTGGTCATCGCCCCGTGCTTCATATTTTTATGGACGTCTCTGGGGTCTTGACACTTTTTGGAATGTCTGTAGTACTCCATTCTTCTTCATGTGTGTCTTAATAACATGAACATCCCACATGAACACTAACATCATTCTTCCTCATGTGTGTCTTAATAACATGAACATCCCACATGAACACTAACATCATTCTTCCTCATGTGTGTCTTAATAACATGAACATCCCACATGAACACTAACATCATTCTTCCTCATGTGTGTCTTAATAACATGAACATCCCACATGAACACTAACATCATTCTTCCTCATGTGTGTCTTAATAACATGAACATCCCACATGAACACTAACATCATTCTTCCTCATGTGTGTCTTAATAACATGAACATCCCACATGAACACTAACATCATTCTTCCTCATCACTTTAGTAATATGATCCTACTACTCACTTACTGTACTTGCATCACTCTTCCCCAGCACTCAAAGTAATACTTATCCACTTACTGGTGGCAAGTGGATTTTGCTAGGCGGTAAGTGATTCCAAAATGTGGGTAAGTAATTTAAGCTTATTCATTTAAAATATGAATAATACTCTGCTTTTGTTTCAAAATTAAACTTTAAAACATTGAAAGTAATCATCCAAAGGTTTGTGTGCATGTTTGGTGAATTTGTTTAATTCATCCCCTGAACAAATGGATCAGCCAAGTGTATTACAACTACAGTACTGTACAGTAGTACATACTGTACTACAGTACTGTACAGTAGTACTATACTACAGTACGATGCAACAATAAACCTGCAAATTAACGGGAATGAATTTTGGCAACATTTTATCATTTTTGATGGAGTTATTAAATTTTTATATCAAAGGACAAATGTTTGTTGACAGCCTATTGTGTAAAGTAACCTTTTGTCAGGCAGCTCTTGTAGCATTGGGTAAATTATAATTGATTCTTGGGTCCTGAAACAGGATGGACTAATGTCAGCTTGAGTTATTCTGTTAACCCACTGAGTGCTACTGTAGGGGTTTCTTTCAGCTGAATAAAGTTGTCTGGTATTAACCAGAATAATGCATTACTACAACACTACCCCTGCCTTGCCAGCTGTTCCCACCTCTGGCTGAGTGACTTCGGGTTAGGTTAGGTATGAAATGTTATATTGTACTACCTGGTTATTTTGTTTACTCTTTAATGGTTTATGTCTTGACAAAAATCAGACCATAATCACTCTCATATTTTCATCCCAGACATCTTTTTGTCACTTCAGTGCTTGCTATCAACATCCTTTTGGAAGACTGCATGTGATCATACAGACTGTACTCATTATTCTGATCTTTTGTCTCTCATCCTTCATGACACTAAAGCTCTTTCTACACCTTTCCTTCCTTTAATTTACAGCACCTTAAATGCAGTTTACAGTAAAGTAAGTACAATGCAGTACAGTACAATACAATACAGTACAATACAGTACAGTACAGTATAGTGCAATGCAATACAGTATAGTATTGTACAGTATACAGAAATTTCCTGATGTCATAAAGTAGATATTGCTTCTCTCATACAACATGCAAGGTAAGCTGTGGTAGGGTATAGGACTCAGTCAAATTGGTCACTATGTGTGTTGCTATGTCATGTGCATCTCCCCAGTTACTTAAAAAATGAGAGACTGATCCTGGATTTCCAGGAAAACTCATCACTTTAACTGAACTTCACAGTAGCCCATTATGGCCCATCCCACAGGCCAGAAAGCTTTTCTAATGATGGACTGAGTTAGTTACACCTTGAAATTAAATGTTGCCCTAAACAAAATACGGTCAAGATTGTCACCACTAAGAGACCTGGCAGCTGTGGATAGTTATCTCAAGAGAAGGAAATTTTGCAACCCAAAAATCAATATAATCTAGAGTTTCTTAGCCTTAGTGTTCCTCCAAGTGCTTATTTTTTAGGAGTAATGCACTTAGTTGTGGGGAGACAGCTGAACTGAAGCTTGGTCCTGAAAATCCAACTTGACCAATGAAGGAACAGTGGAAAGTGAGGTTGTACAGACTACTGTGGTGTCTAGACTCATCTGCCTTTGGTGGTATTTTTTGCTTCTTGGACCCTTTTATAAGGGCTTAAGTTACCATGAGGAAATAATGTTAATTTTTTTTAATAGTCTTGGCAGTCAGTGATGAGGATAAGCCTGGTTTCCAGCCTGTAGACTTGATGGAAAATATTCCTAAGTTTCTTTGGTTTGCTGTGAAGTTTTAAAATTACTTTTTTCCCCATTATAGCTGACAGATACCAAGGTTATTATGGATAAACACCTTACTGACTGGATTTGTTTCACGAATGTTCTGCCAATTCTTTTGTCACTTGCGCTAATTGTCGATACAGTATACAGTACCTGTACCTGTACTCGTATTAATCCTGGTAATAAAATATACTGTTCTGTTGTATTTACTGATTTACCCTTTGTACATTACCTGATTCACTGTTGTAGGAGTACGTGAGGAGCGTTTAATTGCTGTCAGAGACCAAATAGTGTCGCTACCAGTCACTACTCGAGTCCATTTTGAAATGGCCTCCTTTACTGACACTGATCTTCTGACTGGCCTCATACAGCATGTCATTCCATATGCTGACTCTCTTGGAATGAACGAACAGGTAACAGATGCCATCCCACTTGTAATGTATTAGTAATTATGGGTCACCTGAAGATTAACCCCCAGATATTTCACACTTACCCCTTGTGTGTGGGCTCCTCTCTGTGATGAATAAAATTGTCTGCCGTTATTCAAACAAAACATTAAAAGTGGCGCCCTGTAGTGAAGAGGTCATCCACTCGAACACTAACCTGACCTAACTGACCTGCACACCCCCCCAGTAATATTTGGGTGTTTAACCATCAGTTGATATAAACTGGGGAGGTTAATCTAAAGGTGATTTGCTGTTTTGAATTGATTTGATATAATGCATGGCAGGAAAGTTTATAAGCTTTGAGCTACATGTGTGCCCACTCTGCTACCAAGAAATATTGTGACATGATTTGAATTGGATTCCTCTTAGCCTGAGTTGGGAAGTTGGCTTGTTGTGTACATCTGTGTAAGTCTTATATTGGAAGTTTGTAAGCACTGCCCTGAGCATTAGAGGGTTTAACTAGCTCAATTCCTTCTTTCCTTAGTAAATAAATGAACATATAACATTATATTTACTTGTCACATGTCTTATGTTTTATCATAATTGCAGGAATTACCAAATCTGTACAGTATGGTGAAATACGGGAATGTGAGTTTAGTGTCAGACTTCAACCCACGAGTAGCGGTGGTGCTTGACCAGATGAGGGAGGTGTTCCAGTAAGTGTTAACTGAAGCTTAAGAAGACTATTTGATTATATTTCAATAATTTAGTTTATGTTCACAATGTTATGGTAATGTTTTTGCTCACAAGGAAGGGTATATAGTGTGTCCATCTGTCTGTACATTTGTTTGTCAATGTCTATAGTGTTACAGTTGATGTTATATTCACTTCAAACGTGGATGACAGTTTATCCATCAGTACTTGTATTATATACGTGTTGCAGTTTGACAGCTGAAGGTCCAAGTTGAAATTATTGCCTGGAGTATAACTCTTTTATCTCCAGAGTTAACGTAAAAGATACTTCTCAGAGATCAGTATCATCAGGTTTACATTAAAAGTCAAAGTGTCGAGAAGATGAAAAGTCAAAACTATACTGTAGTGTGATGCTTCTGTATGTGTAGATATTTAATTACATTTGATGTCGATGTGGATGAAACTTTACATGAGTACAGTAGTCCCTCACCAACTGTGGGGGTTAGGTTCCTGGAAAACCCTGTGGTTGGCAAATCCACAGTTGGTAAGACTAAAGACTTCTGCGAAATAGAAGGTGAAGTTCCACGGCCACAGATACCACTCGTCAAAGCCTAACTAAGTTGCCCGTTCCTTCACTAAACATTACCTGCATTGTACATTTCACTGAATTTGAATAAAATACATATAAAATAGTTATATGGTGGATAAGTACTATGTGAAGGGAGAGGTGGTTGTTATAAGGAAGAGGGGGACACAGGCTCACTCTCTTCCTGCACCTCTTCAGGTTTGTCAGCGTTTAATGATGAGGTGTGTGGCATAAGGACATCTTGGCTGGGGTGTAGCTGCTGGTGGAGGGTTGTGGGTCGGTGATCGAGGCAGCTGTAGCGGTCACTGTCTTGATAAAACAGCTGAGGAGGGGATGGCTGGTTATTATTTTTGGAGATCCCTGTACACTTTCTTGTAGGGCCTCATTAAATCCTAAATCCTCCAACACACACTAAAAAGAAATGTTGTGCTCCATAAAGGCTCAGTTTCAATGAAATGCTCAGCCAAATTTAAAGCAGCAAGCATTCCCTTACTAAGGTTGTCAAGTGTCATTTTCACATTTTTCACCTCATTCTTATCCTTGTTCTCATCACTGGAGGACTGCATCAGCTCCTGTAGGTCATCACTCTGTCAACTCCTCCACATTAGAACCAAGGAACTTTTCTATCTTATTGGCCTGCACATATCCCCTCGTCTAGTAAACATTACACAATCTTCCTGAGGTGGATCCAGGAATATCAGGGGGGCATGGCGAGCACAGTGAGCCCATCCAGCTGGGGGGAGGGGGGGAAGCTTTAAGTCCCACCAGAAAAGTATTGAAATATGAGCAATATCATGAGCATTTTGAGGCCATGTGCACTTGATATTAGGAGATATTGAGGTCAATAGTAATTCATTTTTACTATACAAAAATGCCTGAGAACAATACTCATTAAAGAAAAATTATTGAAATTATTGAAATTTTCTGATGAAAAGGGGAAGGTGTCTGGACCCCCCCCCCCCATCTTCATGATGCACCACACCTCAGCATCGACTGAAGGGAAACCTTGGAAGTCATGCACCACCTCAAGCCAGATTTTCCCCCAGCACACATTCGGTGTTGACTGCTTAACTTCATCCATGGACTCATTTATGATGCTGTTGCAGTCTACAGTGTTAAAGTTTTGTCCAGCAGTCTCTGAAACAGTGAAGGTGGTGTACTCCTCCATGGCATCAAAGCTGTGGCTGAAGGTGTAGCAAGTGTAATAAAAAGGTGGCTATTACACCCTGGTCCAAAGGCTGAAGAAGTTTGGAGAGAGAATTACCACTTCTATGAGTGAGGTGCTCCTCAACCTCATGGACAAACAGTTATTAAACCAGGCCTTACGGTTAGACCACCAAAAGACAGGGAGGTTATTCTTAGTTTTGCCCTTCAGGTCACGGGGGTTGAGTGACTGGTAGAGGAGCATCGCCTTAATAAAACAGATACTTGAAACATTACCACAAAGGAGAACGTCTGCCTGCCCGCCCTTCACTGCCTTAAATTCCGGAGCAGACCTCTCGGCCTTTGAAATGAATGTTCGTTTTGGCAATTGTTTCCAAAAAAAGGCCAGTCTTGTCTGTATTGAATACCTACTGTGGCAGGTAATCCTTCTCCTGATTCAACTTTGTAAATTGTTCAGGATACAGTGAAGTGGCCTGGTGATCAGCTGATGTGGATTCCCCAGTGAGATATGTCCGCAACACCCCTCTGGCCTTCACACAATATGTAATATAATAAACGGAGCAGTAAAGTGCATCTGCACGGTACGAGATCACAACACAGAGAGAGCGTGGAGGGCAGTTGCGGGACGCCGTGTGGAAAAATACATTGGAACATGTTGGGATAAAGACACCGCCCTAACCTGCCGATATATAAAATTCAAAGCCGTGGTCAATGAAATGGTATACTGTACAGAGTAAAGACCGTGGACACCCAGACTCGCAGTTGGCGAGGGTCTGCTGTATTTATCTTCAGTACTTAGCTAACTTACAAGAATTGCACTCTGTATGGCTTTAGGGCACAGAGAAGACAGGCCAAAGAAGCTCATCTTGTCGGGAAACAAGCAGTATGGTTATATAATAAATATGATTTTTATAGATTACTGCGAGAAACTGAAGAGAAAGGAGGGAAACGCCACTTGACGAGGTTGCATCTACACACTCTGGCCTACCAGGCCATCATGGTGTTGAAGGATTCACCGTGGAAGAACACACTAGCAGCTAGTATCAAGGCTGCTCTTACTGCTAACCGCCATGTTTGTGGTAATACTGAGGTAAATATTATGTTTGTTTTAAGAGCACAAGTTGGCCCAACAGTATCTTTATTTTATATTTTACCTTCTGCTTGGTACTTTACACTTCTTTCTCTTAATGCTCTTGTTTGTGTGAAGTTATCAGTACAGCACATTACTTGCTCACAGTCTTCCTGTCTTCTCACTGGAAGTTTGGGAGGATGTAGTGGTGATACTGTGTATCCAACTGTCCATTGAAAAGATTCAGTGTCCACTGGCCGTCTTTCCATACTCTCTGGATTTATTTCACTTTGGGTATGAAAGTGTACTATGACAAATTCTTGCTTGAGATTCTTGAGCATATTGCTAGTGCTAATAATTTTAGATATACAGTACAGTAATTTTGGACTTAAATTAGTATAAATAAATCATGATACACATGGTTTTTTACTTTGTGCCCTTTGTCAGGAAGCTCCTTAGAATATGAGCCACCAGCTGGGGTGTTCAGTGTCCTCAGACAACTCCCAGTTATTCAGCCCAAGGTCAATAGTTTAACCCAAATGGAAACAAACTAATCCCCACCACCTCCCCATTATACAGTAGCTATGTATCACCCCAGACTAAGAGAGACCAGGAGCAGCAGATGTTCACTAGTAATGGGAGATATATTACTGATCATGTCTATCTAGTTGGATATACCAATTGGTAACTGCTAGATCAAGAATGGATTAAGAGATAACCCTGTGGTACGTAATGGAGGGCAGTCTGTGGACATAGAACATCCAAGTAAGCAGCTCGAGTCATGAGAGTTACCTAGTTATGGGCTCCACCCACTAATGAATATAATTTCAGAATCAAACTCCAACTTTTGCCTCCAGAGGCCAAGGCAAAAGTGTGTAGTGGTGTTTACATGGAATCTCAGTCCTAGGTTTACTCCATGCTCAGCTGCATCTGTTATTTTCAGTTTTCTGAGATGCCTCCTGCTAGAACTGCTTGAGCCTCACACACAGTCACCACTAGAAGTTATTACTAGAGCACTAAAAGTGTCACTGAATCACAAATAAAGAGTGAACAGTATAAATTATGGCAGAGCAGAGACACGACATGGGCATGTTGATGGAACAAGTCTCCATATCACACTCTGCACAAGAGTTCATGTGAGCCAAGTCATCACAGAGGCAGGGAGCGACCTCGCATCATCACTTGCTGATCACGTGAGAAGTCACTGTGTGGGCCGTCATAAATTTCATACCAAACATTTGAGATTTTGGAATTTTTGCAAAATAATAAATGTTTGTGCGATGGCCCTAAAACCAAATTCCAAGGTCTTAAACTCAGGAATTGCAATACTTTACTGTTACTGCATGCACATAATTAAAGTGAATGATATAAATATTTTTGGTTTATTTCTGTGGTGTTTATTTTTATACATAAAATAGAGTAAGCGCCCATAACTGGTAATAGTTCTGCTCTTGTTTATATAAAGCAAATTCTGAACCATGATAAATTGCATACAATGCTGCCTTCAAAATTGATGCATGATATACTGTACTGTGTAGGTACAGTACTGTTGTTGAATTTTTATTTACAGTTCTTGTATACAGTCTCACTGTTTAAGAAAAAGGATTAAGTTGGGTTTATAAGGTGCTGTAGGTAAGGTAATGGTTTACCTTCCTTGTACTACTTAATTATATACAGCTGCTCCCCAACTTACGACGGGGTTAGGGACCTAAATCCAGGTCGTAAGTCAAAGTGGTCGTAAGTCGAAAATGCTTAATACATAGAAAATCTAAAATGGGTGTCTCTTTTTCTTCTCAGCACCACAAAACTCTCACTTTTAAGCTTACCAGCCATTTTAAAGTGAATTATAAACGAAAATGTTGTCAGTACACAGCGCAATCACTGACGTTGGGACTCGAAAATACGTAATTTGACAAAATTTTGGTACGACTGCGGCTGTCGTATGTCCGGGTGGTCGTAAGTCGGGGAGTAGCTGTATCGCATTTTGGGCTCTCATAGTTGTTCCTTGTCCAATATGAGTCTGTGTAATGTGAATCTGCTTATATTTGTGCCACCAATCTGCTCAATACTGTACAAGACCTTCTTATACATGAGTTGTAACATGGCTACTGGTTTAAGTTTGGTCTCCAGTGTTGAAAAGGATAAGTTAAAAATCTGTTTACTCATCATTTTTTCTTATTTGCTCGTGAATATTTAATGAAAAACTTTTTTTTTTATCTCACTTGGATTGTAACTTCACCGGGTGGGCTGGAGCCTTGAGTTATGGTTCACTTATAGTAAAGTGACCTACCAGAATTATGGTGTACTGTATTATGTCTGGTCCAAAGGCATGATAATATATATGATATTAAAGCAGGTATGGAGGATTGTACTGTTTAAAGTTTTTCCATAGACTAATACTCTATTGGCAACTAGGGAGATGTACTGTACACCCCAGTATAGGGTCTCTCTCTTATTTCATGTGTGTTTTGCTAATGCATGTTTTCATCTTAGAAAATAATTTATTTTGATATTACAGATAAGTATAGATAATGCTCGAATGCTGATGGACGATGGTTTCACGTTGTCTGAGGCTGAGGGTGCTGGCAGGGTTTTATTTGACAACCACCGACCTGTGTCTTGCTGGACTGAAGATGATGGCAAAGTAGAGGTAAGTTGTAATGGATCTTGTCTTCATTCAGAATAAAATTAGATAAATAAAGATATTTTAATTTAAACAACAAGCTACTGGAATCAAATCCTTAATTTCTTATCTAACAGTATTTAATGACTGTCCTATGTTTGAGGGTGAAAGCAGTAAGTTTTTATTTTTATGTCCAGCCAGAAAGTATCTTATCACCTCCAATCTCTCTCCCACAACCATTGTCCACTTCACGGGAAAAATTTAATTTTGTACAATTTAAGGTAGACCTGACCTGACTGTTGAGCAGTGGACAGTATACCTCCCTTAAAAGATGTGGATCTATATGCTTAAGCTAAATAATCTCAGTACATAACTGTGTTTTCAAACCTGCTTTAATTGCGACCTGTGGTGTAATGGTCAGCATGCTCGCCTTGCAAGCGAGTGGACCCAAGTTCGATCCCCGGGCAAGGTGAAACTATGGGCAAGTTTCTTTATGCCATTTGCCTCTGTCTACCCAGCAGTAAATGGAAACCTGGATGTCAATTGACATTCATATTGTGTTCAGGGGTAATGGTTAGCCAGTGCAGTTGGCGAGTTGTCCGGTCTTCTCGGACTATTCCTCAACACTGGATCGTGCAAATCGTTAACATAGGGTGTGGTTGTTGTGTTGACGACACCTTGTACACCTTAAACAAATACACGAGCAAGTTGCCCTAGGGCCGGCCATCCTAGTATACAAGAGGCAACCATTATTATTTAATTAATTTTACAGTATTTGTGAAAAATGGCTCATATGTTCCATGTTATTGAGTGAGGGGCCCAATTGTCCATGCCAGTTTTCTCACGTCAAAACAAACATTATTCACTGAAGTTCTCTTTTAATTCCAGGTGTGTATTGCTCCGGTCCTGATCTGTACACAAGTCCGCCAAACAGCCGGCGGAGGAGACAATATATCTGCTGCAGGGTTAATCCTTCAGATATAAGAAATATTAACCATAGTTTATGGAAATACAATATATACGTTACTAAACTTGATTTTAAAGGTTATAATGAGTTTGGGGTATAAATATACAATACAAAATAATACTGTACAGAAAATTGATGGGTATTTATGTATGCTTTGTGGTATTGTTACATTACTAATGAATTGATTTGTGTGGTCAATATTTTACACAGGCCTAATTTGACACACATTGCAGATAAACCATAGCTATGTACAGAGTACTTATTTTATTTATATAAAAAACATTGCATGTAAGCACTTGTTTTATAAAGTTTAATTTATTTTAACTTCTCCATTTTTCGATAGTCTTTGTATTTAATTAATTCTTCAATATTTTTCTAATGTCAGCTTTTATGTAAGCCTTTGTACTTTTATGAATTCCTGAATAACTTTTTATGGAGTGAAACAGAAGCTCAAGATGATATACACCATGTTGTATTTTATGGTAATAGCATCGTCATTGTGTGGAATTTAATATTAAAGTTGTAAGAATTATTTTGAGCTCATATACTGTACAACCATTTTGCTTTACTACCTGTGAAGGGCAGGTCACTGTCAGTAGCTACTGTTTTGTTACTTGTGAGAAAGTTCTCCATGATGATAAAAAACCTGACTTTAGTTGGGGTTGTGAAGGGGGTAAATACAATAGTGTAGTAGTTGCATTCTCTCCTTGTGTACTAAAGACTGAAGTCTTCGGTGTGCTGCATCACTTGAGGTCCTTTACAGATCATCACGATTTTAGGGCCTTTTTTCACATTTCTTCCTTTTCATATCATGATAAATATACAGTTTGGTATAGTTAACAAAATATGCATAGTGGGGGATGTGCAAAGGAAAATAAAAACAGAACTGTGTGTTTACAATGGGTAAAACTGGTGCCAGTGTACGTTGATAGTTTCTAGGAGCCCAGACGAAGGAGAAGACGTGGTACTAGACCGTCTTAGTCAGAGTGTAGGGGCAGGTGGGGTAGATTATGATTTCTTGTTGAGAAACAATAATAATTGAATAGTTCACAATGGGGGAGATCATGGTTGTCAATTATTGCACCAGGAGTATCCTTCCTAGTGTGAATTGTCCTGCTGAAAACATATACTTGCTATAGATCCCCAAATTGTAAACAGTGTTGTCCCTGAAAGCTTTGAAAGTGCAGTAGAGTACAGTACACAAACTTTTGGTCTAGCATTATAAGTTTTGTGGTGAAGAGGTGGTCAATGGATAAACTAGTGTACATGTAAATTCAAAACAAGATTTTTCATCTAATAAAATACTGAAGGAAGCTTGAATTCAGAATGAAATGGGATCACAGTTATGCATGTCTCAACAAGATGTTAAGCAAACATTTCATCTCCCTTTTAAGTCATTTGTGATGGTGATATAAATATTATGAGGAGTGCACCTGACAGTGAGTTTTTCATCAAACTCTCTACTTCCCTGTAGTTAGTGAGGGCAGTAAATCACTTAGTCTATAGTTTTGCTAGTTAGAATGTGATAAAGAAGAGAGTGTTTCATTTGTGCCAAAACAGTCCACATATCTAGTTTGGCACCAGGTTATTAAATGACTGATAATTACAACCTTTCAGTTCATTAGTGGTTACGTACTGTACCAGAGTCTTGCTCTCACAAAGCAAATTCCGTGTTAGTCATTGGTTATACAGGTACATACAGTAATACATGTACTGTATTGAGATAAGTCAGTTATTGTTAAGTATTACTGATTAATCTCATTTTAATTATTTTCTCTTTCATATGTGTTGGTGATATATGGTCCTTTTACTGAGAAATATTAGTATTTTTGTGTTGTCCCTAATTTAGGAGTTTGTACTTTGTTCTGGGGATGCTGAAGGTTACTCTTTAAACCCTTGTGTGCGGGATCCACTCTGCTGAGTGAACTAATCTGGCGTTAGCCCCCAAAAGTATTAAAAGTGGCGTCCCTGTAGTGAAGGAGTTAAACAGAGTATCTTGTGAGTTACCTTAAACTTGGCTCCTGCTGGGGCACTTGAGTAGTGTATGGTATGTTGTTGGCTGCTTAGTAAAATGTCTGTTTGTTATCAACTCTGTGATATTGACGAAGTGCAATACATCACAGTACCAGATTTACTTGTATTGTTTTTAAAGTTTTTACTGTATAACAATTTTGAGTTGGTGTGGACAGACTCACTTATTTTATATACTGTAATTTAAGTTCATTTGCTTAATATTACAGTACATGTAATTTCTAATTTCAACAAACTCATTATCAATTAATATTATCTGCCAAATTGTAAAGGGTTATTGTTTTGGCTGGATGTGTGCCTGTATGTATGTATGTCTGCTCTGGAAGTATCTTAAAAATGGCTCTTATTTTTGTTTAATGTTGGTGGAACTCTGCTGGTGGATTAATTGTTATGTGATACAGTAGATTAAAACCCAAGGTTACAGTTTGCACCTCAAGAGATGTTTACTAGGTGGATGTAATCAGTGACATAATAATAGGAATAGGATTACTGTTTCTGGGATTGTTATGATTTTACTCAACATGTTTGGGTAAGGACTAATATGATTGTTGATAATGGGAGAATTATATTTATTGTTAATATTTTTTTTTTCTTTTTTATACTAGAAAAGTGGACAATAGTCGGTAATAAATAGTAAAAAGGCTTTAAGTGCTGATCATAGGCAGCACTGTCACGGGGATGTGTTCCTAGAAAATGTGAAGTAAATATGACCAACATAAACAAGATACATATTTCTTATAAACTTAGTGCTCCCTGGCTAGACTTTTGGACTCATTAACTTTACTTAAATCTCATGTAAATAAATATTAGAGACAAAAATGAAACAATTAATAGACATTTAAGTGTGAACAGATTCTTGGATACTCGCCAAAATAAAACTGAGAATGTGTACACTTAATTACTTGTTCCTCTCATGATTAAGGGTCTTTTGATAGATTGACACAAGAGTAAGTATATGGAATATCACTTCTTGTTCTTTCACTGTGGCAGATTCAGTTCCTGGGGATGTGGCATTGCTCTGTTGTTAACAATGTTGCCACATGATGATGTTTCTGGTAGGCTGTTTGAGTTATTTTAATGCTTATTGCAGGAAAAAAGTCACATCGGATATACACGGCTTATATAGAAAATTGTACCCTAATTTGTTGTTGAAATTAATCATTGACTTGCTGTATACAGTATGACCATTGTTAATTTATACACTGTTATGAGCAAGAGTAAATTGGGTGAGACTTTTGAAATGTGCACAACAGGAATAAATGTGCACAGTATCAGCAAAAATACAGAGTGCATGGTGGAACTTGTGCACTGATTTGTGAATTTTGTAAATACCAAAATACATGTAGTGGGAGTGCATATAGTGAGGACTATTAAACCAGTGAATGATTACTAGTTCTAAGTCTGTTAGTTTTACCTTCACTTCAAATCACCTTATCACTATTGTTATTGCTGTTTTCTTTTTTAGCACTTTTAGTACCAGTTCTACTCAGAGACTGTTTACCAGACATTTTGCCTTCCAATTAAAGAGTGAAATAATAGCATAAAAGTTGAGAACAACACTGGGCTTCTCTAACTAGTGTAGTGTAAACAGTAGGAACAAAGCTTCACCACATGGCTGGTATAAACAAAGTATGAAACAGCTTCAAGCAGACACTGTTGCGCATCGTTTAAAATGGACACGACAGATTTCTTTATTGGGAATTTGCTTTTTTTAAATGATTTTTTGCCCTATGTTGTTATTGTATACAGTTCAGTACAGTAATGCAAAATGACATAAAATTAGTTTTTATAGTAGAAGGGATAACTACAGCTTTGTTCTGAGTCCTCCACCATGGCCGTGTCATATACAAACAGAAACTGACTTGTCTGTCATTAGTAGCCTGTACTTTATTCCTGTTTACCAGAGGTACTATGGTGGACAAAAGTTCCTTCCCTCAGCCAACCACAATGTGTGTGAATCACCTGAGGTTCGAATAACAAAGCAACTGAGGGAAATGCTGTTATCGTCCAACAGATGGTGCAGTGTATATGACGGAAGATGGAGACCAAAGGGGGATGGGGGCCAGAGGGGGAAAGAGAGGGAGGACAGAGGGAAGGGACTTTTGTCCACCATAGTACTGTACCCCCTCCCCATTTCTTTTGCTTGCTTGTGCTGTTATAACTTTTAGTGGTGCCAAGATAGATGCTCACAGATATTCACAAATTCCCACAGCACTTTTATACCACCATTTTCAGATATTTCATTACATCATAAATCCATCTCAGGTCAGCAGAACTGAAGTACAACATTGCACTTTTAGAAATATTTTTTCATTGATAAGTTCATTTGCTGGTGAAAAGAACAGAAACTGTGAACTATACTATTGTATGGTCTTAACTTCACCACTTCCTATTAGTCAAAGAAGTACCCTGTACAGTACAGTACAGTATTAGCAAATGTTCATATAACCTTTGTGTGTCAAATAGAGCCTTTAAGTACAGTATACAACACTTATATGTGTACAATTTCCATTATTTTAAGTCGTAGTTATTTTTTTATGTGACTTTAAAGAACCATGGTTTATATAGCCCTGCATAATGTTATTCTCAAAGTAGTTTAGTTCTTAATACAATATGGTCGACTTCATGATCCCGTCAGTGTATGATCATCCTCACTCGTAGCCTCATGACCAGTGAAGAACCAAGTTACATGAAATAAATAAATGTTATGATATGTTCCTAATAAGTGATAGTTATAATCTTTGATAATGGTGAGATGTCAATAGATCATTGTTAGTAGATGTACTGTACAAGGCGATTCCCTCGTTGGTAGTCTACTTAAGTGGGGAGGGGTCTGAAATAAGCTTCATACCATTGATCTAAAGGCAAACATTCCCCAGGAGATTGAGGACATGTTACAATGAACATTCCCTACTCTGGAAATGGTTCATAAATGACGGTTATGTTAACAGAACTCCGTGGCCTCCGGTGGGTGACTTACCCTGTACAGTACGTTTAAGAAAGATATTCTCCACCAGATGATAATAGATGAATTGTTAATGGTACGGTAGGTAGACAAGGCTACACTTCCCCTGGCTCTCAAGACTACTACGGTGATATCCTCGTCAGCCGGAACAATTGGTGCAGAGCACTTCCGGGAATGAGAGATTTCTGGGTAACGAGACGACGACTCAAAGCAAGGAAAGATCTCTCGTCTCTCAACGGAAAATTTTTCTTGGAATTTCCAGGAAATGCTCTTGATTTTCATATCTCAAACACGGAAAAACTCCCCCATCCCCAGAATTTTCCAGGTATCGGGATTTTTTTCTTGGAAATTTCCGGAAAATGCGCCCCTCAGAAAATCGCTCCCAAAGCTGTAATTTTCGGGCTTTGGGAACGATTTTCCGAGAAAATTTAAATTCCGACCATCGGAGGGTTCCGGGTTTGAGGGATTTCGGCTAAGGGAGATATTACTGTACTACTTCTACTACTACTCACTTCATAACTACTGTACACTTAATCCTTAACTTTAATTATTATTATTTATACAGTGATATATTTTGCACCAGACTGTACAGTATATCTTTGTGGTCTTTTGTTGATTTAGAGTTTGTTTACTTGTACAGTACAGTATATACAAGTGGTGTGAGGTAATGAGATAAATCATGGTGTGTGTGTGTGTGTGTGTGTGTGTGTGTGTGTGTGTGTGTGTGTGTGTGCGCACACGTGCAGTTCAGTACAGTACTGGTATTTCTTCAGCCAAATTCTTTATTGTATTCAGTGAAGAAAGCTAGTCATTGGGTAGTTGGGTTGATTAATAAGTCATAGGCTGGTCTGTATTATATTTTGATAACATTGATATCTGATTGCAGGTGTTGCTCTTGCAGCACTGTAAGACAAGAGTTTTAGAATAGAGAAATGTAAGTGATAATTGAAGAGTGGTTCTCAGTAAGTAGCAGGAAACTTTATTTGTTCATGAATTATGGTCTATAGGACTTCATGAACACATGGTATAATTTCTAACTTGAAATTAGTTTTATGTGTAGGAGTGTCAGAAAAGACATATACAAGTTGTGTTAATAAAGATGACCTGTAAATTAAATTGGTAATTTTGTTTACCATGTTCTTACCAGTTAACACCACGATTAAGATTACTGTCTTGTACAGGATATTGTTGACAATATGGGTGGTGTCTTGTATAACTTTATTGGTGTGTGTGTACAGTCATGGTCAAAATGCCTGCTGCCTCTCTTGTTCCTCCATGAACCCCAAGATTCAGACTCATGAATCCTAAGCATTTATGTACAGAATATTACATCAGTGTCTACTGCTTCGGGTTCACGAGTCCGAATCTCGGGGTTCATGGAGGAACAGGACTTTTGACTATGAGTTCGTATAGATGGACACATGTATACATTTACGTGCAGTTTTCTATACTGGTTCGATGTCTTAGATATGTTGACTCAGTTCACATTACTTTAAATAGTTGTGCCATTTTCAGCATGAGATGCATGATAACCTTACAATCCTCAGTCTTGTGAAACAGAGCACAATTTGCAGCTATTTTTCAGTCATTATTTTGGATAACAGGTCTTTAATTCAACAGCTTATTGTGAAGGATATGATATGATCAAAATCATACACGATCTGTAATATTCCATTATTGAAATTTAGAACTTTTATGACAATAGTATACTGTATTGTTTTATATGTACTGTATTTTGTGATCAAAGAATTGTTTAAATTCTTGTAACAATGATTATTGAACCATTATACAGTATACACAGAAATTTAATTTGTTCCTTGAGTGTGATACATTATTAAGTTATTCTAAATTTTTTTACCAAAGTCAGAAGATAACTAACAATATAAGTCCAGTACAGTATTAAAAATCTGTTTAGAGAATGTTTTGTCTTTAATTTTGATCACATCATTTAGTAAGAAGGGGCAGTAAAACAGTTTTACTGGTGGTTATATGTTTGTGGCCCAGCATATACAGGAGCCCCCACAGTAATCACTTGGGCCATCTATGGGTTGTTGTGACAAAAGTATCTCAACAGCCAGTCCACATGACAGTTGACACTTCATAGAGAATGAGGTTGGTTCTCCAGGATATTACTCTTGAGTAAATAATTTATCAAAGTAAATTTATTAAGGAAACAATAGGACTGCATTCCTGGACCTTGGCAAATCTTGCTTATCCAACAAAATATATACGGTACTGTGTAGTACAGTAAGTTCTTCAAGAAATATAAGATTTAATCATTCATTAATTATTATCCTACACTACCGTATTTCAAACTACATCAGCAGTGTACTGTACTGTATGTCCTTAACGCCCACAGAAGCAGTCATAATGTGTTACCTCCATGATTCTTCAACTGGTCTTTTGTTTAGGGGTAAAATAAAGTTTTTCTTGACTGGCTACTTACAACTTTCCTTATTTCTCCATATACTTTACTGTACACTGATATATTTCCTTGACCAGCAACTCTGTTAGAACCCCTTGTACTCCACCCAAATTTTAGTGTAAGTCTGGGGCAGGTGTAGTACTGGTGGCCGGTAATAAAGTCACAGGAAAAAAGTCACAATTTTGGCTAGGAAAAAAAGTCACAATTAACTTATGGTGGCCGGTAATAAACTAGGTTGGGTTGGGTTGGTTGGCTGGGTTGGGTTGGGTTGGGTTGTTGGGTTGGGTTGGGTTGGGTTGGGTTGGGTTGGGTTGGGTTGGGTTAGGGTTGGGTTGGGTTGAGGTTGGTTGTTGGGTTGGGTTGGGTTGGGTTGGGTTGGGTTGGGTTGGGTTGGGTTGGGTTGGGTTGGTTGAGTTGGGTTGGGTTGGTTGGGTTGGGTTGGGTTGGGTTGGGTTGGGTTGGGTTGGGTTGGGTTGGGTTGGGTTGGGTTGGGTTGGGTTGGGTTGGGTTGGGTTGGGTTGGGTTGGGTTGGGTTGGTTGGGTTGGGTTGGGTTGGGTTGGGTTGGGTTGGGTTGGGTTGGGTTGGGTTGGGTTGGGTTGGGTTGGACTGGGCTGGGCTGGCTGGGCTGGGCTGGGCTGGTTAGGTTGACATTAACCTTAAAAAATGTGAGAATTCGATAGTTAACTTTTCTTTTTTTTCCTGCGATTTTTTTACCTGTGACTTTTTTACCTGGATTCATAGTACTGTACTGTACTTTATTGAAATGTTCTCTGTTGTGTGTACTTTATTATGGATTTTCCTTTGAGAGCTTTACTTTTGATCACAGGTTTTGCCTAGTGTGACAAAATCATCACCTTTCAGGTTAATTTGTAAATGAACAAATGTGAATTTTGTAAAGATTGCCAATTGATAATATTCTGAACACAAACAAATGTTGCTTTAGAGCTGAATATTATTAGAGAATGTTATCCTGACATAGATAGAGATCTTATATGGGGATTGACAAGTCTGCCTATAGTACTGTGTTTGTCATATACTCTTTGTTGATGAAGAGACCTGTACAGTACAGTCATATAAAAGAGTGGAACTAATTAAACACAATTAAAGCTTCATTATCCAGCAACTGTCAGACTGAAGTGATGGGTTTGAGGATATTTTGAGTATAAGATCATTTCCCTTACATGAATTAACTGGAATATTTTTTTGTGTTCTATATTGGGGTTCTAAAGTACAGTACTGTATTGCTATAACTTTACAATGATAACATTTCTGAACAATTGTTAATGTTTACTATAAGTACTTTTATTGTGGAAATTTACCCCCCAAATTCTTTTGTTAATTTGTCATCAGTAAATGCTGCTCCAGCTATCAGTTTCTATACCACTATAATATGTAACTGATCTGTAATATTACTGCATTTTTTACCTTCGTGCATACATTTAAATTGGGTGGTGTTAGTATGAATTGACCAATTTTGCAAACAACTGAAATTATGAAACAATTCAAATTTTACTGCCCAAAGGTGATAGACCAGACAAGGTTGTTTATGGTGGTGTGAAGTCTGGTGTACAGTACTGTACTGTGTCATGTTAAATTGGAGTACAGTACATTAATTTGAACAGCTTCACTTTGGCTAACTTTTTTCCAAAAGTTGTTTGTGTTCTGTTTTGAGTAAATAATATTTAGGCAGTAATCAAAATCTTTTATAATAATAGAGCCAAACTTAGTACTGTACTATAATGATGTACAGGTACTTATAATTTATGAGTAATAAAATGAAGTTTGTTTCTGTCCACAAACTCCAAGTCTTTTATCAAAATTAATGAGTTCAAATTTTAATAAAAGAAATTGTATGGATTTTGTTATTCAGTTGCTGGTAAGAAAATCCAGAATACTGTACAGGTATTAGTGTTCAAATAAATGAAGTGCCTTGTTCATGGAATTATTTGTTTGATTTTAACCATAACATATCACCACAAAAACAAAGTTGGCCTGAATACATAGGGAATAATGTGTGTCAGTTAAGAGAACAATGAGTGACGGTGAATCAGAGAAACAAACTAAGAGGAGAGTCGCAAAATGTATGGGTACTGCACCTAACCTCACAGATGGGAGGGTAGTGAAGCCTCCTTGTATGCCAGAAAAAGACTTACGTTTACAGTACAGTAGTATAGTGTATCTACATAGCCCCTTCTGAGCTCTTGGGCCTGCAGAACTTGACTCAGCAGCTGGATACAATACAGTAATAGGTTGACCCTGAATTATAGTAAGAGAGGACTTTTGCAGGAATGGAACAATAAAGAATTCATATATTGTATAAAATAGTTTTTATTGTAGCGGACTTGACATAATCAACAAAGTATTCATTTTAACATAATTCCCAGAGGTCAGAAACTCATGAGGCTCTGGACTACTAAATTTACTTTTCCTTAACTTCATTCCTTAAATACATGATTAATTAAATATAAAATGCTTGTTTTACTGAAAATTATTTAATCTAAATAAATTTCAACCAAAGTGTTTTGTCATCACACTAGGAAAGCAGTAACCCTACCAGTAATAAAGTAGAAGCAGGTGACAGCCAGCAGGTAGAATTACAGTGTCTCCATATGACCATCACCACCCCTGGCTCCAATAACACCTACTGCAGCTCTCCTCATAAGGCTGTTATATATAGTGTACACCAAAACTTACTTCCTTCTGCCCCAAACAAGTGAATGACTCGTAATTCTTCCCCATTTCTTTGGTCAACTTCACCGATTCTCTTCAAACTATCTGAATATAACTACTTCTTGTATTTAACAGTTTCATCAATATGTAGAATTTACCTAGAATTAAACATTGTTAATTGTGGACATACTGCAGTAGTTTTTAGTATGGTAGTGAAGGAAACACGCCTAAGTGATGGAACTTTATTCCCGATGTTTAATAAAGTCTTGTACTAAAACATCAAGAATAAAGCTCCATCTGCTAGTTGTGCTTCCATCACTACCATACCTTACCAAGAACTGTTTTATGTGTAATTGATGGATCTTTGACAAACCTTTATATAATGACAAAAAATAGCCAAAGTGTTTTAGAAATTAATTTATGTTGGCTATCTGTTTTGTATACAAGAAATAGTAATCAGATTTATATGTAAAGTCATGGAAAAGTCCCGTCAAACCTCCGTTACTTCCATGAACCTGTGAATCCGAGACGTGACACAGTATTGGGCCCGTCGATGGCACTCTGTGTGATGTCTCGGATTCACGGGTTCATGAGTCTTAAGAGTCATGGATGGGATGGAAGACTGACAGGACTTTTTTCATGGCTACAGGTACAGGTATACACACAACCCAGCAGTTTTGTTCTACAGGGTATATACAGTGACCTCTCTGTCCTGGCATTAACCGGTGACTCCCTGCTCTCGGGATAATGTTCTTCTGTTTGTTAAGTTAGGTAATGTAGTAGAAGGCTTGGTGTGATAATCAAGAAACACAAATACTACCACAAAAGGTATCAGCTAAGAGAATCATAACACAATAAATATAAAAATCAAATTCTGTACTTTTGTTTACCTTGTCACCAACTGAAGTAATCCACGACACAGTTAACTGAAATTCTAATACTTCCTCTGTACCCAAGGCCAAAATGTCATAAGATCACCATACAATAATATGTGAAAATGATGAGCTAATTCTACACCTATGATGACAACAACAAAGGCACTCTAAAGAAACTTGATTCCCTGATTATCACCAAAATCCATCAACTCAGCCTTGCCGGTCACTTCTAATGTTTTAAGGGCTTTAAGAAGAATGTCTCCATCCAAACCATGAAATTCTGAAAATACAAGAAAATACATCACAGGAAGCAAAGGAAAATATACAAGATTATTGCTTAAAGGAGCTCAACATTCTTAAAAGGCAAACACCATTTATTTCTTATTCATCCCTTTGAATCCACTATTACATGAACAGAATACAAGAATATTCAACCAATTTTGCCATATTCATTTACACACATAACCTAAAAAAGACAACTGTGCCTCTCATCTGTTACATTCAGTAGTTACTCAAAATATTCCCCTAATCTGTTTCAAGTCCTCCTTTTACCACAATATATCCCACTTTCATTCCTAAACCATCATTTCCATTTGTTTTCTTAACATTCCCAATCTTCTAAAACAGCTTCTAATACATCTTCATCTCATAAGATATATAAACTTACAGTATGCACATCAACTTAATGCTCTAGCTATGTGAGAGTCGATACTATATACTTTGACTTTACAGTGTTGTGTGTACAGTATCCAGAAGAGAAAGTTTACCTTGGTCGGCAGACTCGTCACCCTGGTTGATCTCATACAGCGTACACACGTTATTGATGCGGCTGGTAGACTGTGCCCAACTATAGATCTGCTGACCCCACTCACTTGGACTTCTCCACAGCAGATAACCTCTGACGGACGACAAAATTACATTCATATTACAATAAAGACTTTCATCTGTTTTACTAAATATGTTTTAATGGTAGTAGAGTGAGTCCTCGCTATCCAAGTATTCGTTATACCCTGTATGTTGATCCACAGTTACAAGCCCAACTGTTTGTAAAACGATACGTAAAAATTCCCTGAACTTATGAGGATTCCGCTGATGGAATCTGTTAGCCAAGAGCGTAAGAGTTTGAAATACCCGCCTGCCTCCCATTCTCTCAAAGCTCATCCTTCTCACACCACCACACATACACAGTAACAGTCGCCCAAGTTCCCAAGCCTGTTTTGAAAGTGCTCCCATGAATTTTTTTTTTTTTTTTGTTGTGTCTTTGGTGACATTGGTGGATTTTTTTTGTACCCATGAGTTCCAAACCAAAGCAAGGTGGTGTGGTGCCGAAAAGGAAGCGTGGTAGCTATGGGACAGACATCAAATTATAATTGATCAATCATATGAAAAGTGGTGAGTTTGTGTCCATCATCTCATGCGCCTTGCAGATGCCTGAAACAGCTATCCATACCATACTTAAGAATACTAAAGAAATAGAAACAAGGGCTACAATATTACTGACACATTCTGAGGTGAATTTAACATGACAAAGAAGTGAAGTGATGGAAAGTAAGGTTCACTGAAATGAGTGTGCGAGTGTGAGTGCGTAATTGCCCGACCGCATGGTTAAGTAGTCTGCGTCGCATCAATACACCGACCCCAAACAACTGTAAGTACTGTATGTTAAATAACTTATAAAGTAAAATGATTTTGTGAAATAATGTGTACCGTAATCAAATGTTTCTAAGGTATATACTATACACATAAATGTTAAAGATATCAAATTAAACTTTTGGAGTCATTTACAATGTAATGGTCTCAATCAGACCCTATTCATATTAATTCTTATGAAAATTAATTCCCCTTTATCCGTGGAAACACTATACGAGTCTTTTTTCTGGTCCCTATTAAGCTATGATAACAAGGACCCCCTGTATAATGAATTTAATTCCTAGAAATACATACTACATTGGTGCCACAGCTCCTCAGACACACACTGTACTCTACACGTACTGTACAGTATATGCAATAAATTTTCTTGATGCCGTTCACAGCCACATTACTGTATCACATTTATAATAACTTTCTATTTATTTTATATGATTTACCATAGCAAATTTTATATAACATAAAATACCTTCCTGTCCAATACAGTCACTCAAAAGTGTGAGAGTACTGTACCTTTATTACTTGATACGTGTCGGCCCACACAGCTGTCTGATTGGCTAATTAGGTGATGCCCGAGAACGACCAATGTCAATGAGGGTGGTTCATGGCTTGTATGCTTATATAAATTCTCTAATGTTTTTTTATATTAGTGATATTTAGTTTTGGTTGTTAACACATTATGTAAGAGCCATACAGTATTTTGTTTTATAGGGTATAAGGTGTAAAATTTTTAATGTATTGTATTAGGATTAGTTGGCAACCGAGCCATATTTGTGTGGTGGTGGTGATGGTCAGAGTGAGCCACAGACTGAACCAGACAGCACGGAGAACCAGGAACTCCAGGCCTGGTATACACACGCCGACGTGGGGTACAAGATAGCCGCCGAGTTGTGCGTGAAGTAATTGGAGATATTTGGACATGATAACTTGCTCTGTGAATGTAAATAGTGTAATATATATCATTGTTACACGAGGAGTTTCCATAGGCCCTTCCTCTCTGTATGAAGGTCCCGTAAGAGCTGACAATACAGTTAATGTTGTTGTCCTGGTAAAGAGGGGATAACTTGAACCATAGTTGGAACATAGAACTAAAAATAATCATCAATAACTTATGACTTGACTTCATTTATAAGACTAGTCAGTACAGTACCTACAATATCACACAAGTACATGATGACCAAACACATCTACACCTTTAAAGCTTCAATGTCGTTACAGTACGCGAAATAAATCCTCCCAAATTACTTCAGAAAATTATTATACAGAAAGAGATTAAAATAAACTTATGTACACAAATTATACATGGAATTTTGTCACATTGTCATATATGATATTCTCACTTTGATATAACGATTGCACCATTTTGACACATTTTTGGGGGATAATTGTATTGTGACACATTATGGTAACCCTGAAAATATGGTTGAAGCAATAAATATGAATACAGTACCGTAATGGCAAAAGAAAAGCCTCAAAAAATGCATGTATTTTTTGCTTTTATTTTGTCACAAGGACCCATGCATTACAGTACTGATGGCCTATAAGTCATAAAACACTGGTGACAACTACAGTATACAGTACCGTACAGAGAGCCTCACCTCCGTCTAGTCTTGTCCGTCCACTCGAGGTTCCCACGTTTAGCCAGCTCATCTAACACAACTTTTATACCATCTACTGGCAAGGCACGGCTGATAGCATTGTTTCTGAGGGCAAAACAACATTCACTACATTGACAAAGTTGTTAAGGATATTAGCTCTTAGGCAAAGTGTGGTTAATCAGCAGTACTGTATATTAACTAGTAGTAAATGTGCTTAAAACTAACAGTGAATTATGACATCAGGTGACAATAAGCAGCACAGCACCACAAGACAATCTATGAAAAAATATTCATAATTTCTAAAACTAAAGACGTGGCCCCCCCAAAATAAAGCATTAAAATGGACCTTGACTGGCAGTGAACTAAATGCCACTTACTTAAACACAGGTAGTGAGGATGCCTCTGTTACATCAATCTGACTGACACTGTTGCTCTTGCCCCAGCTCACGACCAGAGCACACCAAGAGTCAAGCTGAGTCCGCCGCACATCTGCATTCGGCTGCAGACTGAAAGATTCTTCTCATGTAAATAAATATATGACATATTTGGCATTTTATTATCATGAGCCATAATTGTTCTCTACATTGTACCTTTATATAACACTGCTCCCCTACTGAACATGTATGGGTAAAAACACTATAAATGGTTTGTTTTATTATGAGGAGTTTCATCTTTATCCTAATTATAGTTTAAAATCTCTAATACTGTAATGACCAAGTGCCATTAATCATCAGCTTTAGCTCTTTTTGAACAAGAACATAAGTCTACCTAATATTGTATGAAGATTAATATACCATACAGTACAGGTATATTATATTTTCAACAAAACACACAGCACTCGCTCATTAAACATGGAAATTGAGCGCAGTTACAGTAACAAGGAGCGAACACACGTTATCTACGAGTTGATGCGTTCTATAATGGCTGGACTGGGGCTGTTCCTATAGCTATTAGGATGTGGGCTGGATGAAGTGATGAAGTCGAACAGGAATGACTGGGGAGGACGGTGTAGCACCTTTATCCCAAACTGACAGATGATGCCACAATGATGATCAGAGAGTTGAGAGGGCCAGTGTACTGAGTGCATCATGATATGTGGTGTAAGAGAGAGAGCTAGAGAATGGTGGGATCACCTGAAGAATCTCCACCCCAGCTTATTTCACTTTTGGTAAAATAGCTGAGGAGGAGATTCTGCAGGTGATCTGAATAGTGTTGCTCGCCCTCTTCTCAACTTTCTCTTGGAGTCGTTGTTGTGTGTGTATGATGCCACAAAGTAGACTGGGTTAAGCTGCAGGAACAAACAATGATCCCCACCAATAAGCTCAGAAATAAAGTCTCTGTATTGATAATTAATAAACGATTGGCCAACAAGTCTTCACTGCAGTGTATTTGTTACTGCCTGAATAAATACTGTGTATTAACTGAAGAATCTCCACCCCAGCTTAGGGCTCCTGCACACGTGCAACTTTCGAGCGACTTTGTGGCCGCAAATTTTTGTGTTGCCACAAAATATTAATAGATAATATTCTGCTATCCCAGCGGCCACATATGGTCTTCTGCCAGCAATGTCAATATGGACTTCAAAGAAGTGGCTTGTATTTTTTACAAATATTTAGCAATGGATAACAGCTTTGTTTCTCTGCACTAGGAGAATCTAGAGTCAGGCAAATTGTATTCAAGACTTGTGAGGCACTCTGGATGAATTTAAGCACTACCCTACTTCTCACTTTTATGCCTGAAAAATGAAGATGTCTGGATCAAGTTTGTAAAGGATTTTTATGCAGCTTTACAGTTTGCAAATTGCATTAATGCTCTTGATAGGAAGCAAACAGTACAGTACAGTACTAGAATAACAAATCCAGACAATAGGGGTTTTAATTTATTTAATTATAAACACTTCTGAATGGTACAGTACTCATGGCTCTAGTAGATAGTCTCTACTGGTTCACTGTTATGGAAGATGGGAAATCAAGCAATAGTGTGTTTAGATATCTCATTAAGGATATTGAAGCAGTAGAGAATGTACAGAGGAGGGCTACCAAATTAGTACCACAGATCAAGAATTTATCTTATGATGAAAGACTAAGGAAATTACAGTTACCTACACTGGCGTACAGAAGATCTCGTGGGGACCAAGTGGAAACATACAAGATAGTGTGTGGCATATATGACCAGGCATGTACAGCAGGAATGTTCCAGATGAGAGAGGCTGACACTACCCGGGGGAACACAAAGATGATCTACAAAACAAGAGCGAGGCTAAATCTCAGAAGACATTCGTTCACGAGTAGGGTTGTCAACAACTGGAATAGTTTACCTGAGTGGGTAGTGAATGTGGAGACGGTGGAAAAGTTTGAAGCAAAATTAGATAAATACTGGAAAAATCAAGAACAAGTATATAATTATAGGGCACAAATATCCGCCACACGCAGCCACCGTCTGAGTAGAGAAGAGGCTATTGAGCTGGAGTCACAGGCGTGAGCCTCTTCCAGAAAATCATCTGTGAGTATCAATACAATACTTAGTAAATATAGCTGTACTGTATGATCTAAGTTTGCCTTGGTGTCACGGAATTATGTGGATGGATTTATTTCTTATATTTCTTACCGTAGAGTTCGATACCTTCACACTGGTTACTTACAGGAGATTATGGTGTATCTACGTAGAAATTCACTCCACCGCCCGACATTCCATGATTTATACTTGATAAATGATAATTTAATGAGTTACATTAATTTCCAACATCCATCTAAGTTATTGGGTATACTTTGTCATAACCAATCAGTCATTACCTTTAGTAATAATAAGATAGGATCACAGATACAGGCAGATATTGCACTTACATTTATATGGCAAGCTTCCATACAATGATTTACAATTTGCATGGGTATATGAGTCACTCACATTCACGCTGTAATAAAATTAATCTTGTAAAGAGGGAATTTTCAACTTGGGGACACATTTGATTACTCTACTATGGGTATGACTTAACGGAGCCTTAACTCCTCAAGTGATACATTCACTGCCAGCCTGGATCGCTCGGTACAACCAGGCTCTCACACATGATTTTTCCACGAGGAATAACAGACCTTGGGTTGGTACACACACACAGTCTGTTTTCACTGACAGTCCACAGCACGGTGTCGCGGCAAAGGACTCGTGTAGCATCCCGTTCCCTTAAAGCAGGGGAGGAGGAGGTCTTAACTAACCCATGGTCTAGGGTCTACTGGCTAAAATATGGTTTTTGGGGCGTGAGACACGATGGACACTGTCTCAATCACCCCCCCCCCCCATTGGAGTTGGGTTGTGCGAGTAGGCCCAATGCAACCCATGACACTTGGTATTTATAGTTAATCTTATACAATAATTTTCTAATGTCAGGTTACTGTGTATACTTTATTCATCTGTCACCTTCACTTCTTGTACAAATGTATAAAAAAAACTCAACTTTAAATCATCATCATCATTTTATGGCCATTTTACAACCTTATTCCATTTCAAATTATTCATAAAGGAAAACTAAGAAACTGACGTAATTAATATAAAAATGATAAGGTGGAACTCAAGTTTAGGTTAGGTTAGGTTAGGTTAGGTTACCTGGCTCTCCTAGACTAAACCAATGTACCGTTAACCACAGTTTATATACACAGTGAACCAATGTGGACTTTATATGATGACATTACTGAATAAATAACCTCACTCACTGACAGTTGTTCCTCGCTGTTTCTTTCTCCTCCTGCCTCCACAGTTACTCTCACAGCCTTAAATAGATCGATCACCTTAGGATATGTAAGTATTAAACACGTGATAACAGTAACTCACGTAAAGAAGGGAGGAAAACTGTACTGCCACGGCCACTCAAACTCAGCCATCCCGACCAGTGTTGTTTACTAAAGTTGAATCCGGGTTACACAAAAAAATTATATTATACGTTCATACTTCATACCTACTCTCTCAGAATACTTTGTTGTTCCATTTTAATATATTATAATTTTGCTATATAATTTTTATATATTATTTAGACTTATTTCTCAAAATAATTAAGATTATATTTCTTTCTCTCCATAATATGAAGAGGTTTTACGTATAAACACTGCCTGACGATAAGGACAACAATGTAAAAAAAAATAGATTATAGATATGGTCGGAGCTGTTGGATATTACCGTGATAATACAGGCCTTATTAATTTTCAGTTTTTTATATTACTTCTCTCATAATAATACAGGCCTTTTTTAGTTTTCAGTTTTTTATATCACTTCTCTCGTCCTGTTCTACCGCCCTCATATTATTATAATTATCTTTCTTAAAGCTTCCTACATTTCCTAAATTAAAAAAAATTATGACAAATTATTGTTCTAAGAATTTACAGCCTCTTATTTAAGGATTTCTCAATATATTTTCTAAAGCGAAGTGGACCCTTTCACTGAGTGTCGAGGCTGAGATGATGATGTCTGGTCAAGGTTTATTCAATTTTTCAATTTCAATTGTTTATTCCTTGATAGAGGAAGCGGGATCCTAGTGCTGTCACTAGGTACCCCTGTACAATGAGACCAGAAGCATCTGGCAAGTGTGACAAGTATATACAGTATAAATATTATAAAGGGGCTTACTAAAGCCAATATGGGGAGGATCATCGTGTCTCCGTCAGGGGGTATCAGGGTTTATCGGGATTTTTTTTAGACTGAATTGGTCTTCCAAGTTAAAAAAAAAAGTCTCATCATTGTCATGTTAGAGAAGTAAATCCCTTTCAGACATGCCTCATAACTTGGGTCATAATCAGATTTCTGAGAGTGGGGACACCTGGTACCTCACCTCTTAACATTGCCCCAAATATTCCCGTTTTCTTCCAAGTGTCTGAGGCTCCTGAGGTGGTGGTGTAGGGTATGGGTTATTTGGTTCACACTCAGGATGGGATGGAGAAAGGAAACTCACAATGTGCTCTCTGTATACATGTTATATTGGATGTACAATGCAGCTTGGTGGCTGGTGCTGGGAGGAGGCAGCGTGGTTACAAGCCTGTAGCTAGAAGAAGGGGCAGGTCACGGCCAGGTGTGGTCTTATATAGCGGGGGTAGGCGTGGCTTGATGGTAGACCTCCACTTTGTTCGGGGGCGCTGGTTACCTGGCCTTAACCACGAGGGATACGCTGGTAGATTCGCGGGGGTCGGCCAGTCAGCGACACACGGCGTTTGTAGGGTGGATCCACACTGTCTGTCCCCAAACGCAGGAAGGTTAGTCGCATCTTCTCTTGTGAATACCGAGGAAAAGAAGCTGTTCAATGCCTCAGCTTTATCCTGGTCAGAATCTGCGTAACTACCATCTTCAAGCCTCAGGTCTGATACTTCTATTCGCGTTTTTAATTTCGACTTTGCATAGCGGTAAAACGCCTTTGGGTTTGACTTGACCTCACTTGCAACCAGTCTCTGGAACTCCTTTTCAGCCCTTCTACACTCTATCTTTGCCTGGTTTCTGGCTCTTGCATACATCCTCCTGTCCTGCTCATCATTTGACTCAACTCACGTCTTGAATTACTGGGTTTTCTTCTTAACTTTGTCGACCGCCGCATGGTTCATGTGTAGGGATCCCCTCGTATTCCTAGAGGCACTGGGTTTGGTCTTGGTATGTATTTATCGATCAAATGGGTCACTTTACTATTTATGATATTCAGCGTAGTGTCTGCGTTCTTGTGCCTTAATGAGTCAGGCCAGTGGATACCCCTCATCTCTTCCCTCATCCCATTGTAATTTCCCTTGTAATATTTGCACCTTGGCCTGGCCTTATCTTGAACTAGGTAACAGTTAAATCTGAATGACAACACTATATAGTGACTGGTGCCAACTGGGGCAAGGTGTTCCAGTTTGGCCACCATACCCTCCTTGTTTGTTATGATGAGGTCAAGTGGCTTGGGTGTTTGCTCCCCTCTGTAATGTGTCGGGTCTCTAACATGATGGAACAGAAAATTATCTCTCAGAGTTTCTACAAAAAGAGTAGCAGAATTCGCGTTTTTAGTATTATTGTTTATTGTTTTTTTTATTATTATTCTCAAGACTAAGAATAGGGGCCCCGGATCTAATCCTTCACGTCTGCCTTGTTCGAGGGAGTGACAGTGCTCACACCTAGAAAATATCACCCAGAGCGTCTGTTACTCCTACCAGTTCCTTCAGGACTTCAGGGAAGAATAACACCAGGACCCGAGGCTGTGAGTAAAGACCATCTTAGGTTATCTGAAATTTGCTTACCGCCTGAGGGAGTTGGAGCACCAGAAAAAGTTCACATGCTTTTACTTTTATCCTCTTCACCACTGATCGGCTCGTTAGCTGCTTGGGCGATCGGTCACGTCTCTGTTATGCACTGTTGGCAAGTACTGGGCATGCACTGGCTCCTGAATGTACCTGAACCTGCTCCAGTGTTGGTCAAGTCTGGTCTTGAATGAACTCACACTCGGTGCCGTCACAACACTTTCTGGTAGATTGTTCCAAGAGTTCACTCCGCCACTGAGAGCATGACGTCATCTGGTGCTTCCGTGTGTGTGTGTGTGTGTGTGTGTGTGTGTGTGTGCCTCAACTCCTCATAGTGTGCCTCAACTACCACACCAGGTGATGGGAGTAACAAGACTCAGATCACCACCATAATGGTTCTTTAGGTCAGCCACTGAGTGTTTGTGCAGGAGGTCACAAAGAAGTGAATTATCTCATACATTCAGGGGCTCAGAGCCAAGACGCCAACAGATCAGGAGAGTGAAACTAACATATCGTTTATTTATTGTATTAACAACAAAACATAGAGAAAACAATGAAAACGTGCACATAGAATTTCCACTCTGATCACAGGAAAATTTACGCCACTATCACAATGGAGGTTCCGCTCTGGGAATAAGCTCACAATAATAACGAAGAGTCACTTGGAGGTTCACGTGCTGTGGTGGGTGGCGCTGACGGGGTTACCTGGGTGACGTCGCCTCGCTTACACACTGCTGAGGCCTTAACCTGACATTCACTGGCGCTTAGTAGTGTTGACTGATATGATCCAGCGATGATTGGCCTGAATGAGTGTACTGTACTGTGGTTAGTGTAGTCCTCGCCTCACCCTGCACCTGCTGAGTCCCACACACACCCAGCTGGCCTCGCCCCCTGGCTGGTGTAGTCTGAGGTACACTGATCACCAGGCTGGATCCTGCACCTGACCCTTACACTAGGGTCCACGTATATACAGAAGGTAGGAAAGTGGCTGCCCTAAGCACATCATCTGAATTCCCAGCACGGTTTGACCCTTTACAGAGGCTAGGTATTTCCAGATGTGTGTTACTATATACTTCAAGATGATGTAAATTGTTACCTTGATCAGCCATATATTTACATGAATATTAAAACACTGTAGGTGTGTTGAGTCTCCCAAAGTTTATATAAACGTTCTCAGATGATAAACCTCGGCAGAGTCATCTAGCAGATTTTCAACAAAACTTCACTATTTATGCATCACACGTCGATGGAGTCTCTTAAATATCTTCCGTATTTAGTCAATGGGCAAATCTGCGTGAACCACGTCTTAGGTCCAGTGGATTACGGTGGAGTCAACTGAACTCTTGTGGAATTAGATCCACTTAAAAAGAGGAACTTGTCTGAGGATCTGAAAACTGAACACACACTGAAGACGACACACAGCAGAACGTCCCCCCCCCCCCTACAGGCTCTTCTGGCATCACAAAACCCACATTACAAACTGGGGCCTTCTGCTCCTCACTGTATGAAAGCCAGGCGGTACAGTAAACCCCCTGTTAGGACACACTTAACCACCATATCGGCTATACAGAATGTCCAGATATTCTCCCGAGGTCTGGGGAAGGATGTGCCATAACCCCTAAGTCACAGGAGTCATCTAGTGTATATGACTGGGACTGAGGGGCTCTTAAGTCACACGGGGTTAAGTCATACACACTGTCCCTCCTGCTGAAGTGGTGACGCGTGGGTCTAAGTCATGCCTGGCGGGGTAGTGAGGTGTGGTGCTGTTGTCCCGGCCAGAGAGGCGCTGTAGTGACCTGTAAGGAAAGTTTGCTTAGATTAACGTACGAGAAATGATGACACAAATGACTACTTAACTGTGAGGTGTATGTATGTATGTTAGTTTCACACGTCAGTACACATAGCACGACAAAGTACAGGTCTATCTACTTATCTATGACTATCTATGTCTACCTATCAGTATGTCTGTCTGTTTATCTAGGCATAAAGATCAGATACAACAATTTCAACGTAAACTCTAACCTAACCTAACCTAACCTTACTTGGTGTTTACATACATCACTACAACATTTCTGGATCTTGGGTCTTTATTTACAAATGTTTACAAAATAATACAAATATAAAAGACATAAACACTCTATTTTTACTTGTTTACTTAATTACATAACTTTATCATGATTTTTTTTACCAATTTTTGAATCGTCTCTTTAGTTCACATGTTGCTCTCGTTATGTTAGGGATAAAACTAAGTCAAGCACCAGGACACTACATACTGAGGTTAGCGTTTATAAGCGTTAGTTTAGTTAAGCTTATATTGAATTACACACACACACACACACACACTCTGTTTCTCTGTTGTCTGCTACCTGGGGCGCCTCTCAAGTGATGTGTGAAGCTAAGTACGTACACACACACGCACGCACACACACATACACACACACACACACACACACACACACACACAACAACACCCACCTGTACCGTAAGTTCACTAAACAGAACTCTCATGGTTGGTGCCCTCACACTGGCTGGGGGTCACAAGCAGGTGTCTGGCGGCGTCACACTCCAACTTGTGGAGGTACAAGTCCTGGGGGCACTTCTGGGGCACTGAGGGACTTAGATGACTGACTGGGGAAGTGAGGGAGGGAGAGGCCCCACGACCCATCGAAGTAAACGACATGAGAGGGTCTCTTGGAGCCACGGGGTGTTGGAAGGAAGTTGGTCTTGACTGGTCACAGTTCAACTTCTGCAGGTATAAGTCCTGAGGGCAGTGTTGTGGCCCTGGGGGACTTCGGCAGATAGTGGGATGTTGGAATGAGGTTCGTCCAATGGAAAGGGTGATAGTAGGATCTGAGGAAGTAGCAGCAGTAGTAGTAGGAGGAGGAGGAAGATGGGGGAGATGGAAGCTGGTAGTGGTGTTGGGGATGCCACCGCCGACGACACTTCTGACGGAGGGGTCTTGTAAGAGTGCATCTGTCTCCCTGGTCACTAACACACCCTGAAATAGACGAGGAGAATGTTGTAAGAGCAGGCAGGCAGGCAGGCAGACGTGTAGCGTGAGGTAATACAGTCATCTTCAACTCGTCCTAACACACACACTTACGTTACTGAGGAGGGAGCCAGGGTTGATGTAGAAGGAGCCGTCTGGACTATTTCTGTAGTCCCTCATCACTTCCTTCTCCACCTCCGCTGCCTTCACATCTGGGGACAGCGAGAGTACGAGCATGTTAGAAAACTTGAGTGAAAATTCCATATACTGGACCCGCGATATAACTGACTCTCCTATAAAATTCGTTAGATAGAGGTTTCACTGTATCTCCACTAACAGTACACAACTACAGTGACTGATAAAGTAGTGAAGTTTTAATAAAGTAAAAAACCTTTATCGTTCACACTACAGATATATAGGTGAATCAGTAGCTCTATACATGACTGATTTACCAACTGATTCACCAATTATTTCTGTGATTGGCTGTTCTAACTACTCAAATCCATTTAATATAACTTTTGTTAATGATAATGTTCACTAAACTAACTTAATTTAGCTGCTAGAGTTTGTTTGGGAATCTACTGTTGTATTTACTGAGATTGTGTGTTGCTTAGCCCTGTCTTCCCTTACTGACTCAGAATGTGCTCTGTCTGTCTGGGTCTGTGTGTTTCTTTCTGTTTGTCTGTCTGTTTTTTCTGTCTGTTTCTGTGTTTATTTTCCCGTCTGTCTATTTTTGTGTTTCTGTCTGTCCCTCTGTCTGTCTGTGTGTCGTGTGCTCACCTTTCACCAGGATAATATCAGGTCCTGGCTGCTGCTGGTGGAGAGGGTCGCGGCCGTCACCCTTGTTCTCATCATACACGATCTTGGTGTGAGTGTGACGACCCCTGGCGGCGCACCTGGCACGCACGATCACCACCACCACGGCCGAGCACACCAACAGGGAAGCCACCACGCCCACCACCACGCCCACGATCGGCGATAGGAGCACTAGCTGGACTGATCCTGAAGACCCGGGTGTGGTGGCGGACATCCTCTTCTCGGCCACGTCTATGGGAGTGAGGTGGACCAGGACAGTAGGCTTGGCGTCCCCCTGAGCATTGGACGCCACAACAGCCAGGTGGTACTCTGTCCCAGGAGCCAGCCCTGTGACTGTGAAGTGTGGCGCTGACTGGTGTCTCAGGGCAGCCAAGATCTTGCCCAAGGGAGGGGAGGTCCCAGAGGAAGACGGGCCCTGAGGGATGGCTTCTCGGACCTCCAGGGTAAAGGTCTGGGAGAGGCCGCCCCCCCACCCCTCGTGACACGCCACCACCACCTCCCCCGCTCGGCTCGTGTTGTGCCACGCGCTGCAGTTGTGTACAGCTTCCGGCACACCTGTGAGGGACACACCTTGTTATACACCTGTTGAGCACGCGCGCGCGTGTGTGCGTGTGTGTGTGTGTGGTAGTGTGTGTGTGTGTGTGTGTGTTGTAGTGTGTGTTGTAGTGTGTGTGTGTGTGTGTGTGTGTGTGTGTGTGTGTGTGTGTGTGTGTGTGTGTGTGTGCGTGTGTGTGTGTGTGTGTGTGTGTGTGTGTGTGTGTGTGTGTGTAACCAGGTGCTGTTGTTCAGGATACATAATAAGCACCTGCCACACACCTGCCGTAACCTCCCCTCCTTCACGGCCGCCTGTGTAAAGTATGGCTAAAACCAATTGTTCTCAGAGTTAAACCATCAACAGTTAAACCTGAGTCATCAAAGTTAAACCAGTCATCAAAAAGGCAGCCTGAGGGAGGGAGGGAGGGAGGGAGGGAGTGTGAGGAAGAGAGGGAGTGAGTGAGGGAGGGAATGAGGGAGGGAAGGAGGAAGGGGTAAGGGAAGGTACAGTCACCCAAAAAAGTCCTGTCGCGAACCATGAACACCGAGATTCAGACTCGTGAACCCGAAGCAGTAGACACTGTTACATTATTCTGTCCATAAATGTTTCGGATTCAAGAGTCTGAATCTCGGGGTTCATGGTTCGCGACAGGACTATATTGGGTGACTGTACGGTACACCCCTCACCTGTACGGTACACCTCTCACCTGTACGGTACACCCCTCACCTGCTGGTACAATATGGTACACACACGGTAGCTCCTGAGTATCCACATCGTTCACGCCCCAACACAACAGAGACCCAAAGTCGTGGTGGGTCTGGGGCGTGTAGGCCACCATACTGCGGCCGCGGGAGGAGTGGATGCGGTCCTGCGGTATCTGGACATACTCGCTCGAGGTATTGAAGGCCCAGCGGAACTCAGTGGCCTCCGGGTGAGCTTCTACACGACAGGTCACGTTGATGGGTTGCTGTCGTCCTCCCCCGTAGACCCATTTCTGCCCGCCGGCGCACACAGGGGCGTCTGGGGGGAGAGTGTTAGTGTTAGGAAGGGCGCTATAGATCCGGCTCTCAGTTTATCAGGGTTATAGAGTCGGGTTTATCAGGGTTATAGAGCCGGGTTTATCAGGGTTATAGAGCTGGATTTATCAGGGTTATAGAGTCGGGTTTATCAGGGTTATAGAGCTGGATTTATCAGGGTTATAGAGCCGGGTTTATCAGGGTTATAGAGCCGGGTTTATCAGGGTTATAGAGCCAGGGTTATATCAGGGTTATAGAGCTCAGGGTTATAGAGTCTTGGGTTATAGAGCCGGGTTTATTAGGGTTATAGAGCTGGATTTATCAGGGTTATAGAGTCGGGTTTATCAGGGTTATAGAGCCGGGTTTATCAGGGTTATAGAGCCGGGTTTATCAGGGTTACAGTGCCGGGTTTATCACAGCTTGTGTATTATATAAACTACATTTTTTGTCCTTAAAGGTTTAAACCATTGACCGCAAAAAGGGTTAATATATAATCCTCAAAGGCTTAAAACGTTCACAAAAAAGGTTAAAACATCGCCCTTAAAAAAACAGCGAAGGTTCTACCATTAAAACTCGCTCCTGTGATGACCTATCGACCCGACACTACATGGAGGCCACGAAAAACTCAAAAGAAAATACGATCGCTGTTATGCCAGGCCGGGGGGGGTCAACTAACATTATAACACCCGAATATTATAAACATTAGCCATTCTGTCATATTATAGGATAAATTAAGTTTGTGTTTACCTTTACTTTAAATATTCTTTTGTTCTAAGTGGGTTTTGTTGTGTTGCGGATGTATGAGTTGAATAAAGTCTTGATTACTGAAGGTGTTTGATCTCAATCGACATATTCTATGATTAGGGGACATATAATTTCAAATGATGGCTTGTTATTGGACAAAAGCAGTATTGTGGTGATTATACGTTATGTTAACTATTGGAATATAATAATTTAACCCTTTGAGTATGATTTAACCCAGTGAGTATGATGATTTAACCCCTTGAATATGATGATTTAACCCCTTGAGTATGATTTAGCCCCTTGAGTACGATGATTTAACCCCATAAGAGAAAAATATCATTGTATTTTAAGTCACAAATCTTGCCTTAGCTGACATATTTTAGCTCATGATCAAGCTAATACCGACACTATGGTCCACGATTCGACTGTAGGGTAACTAGTAGTCGTAATGACGCTTGAGAGAGATGTAAAGGACGTTTCAATGCTAATTACTCGCCAGCTATGGGTTTCCGAGGCGACATTTTGGTTGCTTGTTGTGTCATTCTGGGATTAATTAAGTAGTTAAGGACACGTGGTAGTTCGTAGACATGCAGTGTGATGGGTTATTCGTATATTTGTTTGATTTGGTGTATTATCGTGTATTGTGTCGTCTTTCCGTTACCTCCCAAACCAACAATACTCACATTTTACATTGAGTTGGATGGCATTAGAACTGTCGGAGCCCTGCATGTTGACGGCTCGGCAGGTGTACAGCCCAGAGGAGCCACGGCCCACCTTCTGCAGTACGAGGCTCTGGTTGCTCTGTATTACCCCTGCTGTGAAGTTCTGCTGTGACTCTATCCCCTGTGTGTGTGTAGAGAGAGCTGTTACTTACATGATGAATTCGTGTGTGTGTGTGTGTGTGTGTGTGTGTGTGTGTGTGTGTGTGTGTGTGTGTGTAAAAAAAAATAACTCAACATTATAACAACACACATACAACTTAACCTAACTTAACCCAAATCTTTAATAATTACCTCCATCAGTTCTCACACACTATTACTAAGCCAATGAGAAACATTTACTGAATCTACGTGAGGGGTGAGAGGTGAGGGGTGAGGAGGAACAAGGGAATGAACAAGGAAACGAGAAGGGTGGAAGAGAAGATAGGATGCATAAATAGGTAGGGGAGAATAAGGTTGAGTGGAGAAATAAGAGAAGAAAAAGATAAGAGAGAAACAGAGAAAGTTTGAGAAATTTACATGTGTTAATTGTGAGGAGAGAGAGAGAGAGAGAGAGAGAGAGAGAGAGAGAGAGAGAGTCTTTGTTTACATCAAGCAGGATTCCGACACTCACAAGGAGGGAAGAGGTTAGGTTAGGTTAGGTTTTTATACATTAAATAAGGATAAATCCTAAATGCGTGACTCCCTCTTTCCTCAGTAACAAAAGTCCAGGTAAGTAACAAAGGAATAAGTAAGTAACATTATCACGAGTAACATCAGTACAGATAAGTAACATCAATACAGGTGACAAGAGCACAGGTAAGTAACAAAGGAACAACGCTACCTACGTTGAGGAACCACTGGACACGGAACACACTGGGGTTGGCGTGGATCTTACACTCGAAGTATACGTCGTCACCCTCCTTGATGTTGGTCATGGCGAGGCTCTGACCCGCCCTCAGCTGCAGCTTGGGAGCGTCTGTGTGTGAGAGGTCATTGGAGGTGTTAGGTGGGTGGGTAATTCAGGCTACCAGGACCCCCACACACTTCAGAAGACCACCCAGGGCCCCCACACACTTTAGGAGACCACCCAGGGCCCCCTACAATATTCAGGAGACTGCCCACGCCCTCCCCACACTATTCAGGACATCACCCAGGGCCCCCTACACAATTCAGGAGACCACCCAGCCCCCACCCACACATTTCAGGAAGATCTGAATTTATCTAAAAGTCTGTGTCAATAAACTGGCTCTCAGGTTATGATTTAAAGTGATATTTTCTCTATGATGTGATTCTTATAGTCTTAGTTTCTGTATTAGTACGAGGTGACATTATGTATTTCTTTGTTGTTGTTGGTTATGACTTGTGTTTAAGAATGTAGTGCTGAGGCAAATCTGAGGGATGGCATGATCCAACACCTGACCGAACACAGTCTCATCACAACACTGGTTAATGGTGAGAAGATCCTGCCTGATAAACTTACTCACGTTCCTTGTCACGGTAACAGCCTAAGTGGGCTAAGGCTGACCAGTGGATGTGTTGTACAGTCCCCTTCACTAGTGCGTTTACAGGAGCTCGTCTTATAAATATTCCACAAATCATTATCTTTATATTTAATAATGTTTTAATTTTATTCCATAGTGTGTTTATTATTGGGAGTTTCCTTCTGCCGAATGTAAACAAACACAGCGCTGCCACACCCCACAAAACCTGACGAGTCCCTGTAAACGCACTAGTGAAGGGGACTGTACGTGTATTTATCCAAGGTGTTTGACAAAGTCCCACATGCACGACGAGCCTCTAAGATCCAGTCACACGGCATCACAGGCAAGAAGTTCACGTGGATTAACAACTGGCTCCAAGACAGACAACAACGAGTGGTAATACATGAAGTACATTCTGAATGGTAAATGGTTCTCAGTGGAGTACCTCAAGGCTCTATCCCTGGACCCACCTTTTTTGTGATCTACATAAACGACATTGATGAAAATATATCAAGCCACATAATGAAGTTTGTGGACGAAATAAAGATGTATGAGAAGGAAGCAAGTCAAGACGATGCAGCAATAATGGAAAAAGACCTGAATGAGCTGTTCAAATGGTCTCCAGACTGGGAAAATGCAAGACCTTACACGTAGGATATAACAACACTAATCACACACACACACACAGGTAAAAATTAATAAAGGTAAGGTGCGCCAGGTGTTAAGAAGGTCGTAGAGGCACAGGTAAACGACACCTTCACAGCCTCACGTTTAATCCTTAATGGAATTTAATCACGAACATTGAAACCGAGTCTTTAGCATCTTACTATGAGGGGCATTAACACTGATGAGAGAGAGAGAGAGAGAGAGAGAGAGAGAGAGAGAGAGATAAAAACACATCAACTTACAGTAAACCATCAGCTTGCGGGAATCCTCCAGGGCTGCGGCAGGTAGTTTGGAGTTGTCAGCCCGGCAGGAGAGGACGGCCCCGTGGTGTAACCTGTTGGGGACGAGGTGAAGTGTCGATCTACTGACGTTTCCCTCCTGCAGCACCTGAAACACAAACAAACACACACACACGTTCTTGTTAGTGACGTTCTAAATGCTGAAACACAAACACAGACACATACAAACACACAGACACATACAAACACACAAACACATACAAACACACAGACACATACTCACATGGACACATACAGACAAACACAGACACATACTGTAATGATAATTTATCAGACCACAGCTTACAGTCCAGAGAAGAACAACACATACAACATTATGTAGAAGAACACGTGTACACCCACGTAAGTTGGCCCACCTTTCGTAATTGAAGTGAGATTAAGACCTGACCCAGCAGAGGTCACGGTCACAATGAAACAGAGTTCTCACTGCCACGTGAATAATCAAACCGGCATCATGACCGTGTTAACTCAAGAAATTACCCTCCAGCCAGCACCACACACCTGATCAAACACAGCTGTCTCGACACACACAGATTAGTGTTAATTAGTGACGACATCTGCCGACCTGAGACCTCCAATATAAGGGGCCGACAGCTCCTTCCCAGAGACAGGTGATTCAGAACTCAGAGGAAGACGGAGTCGCGCTCGTCACTAGTCGAGGTCGGGAGGGAGACTTCCCTCCCCAGCACTGAGTCTCCCACAGGAGACATAGTCCAGCACTCCCTTCAGTAGCACCTGCTGGGCCTCCCTCAGGTCACACGTGAGTTATTGTCAGAGCGGTCTCTTGGGTGAGTTACTTACGGTGGGAAGTGTATCCATTTCATGTTTGTGTCCGAGAGTCAGTGTCTTATTATATCGATGTAATGTATTAATGTGTCCATGCCATTGAGTTAACTAATAAATAGCTGTACTTAGAAGAGTTGTTTAGAAGATTCCCCCTAAGAATATATATACTGTATTAACGCTCAAATAACCACGCTTCCAAACTTCCTCACTTTATCTGGTAACTAATAATTCTTACTTGTACTTCTTACCTTACCCTCATTACATACAGACACACACACACACGGACATGTGCAGACAGACACACACACACGGACACACGCAGACACATGCAGACAAACACACAGACACACACACACACGGACACATGCAGACAGACACACAGATACACACACATGCAGACAAACACACAGATACACACACACACGGACACATGCAGACAAACACACAGATACACACACACACGGACACATGCAGACAAACACACAGACACACACACACACGGACACATACACACGGACACATACAGACAATCATATGGACTTAGGCGATTGTTTTATCATTTTTGCCGGGGTAAATGAAAGAGTCACACAAGGCAGAGGGGGAAGGTGAGTGAGTAGATCTGACACTGACAGCTTCTGACTTTTCCTTGCGCTATTTAACTGACTATGACATTTATACAACCTCTCCCTTATGCTTATAACTAACAAAAATATTTATACCACCTCTCCCTTATGCTTATAACTAACAAAAACATTTATACAACCTCTCCCTTATGCTTATAACTAACAAAAACATTTATACAACCTCTCCCTTATGCTTATAACTAACAAAAACATTTATACACCCAAATTAAATAAACAAACGAATACATAAATAAGCAAACATATACACAGAGAAGCAAACAAATATACAGATAACTAATAAAAAACATAAACAAAGAAAAAACACAAACAAATTATATAAAGAAACAAACAAAAATTAAACAAAAACAAATCACAAAGAAAAAAAACAAGTAAATAAACAAATAGCCTTGGAAGGGCGAGGAAGGAGGGAGGGAACGGCGTTGTGGTGTTCTCGTTGTGTGAATAAAAAGACATAACTCCGGGTCATGTTATACACCTCTGACACGGAGTTAGGTTAGGTTAGGAGGTGAATACTCGTTAAACTTGACCTTGTTAATGAGTCACAAGTTGTTCATGTGTGAGGTGACCAACACGAGGTCAGGCAGGAAAACATTTGCTCTGGGTTAAAACAATCCCTGAGGTGTGTGTGTTATTCAGGCGATGCTGCGTCTGGCACAAGCAGGTTCGATGGTACTGTATTTATCAAACGCCTGAAGATTAGCACCCCTCTGTGTGTTGTGTGTTGTGTGTGTGTGTGTGTTGTGTGTGTGTGTTGTGTGTGTGTGTGTGTGATTGTGTGTGTTGTGTGTGTGTGTACCCAGTCAACAGTCAAATTTACCTGAGTTGGCAATTATAATGTAAGTACCTCATCTGTTAATTAGTGCTAAGTGCAGGTATAATTAAGTGCAGGTATAATAAAGTGAAGGTATAATTATGTGAAAGTATAATTAGTGCTAAGTGAAAGTATAATTAGTGCTGTGTGAAGATATTTTTTCCTAAACGTAACTTTTACGTCAAGATTTTTTTCTTAAAGCTGTGACCTAACCCAACCTAGGGGGGAGGGGTCGCACTCTTCGTCAAGGATACATTAAAATGTTGTATTAATACTTCAATAAAGGGTGAAATTGGAACCGAGTCTGTATGGGTAGAAATCACGGAAGGAAGAGAAAACTAATTATGGGAGTGATTTACAGGCCCCCAAGTCTTGGGAAAGAAGCAGCTCAGCTCATATGGTAGGAAATGAGTAGGGCAGCAAAATATAACAACCTGTGCATTATGGGGGATTTCAACTTCAGAAATATTGACTGGGACAACATTGTAGGTGACTAGGTGTTGTAGGTGTTGGTGGGTGAGTGAGTAAATAATGTGAGGTAATTTTGAGGTAATTAGGTAATTATGAGGCCAAATATTATCACCTCATAAAAAAAAGGATGAGGTTACCTGGTCTTTGGTATCTGTCATCAGGAGGCCGTCGAGGTACCAGGAGAGGTCGGCTGGAGGTCGCGATCCGCCGGCCTCACACACCAAGGAATACCTCTCGCCCTCACTCAAGGCTGCGTTCCTCCCGAGGATTTTGACTTCGACGGGAGGAACTGCGGAGATAATGGAGAGAATTAGAGAGAGAGAGAGAGAGAGAGAGAGGTGCTAAGACGACCTGTAGATTCTCTGTTACAGGTACAGGTAAAAGATAACTAATTAACCCAGGTGTACAAGTGACAAAGTATCACACACACACAGGTACTCACAGAACAGGTCCAGGTCACACACACACACACAGGTACTCACAGAACAGGTCCAGGCCACACACACACACACACAGGTACTCACAGAAATACCAGGTCACACACACGCACAGGTATTCACAGAACAGGTCCAGGTCACACACACACACAGGTACACACAGAACAGGTCCAGGCTCACACACACACACAGTGCACACACAGAACAGGTCCAGGTCACACACACAGGCATACAGAACAGGTCCAGGTCACACACACGCACAGGTATTCACAGAACAGGTCCAGGTCACACACACACACACACAGGCCCACAGACACAGGTCCAGGTCACACACACACACACAGGTACTCACAGAACAGGTCCAGGCCACACACACACAGGAACTCACAGAACAGGTCCAGGTCTCACACACACAGGCTACAGAACAGGTCCAGGTCACACAGATACTCACAGAACAGGTCCAGGTCACACACACACACAGGTACTCTCACAGAACAGATCCAGGTCACACACACACACAGGTACTTGCTCCACAGAACAGGTCCAGGTCACACACACAGATACACACAGATACTCACAGAACAGGTCCAGGTCACACACACACACAGGTACTCATAGAACAGGTCCAGGTCACACACACACACACAGGTACACACAGAACAGGTCCAGGTCACACACACAGGTACACACAGAACAGGTCCAGGTCACACACACGCACAGGTATTCACAGAACAGGTCCAGGTCACACACACACACACAGGTACTAACAGAACAGGTCCAGGTCACACACACACACACAGGTACTCACAGAACAGGTCCAGGTCACACACACACAGGAACTCACAGAACAGGTCCAGGTCTCACACACACAGGCCTCACAGAACAGGTCCAGGCCACACACAGATACTCACAGAACAGGTCCAGGTCACACACCACACAGGTACTCACAGAACAGATCCAGGTCACACACACACACACACAGGTACTCACAGAACAGGTCCAGGTCACACACAGATACACACAGATACTCACAGAACAGGTCCAGGTCACACACACACACACAGGCACTCATAGAACAGATCCAGGTCACACACACACACACAGGGTACACTCAGCTCACACACAGGTACCAGGTCCAAGAACAGGAACAGGTCCAGGTCACACACACACAGGTACACACAGAACAGGTCCAGGTCACACACACACACACACACACACACAGGTACTCACACAACAGGTCCAGGTCACATAGACACAGGTACTCACAGAACAGGTCCAGGTTACTCACACGCAGGTACACACAGAAAAGGTCCAGGTCACACACACACACACAGGTACACACAGAACAGGTCCAGGTCACACACACAGGTACTCACAGAACAGGTCCAGGTCACACACACACACAGGTACACACAGAACAGGTCCAGGTCACACACACACACAGGTACTCACAGAACAGGTCCAGGGTGACTGTAGCAGCAAGAGGCATCGTCAGGTTAGAGTTATCAGCCTGGCAGGTAAGAACGCGGTACAGGTGTTGACGATTAAGTTTAGGTAAGGTCAAGATATTACGCGTGACCTGACCTGTGACCTCCTCTACTACGTCGTCTAGCAGTGACCCCTCGTGCCACCAGGTGACCCAAGGGCGTGGTGATCCTGTAAGGGAAGAACGAGGTTTGGTTAAGTTAGAGGGAACAATGTGTATTTGCCCGAAACAAGGCTAATAGAGTACTTGGGTTCATACGAAGGAGTGTTAGTTACAAGACTAGCGAGGTCATCCTAAAACTGAGGTCATCCTAAAACTATATCTTGCGCTTGTCTGACCCCACTCGTATTACGCAGTTCAGTTCTGGTCACAGCATTACAGAATGGATATAGAATCCTTGGAAAGAATTCAGAGGAGAATGACAAGACTAATAAGAACATAAGAAAATAAGGAGTCTGCAATAGGCCGGTTGGCCTGTGCATGGCAGCTCCTGTCGAGAGTTACTACCACTCTCTGTCATTCATGAATCTATCTAGCCTCCTTTTGAAACTTTCCAGAGTTCCAGCACTTACTACAAAGTTGCTAAGCTTGTTCCACTCGTCCACCACCCTATTTGTGAACCAGTTTCTTCCTATCTCCCTTCTAAACCTGAACTTATCCAACTTGAATCCGTTGCTCCGAGTCCTATCCTGCTCGGATATTATAAGAACTTTATCTATATCACCTTTATTGATTCCTTTCACCCACTTAAATACTTCTATCATATCTCCCCGCACTCTTCATCCCTCTAGGGAATGCAAGTTAAGTTTCTTTAACCTATCCTGATACGGAAGGTTTCTAAGTCCCGGAATCATTTTTGTCATTCTTCGCTGCACCGACTCTAGTGAATTTATATCCATTCTATAATAGGGGCACCAGAACTGAACCGCATAATCGAGGTGCGGCCTGACTAGCGCAAGATATAGTTGCAATAAGACCTCTGCACTCTTGTTACTTACACTTTTAGATATAAAACCCAATATTCTGTTTGCCTTATTTCGAACATTAACGCACTGTTTTCTAGGCCATAGGTCCGGGCTTACAAGTACCCCTAGGTCTCTTTCACAAGTCGACTTCTCTAGGTTGATGTTGTTAAGGCTGTATACATTATAAGTATTTGTTCTTTCAATATTAAGTACGCCCTCAGGACTGAACTCCTTCAGGTAGGTGCCCTGCCTAGCAGGACACCTGCGAAGGAGGAGCAGGCGTGGAGAGTGGTTGTCTCCAAGGGGACTAGGGTCAGGCTCAGGAAAGCTTACCAGGGTGTGGAATGTAGGAACCCCTACCAGGTGCTGGAGGAAGCTGGCGAGGAAGAGAAGAGGCAGGAAAGTGTGGTGCAGGTAGAGGAAAGGGCAGTTGAACAAACCCTGCCCAGAGGTAAGGTCGTGGTAGTTGGGGGACAGCCAGGTGAGGTTTTTAGATAGGACTTTTTGTACAAGAGATAGGAAACGTAGGACTAGGGTGTGTTTTCCTGGGGCTGGGATAGGGCATGTAGCTGAGAGGTTAGACAGGGTTTTGTCAGGGGAGGGTACCAAGCCAGTAGTGAGTCTTAGTGTCGGAGGAAACGACATAGGAAAGGTTAGGAGTGAGGAACTTTTCAAGAGGTATAGGGAGGCGCTGGGGAAGATTAGAGATAAGACATAAGAACATAAGAATGGAGGGATCCCTCCCCTTGTAAATTTATTTACAAAATCCTTAGACACGGGAGTTGTGCCAGACTTGTGGAAACAGGCAAATGTAGTACCCATATTCAAAAAGGGAGACAGAGCATCAGCGTCAAATTACCGGCCGATCAGTTTGACGTCAGTAGTGGGGAAATTTCTTGAATCAATTATAGCAGATAGCATCCGATCGCATCTAGAGAAAAGCAAATTAATCTACGACTCGCAACATGGGTTTACAAAGGGAAAATCTTGTTTAACAAATCTGCTGACGTTTTTTAGGAAAGTCTTCGAGGTAGTAGATAATGACGAAAATTACGATGTTATTTACTTAGACTTTAGCAAAGCATTTGACAGAGTACCGCATCAGAGGCTTCTGGGAAAACTTCAGGCTCATGGTATCGAGGGGAAAGTTTTAAATTGGATAAAATCATGGCTCACCGATAGAACGCAGAGGGTCAGCGTAGATGGTGTTAAATCTGAGTGGGGCCGTGTAACCAGTGGGGTTCCCCAGGGGTCAGTACTAGGCCCACTCTTGTTCATAATCTACATAAACGATCTAGATACTGGGAGCAGCAGTGACCTAAGCAAGTTTGCGGATGACACCAAAATGGGGCGGCAGATTAATTCAGGGCAGGATGCAAATGCATTACAGGAGGATCTAAATAAACTGCAGGGTTCGAAAAATGGCAAATGAAATTCAACACCAGCAAGTGCAGCGTACTTAATATTGGAAGAACAAATCAATGTATACAGCCTTAACAACATCAACCTAGAGAAGTCGACTTGTGAAAGAGACCTAGGGGTACTTTGAAGCCCGGACCTACGCCCAGAAAAACAGTGCGTTAATGTTCGAAATAAGGCAAACAGAGTATTGGTTTTATATCTAGAAGTGTAAGTAAGTATGGACGGGAGAGACACATGGACGGACGTATGGACGGGAGAGACACATGGACGGACGTATGGAAGGGAGAGACACATGGACGGACGTATGGACGGGAGAGACACATGGACGGACGTATGGACGGGAGAGACACATGGACGGACGTATGGAAGGGAGAGACACATGGGCGGGCGTATGGAAGGGAGAGACACATGGGCAGGGTGAAAACATGTTTGCCTAAGTGATCCCTCCCAGGGTGGCCGGTGGGTAAAAGTGAGAACGAACAACAACACAACAACTCCTGGGTAATCAAATAAGCTCTCTCTCTCCCTTTGTCATTCTCTTTCATTCCTCTCTAATTCCCCCCCCTGCTCTCTCAGCTTAAAACGCTCAGCATGTAAACTTTGTGTATGAACCTCTGTCCTGTGTGGCAGTGAACAGTGATATATACCTCAGTGAAGACCTGACTCAGAATACACAAATTGTTTACCAAGCTTTGCCAATAAAGTTGTTGAACTAAAACTAAAAACTATTCTCTCCCCTTCTCTCACTCTCTCTACTTATTCTCGTTCTCTCTTTCTCCATCCCTTACCTCTTTCTCTATCCCTTCCTCTCTATCTATCCATCACACACACACACACACACACACACACACTTAGTATCAACCACAATAAAGATAATTTCTAGTCCCAGATACATTAAGTTAGGTTAGGTTAGGCCAGGGCAGGTAAGGTCAGGTTAAGTTAGGTTAAACAGACATAAAGAGAGAGAGAGAGAGAGAGAGAGAGAGAGTGTTGCCATCTGATGATCACTACATTACCCCATATCTGTACCAGAGGCGTCACCCTGGCGTCAAGTCATCCTGTACCTGGCAGTAACAAGGTGACCCCCCAGCAGTGTGGCTGGTGGGGAGAGGGTGGTTCCTTGCAGGTGGGTGAGGTGGGGGGGTAGAAAGGGCGGATGGGTGGCTCCCTTTGCTGGTGGGGGTGAGGGGGATGGGTGTGGACTCCTTTTTTGCTGGTGGGGGTGAGGGTGGGATGGTGTGATCTTTTTGGTGGGTGGGGGTGAGGGTGGATGGGTGTGACTTTGCTGGTGGGGTGAGGTGGATGGGCGTGACCTTTGCTGGGTGAGGGTGTGGGGGTGAGGGTGGATGGGTGTGACTCCTTTTGGTGGGTGGGTAAGTGGGTGTATCAATGAGAGTTATGTGGGTATAGTAAAATAACATCCCATCACCCATCTTAAATACACAGGTAAACACTACACACCTGAATAACACACCTGTTCTCTCCCTTAAGCAGGTGCTGTGGCCTTGCAGGTGTGGTAAATGTGTATCATGAAATATTCCAAAACAATAACCCATTTTCATCAATAACTAATGTCCCTTTTTACCATTTTCTTTGATAATACGTTTTCTGTTGATATTTCTTCACTACAGGATAGACTCGTGTATTTGTATATTAATAAAATGTTTAGTTATTTACCTGAAACTTGTATATGTATTCAGAGATGTATATGAATGTGTATTAACGTGAATATTTACAGGTGTATGAATGTTTATAAATGTATTGGTGGCAGACACACACACACACACACACACACATAAACAATACAGACAGACAGATAGATAGACAGACATAAGAACATAAGAACATAAGGAGTCTGCAATAGGCCGGTTGGTCTGTGCATGGCAGCTCCTGTCGAGAGTTACTACCACTCTCTATCATCCATGAATCTATCCAGCCTCCTTTAAAAACTTTCCAGCGTTCCAGCACTTACTACAAAGTTGCTAAGCTTGTTCCACTCGTCCACCACCCTATTTGTGAACCAGTTCCTTCCTATCTCCCTCCTAAACCTAAACTTATCCAACTTGAATCCGTTGCTCCGAGTACTATCCTGCCCGGATATTATAAGAACTTTATCTATATCCCCTTTATTGATTCCTTTCACCCACTTAAATACTTCTATCATATCTCCCCGCACTCTTCGTCTTTCTAGGGAATACAAGTTAAGTTTCTTTAGCCTATCCTCATATGGAAGGTTTCTAAGTCCCGGAATCATTTTTGTCATTCTTCGCTGCACCGACTCAAGTGAATTTATATCCATTCTATAATACGGGCACCAGAACTGAACCGCATAATCGAGGTGCGGCCTGACTAGCGCAAGATATAGTTGCAATAAGACCTCTGCACTCTTGTTACTTACACTTCTAGATATAAAACCCAATACTCTGTTTGCCTTATTTCGAACATTAACGCACTGTTTTCTAGGCCGTAGGTCCGGGCTTACAAGTACCCCTAGGTCTCTTTCACAAGTCGACTTCTCTAGGTTGATGTTGTTAAGGCTGTATACATTATCAGTATTTGTTCTTCCAATATTAAGTACGCTGCACTTGCTGGTGTTGAATTTCATTTGCCATTTTTCAGACCACCCCTGCAGTTTATTTAGAATCCTCCTGTAATGCATTTGCATCCTGCCCTGAATTAATCTGCCGCCCTATTTTTGGTGTCATCCGCAAACTTGCTTATGTCACTGCTGATCCCAGTATCTAGATCGTTTTATGTAGATTATGAACAAGAGTGGGCCTAGTACTGACCCCTGGGGAACCCCACTGGTTACACGGCCCCACTCAGATTTAACACCATCTACGCTGACCCTCTGCGTTCTATCGGTGAGCCATGATTTTATCCAATTTAAAACTTTCCCCTCGATACCATGAGCCTTAACTTTTCTCAGAAGCCTCTGATGCGGTACTCTGTCAAATGCTTTGCTAAAGTCTAAGTAATAATAGACAGAGACAGACAGATAGACAGACAGAGACAGTTTAAAACAAACAAAAAATGAACAAGAAAGTTGAATGTCTCAGGGCAAGGTTTACCATGTTAGGTATAACCTCTCTCTCTCTCTCTCTCTTTTTTCTATCAACCTATCATCAAGGATCTACACACCGCTGAATCCTTCCTCTAAAACCAAAGTGAAAAATAACACTGGAACGAGATCCTACTCTGTGTGTGTGTGTGTGTCAGAGGAGATATTGTTGTGGTTCTGACAGCTGTTATATTATCAGCAGCTGACCAACACCTGCCTTACCTCTCTCTCAGTGCCCCCTACCTGGTCTATAAGGGCGTGACTGTGGTTGGCCCGACCTTCGCCGTCACCTGTCCCCCTTAGGCGCTTTACCAGCCTCCCTGCACCTGTCTCTCTCTCTCAGTGGTCATCTCCCCACCTCTCTCTCTCTCTCTCAGTGGTCATCTCCCTCACCTCTCTATCTCTCTCTCTCTACATTCATCCAGCCTTTCCTCTCTCTCGTTCTCTATTTACATCTATCTTTACGTCTCTCTCTCTCTCTCTCTCCCACAGGTGTGACTGACCTTGCTGCAGCACCTGTCTACCTGGTGCCCTAACACAGGTATGTACGGACCTTCTCCTTCACCTGCCGGCCACCGTAATAGGAGACGGGGGGGGGGGATAGGGAGGGCAGCTGATACCCAGAGCCGCCACCACATGTCTCCCTGGGGCACCACTACCACCACCTGTCTCCCTGGGGCACCACTACCACCACCACCTAGTGCAAACAGGCACTAGTCGATCTATAGGTTACCATGATGAGATGTATCAAGTGAAACATGTATATGGAGCAAGTAACAAGATCACTAGATTACAAGATGTTGTAACTGCTAGATTAAGGTTAGGATATAAGAACCTTGGCAGTATGTTCCTCAAGCAGATGTAAACAAGACTAATGTAAAGTGTGTGGCCATACATATGGCCACACACTTGAACACTACGTCCTCGACTGTGTGAAGATAGAACCTTTAGGGACAGGTCCAAGCACACTGTGTGTGAAATGGCACAACACTTCATCTCTAATGGCAAGATAGCCGACATATTAAGATTGTATCCACTTTTTGCACTTAGTAACTATATCAATTCTCATGTACAGAACCAAATACGCAATGTGCTTGAATACCTCACGTAAATGTGATAACAAAGTGTGAGGCCAGACATACTGCCTCACACGCCTGTACTCACGCATTTGTGAATAAGTTACCCTTTATGTATAGAACTAAACAAATAATGTAAATGAAATACTGTGTAACTTTCAGTGCCATAATATCCTGACAACGGGGGTAATATTATGACCCTTTGTAAACTCTACTCTGTAATCCTTTTGCGCTACTGCTCACAGGATGAGTGTGGGGTGCACATAAAGTAGCCGCTGTAAGCGGCAAAATCAAAATCAAATCAATACCTGGGGCACTAGTACCACCTTGTCTCCCTGGGCACCACTAGCACCACCACCTGTCTCCCTGGGGCACCACTACCACCACCTGTCTCCCTGGGGCACCACTACTACCACCTGTCTCCTGAGCACCACTACCACCACCACCTGTTCCCCTGGGGCACCACTACTCACCACCTGTCTCCCTGAGCACCACTACCACCACCACCTGTCTCCCTGGGGCACCACTACACACACACCACATGTCTCCCCTGGGGCACCACTACCACCACCTGTCTCCCTGGGCACCACTACTACCACCACCTGTCTCCTGGGGCACCACTACCACCACCTGTCTCCCTGGGGCACCACTACTACCACCACCTGTCTCCTGGGGCACCACTACTACCACCACCTGTCTCCTGGGGCACCAGCACCTGTCCCCCTGGGGCACCACCACCCGTCTCCCTGGGGCACCACTACCACCACCTGTCTCCCTGGGCACCACTACTACCACCACCACATGTCTCCCTGGGGCATCACTACCACCACCTGTCTCCCTGGGGCAACTACTACCACCACCTGTCTCCTGCCACTACTACCACCACCTGTCTCCCTGGGGCACCACTACTACCACCACCTGTCTCCCTGGGGCACCACTACTACCACCACCTGTCTCCCTGGGGCACCAGCACCTGTCTCCCTGGGGCACCAGCACCTGTCTCCCTGGGGCACCAGCACCTGTCTCCCTGGGGCACCAGCACCTGTCCCCCTGGGGCACCAGCACCTGTCCCCCTGGGGCACCACCACCTGTCTCCCTGGGGCACCACTACCTGTGAGGTGAGGTGAAGTGAGGTGACGTAAGGTGACGTGAGGTAAGGTCATGTTATGTTACACGAGGAATGACTGTAGTTTAATAATGACTATTCCTCAAGATTATATTATATCACTCTTGACATATAATTAAGTGACGTCACCTGAAGATTCTTGACAACTGTTGGCAATATGAATATGTCTGACATCTCTTCTCTCTGTTGGTAACTAAACATCATCTCAGCTTGTACAAAACCTGCCAGTGGGAGTAAATTACTAGTGAGGTTAAAATACTATAGTCACCCCAGCAACTGTCTCATATTCCCGTTTTTTATGACTTACGTGTTATTATTCTTCGTACTGTTACCACTTGGTCTATTTTGGGTGGATATTGTCACATGTTAAAGCCTTTGAAGTTCTTGTGTTATTGTGAGGGACAGACAGACAGACAGACAGACAGACAGACAGACAGACAGATACAGGACCAACAACAATACTCGTTTCCAGTTACATAATAATAATAATAATAATAATAATAATAATAATAATAACAATAATGATGATGATGATGATAATAATAATAATAATAATAATGATAATGATAATGATAATAATAATAAAAGTAATAATAATAATAATAATAATAATAATAATAATAATAATAATAATAATGATAATAATAAGAAGAACAACAACAACAACAACAAAATCAATAACAAAAACACAAAAAATAACAACAACAACAATAACAACAACAGGTAAGACGGACGCAGCATCGCCCGGGTGGAGGAACAGATAAGACGAATGACAAGAACTTACCTTGACATTCTCGGGGGGGTTGGGGAGGTGGAACAGGAGGTGGGTTGAGAGGTTGGAGGTGGGTTGAGAGGTTGGGAGGTGGGTTGAGAGGTTGAGAGGGGTGGAGTTTGGAGGTTAGGGGAGGTGGGTTGAGGTTAGGAGGTGGGTTGAGAAGGTTGGGAGGGTGGGTTGAGAGGTTGAGGGAGGGTGGGTTGAGAGGTTGGGGAGGGTGGGTTGAGAGGGCAGGTGGTGGTAGAGGGAGGGCAGGTGGTGGTAGTGGCCGCTGGGCGTGTTGGTTGACCTTGATAGTTGAGAAGCAGGTGCTGGTTCTTCTCTCTTTCTTACTATATCATCATCTCTCTTTATCTCTCTTTCTTTTACTCTCTAACTATCTCATTATCTCTCTCTATCTCATTATCTCACAAAATAAAAAAGCCAAATTAAGTCTCCAACCCAAAACAAAAACGAATCAACCCGTTCGCGGATTTTCTTACACGAACGTCAACAAAAAAAAAAGGGGATACGATCACTAAACATATTTCCAAAAACACAGATAATTGCAGAGCAGTAACAGAATTAGAGAATGAAAGATAGGTTAATTAGTGATGTGTGTGTGTGTGTGTGTGTGTGTGTGTGTGTGTGTGTGTGTGTGTGTGTGTGTGTGTGTGTGTGTGTGTGTGTGTGTGTGTGTGTGTGTGTGTGTGTGTGTGTGCGTGCGTGTGTGTGTGTGTGTGTGCTGTTGCATCAACTCAAACATTAAAGAATAAGTTTTCAAATTGATGGGGACAGATTGGGGATGCAGATTGGACTGGGTGGGGACAGTGGTGAGACACAGATTGGGGACCTTGGGTGGGGAACCTGGATGAGACACAGGTGAGAGACCTGGGTGGGGAGACTGGGTGAGAGACACAGGTGAGGACACAGGTGAGGAGACACAGGTGGGAGATGCAGGTGGGGAGATGCAGGTGAGGGAGACACAGATTGGGAGATGCAGGTTGGGGAGGATGCAGGTGGGGAGACATGGGTGGGAGACACAGGTGGGGAGATACAGGTGGGGGATGCAGGTTGGGGACACGGATGGGGACACGGGTGGGGAGATGCAGGTTGGGACACACAGAGGGGGATGCAGATGGGGATGCAGGTGGGGACACAGGTTGGGGACCTGGATGGGGAGACATGGGTGGGGAGGATGCAGGTGGGGACACACAGAGGGGATGCAGGGTGGGGATGCAGGTTGGGGGACACAGGGTGGGGGGGACCTGGATGGGGACACAGATTGGGGACACGGGTGGGGGAGACACAGGTGGGGAGACACAGGTGGGGACACAGATTGGGGAGACACAGATGGGGAGATGCAGGTGGGGAGGATACAGGTGGGGAGACACAGATTGGGGACACTGGTTGGGGATGCAGGAGATTGGGGATGCAGATTGGGGACACAGGTGGGGAGACACGGGTGGGGAGATGGGTGGGGAGATGCAGGTGGGGGGACACTGGATGGGGGGACACGGGTGGGGGATGCAGGTGGGACCTGGAGAGGGGGATGCAGGTGGGGATGGGTGGGGAGACATGGGTGGGGAGACACGGATGGGGAGACACGAGGTTGGGGAGATGCAGGTGGGACACCTGGAGGGGGATGCAGGTGGGGATGCAGGTTAGAGACACAGGTGAGACTGGATGGGAGACACAGATTGGGGAGACACAGGTGAGACGCAGGTTAGAGACACAGATTGGGGAGGATGCAGGTTGGGGAGATGCAGATTGGGGATGCAGATGGGACAGGAGGATGCAGATTGGGGGATGCAGATTGGGGAGACACGGGTGGGACACGGATGGGGACACAGGTTGGGGACACGGGTGGGGATGCAGGTGGGACACAGGAGGAGGATGTGGGTTGGGGATGCAGGTTGGGGACACAGGTTGGGAGACTGGATGGGGGACAGGGTGGGGACACAGGTTGGGGACACAGGTGGGGAGACACGGGTGGGGGGACACGAGACGGTGTGGGAGACCCCAGGTGGAGACATGGTGGGAGACGGATGGGAGATGCAGATTGGGGGACACGGGTTGGGGACACAGGTGGGGATGCAGGTGGAGGACACAGATGGGGGACGCAGGTGGGGAGATGCAGGTTGGGAGAACAGATGGGACACATGGGTTGGGACACAGATGGGGACACTGGTGGTGGGGATGCAGTTGGGGAGACAGATGGGACGCAGGTGGGGGATGGGTGGGGATGCAGATTGGGAGGACGCAGATTGGGGAGACTGGGTGGGGATGCAGGTGGGGATGCAGGTGGGGACATGGGTGGGGACATGGGGTGGGAGATACAGGTGAGGACGCAGATGGGGAGACACAGGTGGGGAGACACAGATGGGACACACAGGTGGGGATGCAGGTGAGGGAGACACGGGTGGGGAGACACAGGTGGGAGAAACAGAGATGGGACACATATGGGTTAGAGACACAGATGGGACACACAGGTGGGGAGACACAGGTGTGGGAGAGCAGATGGGACACAGGTGGGAGACACAGGTGGGGAGATGCAGGTGGGGAGACACAGGTGGGGGACTGGGTGGGGGAGACACAGGTGGGGAGACATGGGTGGGGGATGCAGATGAGACACACAGGTGGGGAGATAGGGAGGCATCAGATGCAGGCGTCACTAAGCACTTCGTCTCGTCATATTTTGTTCGATTTCCTACACTGAAGGGTCTTTGTGTGTGTGTGTGTGTGTGTGTGTGTGTGTGTGAGAGAGAGAAAGAGAGAGAGAAATTCGTGTTCGTTAAATAATAATAATAATAATAATGCCTGAATTATAAACACACTACAATGTTTATGTATCGTAGAATCACAGCATTACAGAACACGATTTTTGCTGTAGCCTAAATTTAGAACATTACAGAAGCTTACAGTATCGTTACACAAGCTCACAGTACAGAAAATTACAGTATTATTATAGAAGCTTACAGAATATACAGAAGCTTACAGTATCGTTATAGAACATAACAGAACCTTATAGTATCGTTACAATACATTACAGAAGTCACAGTACACTACAACACTGCAGTATTATTATAGAAGCACAATAAATTACGGAACATTACAGAAAGGTATCGTTGCAATACATTGCAAACAGACTAGAGCATTAACAAGAGCAAGTGGAAGGTCAGAGGCCAAGGTGCATTATATAATTTACTGGATCATCAACCAACTGTTCTCTCACACAGACAGGTGAACAAGAGGAACAAGAGGCCTGAGCAAGAGACACTGAACAAGAGAACATAAACAAGAGAACACTGAACAAGGAGGAACACTGAAAGCAATACGTAA